TATCCTACCAACTCTTGTTTGTGTCACCGTTGACTGCGGTTGAGTGACTGACTGGTCGGGAATAAAAAGTCCCTGCATCTCGCATTATTTTTCCTGTGTTGCTGCTTCTTTACTCCTGATCCGAACTTCTCATACTTCTACCTACTTATACTTCCGACGATCAACAGTAACACCCAAACACCCCGTCAGGCTGTCCTGGTTGGCGGTCATTGCTCGTTATTGAGCATTATCTTTTTATCTCCACCGCCCGTGCTCGACAAGGTCAACATTGATTGACTTTCATCAACAACAACGATGACGAGTGCTTCGAGCGTGTCGCGGAGCTCCAGCTCTGTCGGGCGCTTCTCGGTTCGCTCCCGCCCCAAGGTCAATCTCGACCTGGATGGTCAACACGATGGCCTGGTCAATGTGTACACCACCGGAGACACCATCAAGGGCACAGTGACAGTAACCGTGGACCATGACACTCGCTTCGATGAGTTGGAGATTACATTTGAAGGTACTAAAAACACTACATAAGGAAAGAATAATTGGTTCTGATTGTTCCATAGGCACCTCGCGAACCTCAGTAGAGCGACAATCGATGCCCGGCCGAACAGGCGCTTACCAGACCTTCCTACGACTTCGGCAGCCCATTGAGGATGCAGCATATCCCACTCCACGTATCCTCGAGGCCGGACGCACCTATGACTTTCCGTTTGTATTCGTGGTACCGCAACGCCTGCTGCCTCATGTCTGCAGCCACCCCAAAACCAATATCCACGTCGAGCAATCGCACACCATGCTTCCGCCCACCTTTGGGGACCCCATGCTGGCCAGTGACGGCAAGTCGCTTCTCGACGACCTGACTCCTGATATGTGCCGGATCTCATATATCGTTCGTGCAACTCTGCAGAGAAACCTCCTCAGTCAGAACGGACCAATCGATACCCTCGCGTCTATTGGAAAGAAAGTCCGGGTTGTGCCCATGGTGGACGAAGAGCCTCCTCTCAACATTCCGGATGACGAGACCCTGTACTGCGTGCGCAAGGAAAAAGACGTCAAGCGTGGCTTCATGAGAGGCAAGCAGGGACGCATCGTTGTTGCTGCATCGCAACCGAAACCTATCCAGCTGAACCCTACCAGCAACGACGACACAAGCATCGTTAGCACCGTGGCAACCGTGCATCTTCGGTTTGACCCACTTGGAAATGAAGAACCGCCACGTCTGGGTACAGTGTGGAGTCGACTGCGAGCGACGACCTTCTATAGTGCGGAGCCGTGGGGCGATTACCCTTCGACTTCGTCCATCCGAACGTGGGCGCAGGTTGGCCGAGGAATGTTCACAGAAGCTGTGCCACTATCGACCATGTGTGTAGCCTCGGCACAGTGGACCAAGCACACGAGTGCAGACGCTCCCCGCCGCGACTCCATGCACTCGACGTCCTCGACGGAGTCTCTGCCGGGGCCGTCTGCTTCATTCTCCGGAAACATCTTCTACACGGCTTCAGTGGTCGTACCAATCACGTTACCCAAATCGAAGACGTTTGTGCCCACATTCCACTCCTGCCTCGTCGCCCGCATCTACAGCCTTGAGCTCAGTCTCTCTTACCACACCCCCAACGCGAACATCTTGACGCCGACGACATCCTTGAAGATCCCCATCCAGCTGACATGTCAGCCGCAAGCTGACGCTCGACCCAAAAACACCGTGGTCGAGATCACGCAGGAGGAGGTGAATGCCGAGTTCTTCAGCCCTCGCAGTATCGCGCCCCGTTGGATCTCGGAGCCTGAAGTTACACCTCCCGAGTACACGGCCGTGCGCACCGCCCATCTACTTCCAGACCGTTCAAGGATTCTTCCCCCCTCGGCCACAGCAAACCCAGGGCGTATGAGAACGGCCTGCTAATATGCAAATTCATTGATGCAATCTCATCTGCAAGGTGCATTCGAAACACTGGGTACGATGAAAGGCATTTTGCTTGATTTTCTTTTTCTTTTTTGTTGTTGCAATATACCCAATTGCCTGGTTTAGCTTTTGCTATCTACGACTGGACAAAAGTTTTGACTTGGGATTATTTGACTTGACTAGGTAATGCTGAATAGCTTTAATTAATATCATGACTACTAGATAGAGCATTAGATTTTAATGGACTTCTCATGACCCCCTTAGACTTGACACATATATCGTAGTTACTTTTTTGGTGCCCAAGTAAAGCGGTGAACGTTCTTTGACGGCAAGGAGCACATGCCAGCGACAGCCGAGTCGGGACTCGGGGCTACTTGCCTGTTCAGGCCTCCATCTGAGGCTATTCCCATCAGTATCCCCGTCAGGGTGAAGAAGGTCGTACAAGCCCCTCCACCCATCAGCGGTGACTCGGATGGCTTGCAGCGCATGATACATTCACGCATCCATGGGAAACCTTCTTCGCTTGTGCCTGATATTTGCTTCTCTCGCGGCCGTTGCATCATGGGGCTTGTCCCCCAATTGAATTGGTCTGATTGTGAGCATCTACTCTGGATTCACTCTGTTAAAAGATTGAGGCACACGTGAGGCTAAGTCAGCCCTGTGAGACAGTCTGATCACTTCATCGTTTGTTACCTTGTCCATTGCCCGGTTGTGATCAAGGACGGTGGTCTCGACCCATCATGGGGCCCAAAGGATGGATAGAACTCTGTGACAGATGCTGCTCTGGGTGGGTAGGATGATGCATGGCCGAGAGATAGCAAACGGGGGAGGTGTAACAGGTGGCATGCATGTTTGATTCCACTGCTGCTGGGTTGACACTTTCATTTCGTTCCCTCGAGGAGAGAGAGCTATTCGGGACGAAGATGAGGTTGACTCAAACCTGGTGATGACTATATAATGCTGTCAGAGGCCACACCAACCCTCTCTGCGTCATCTCTGTGACTCTTCCTTCTTCCCTCCTCTACTTCTCTCTCTCTCGCTGCGTGTCCTCCTCTCTCTCACATATCACAACCTCTTTTCTCCTTGAGTTCGCCTACTAGCTTCGATCTTCGTGTCCCTCCTTTCTCGATTTTTCTTCTCACTCAACTTGTTGAGACCACTCCTTCTCTTGCGATGAGAACTATCGTTCCTTTCCTATGTGCCCTGGGTGGACTGATGATCCACGGCGCTGCCCTTCCATCTGGAGTCACCCCCGGTCTCTCGCAGGGCCATCACGGCCGTGTGATGAAAGGTTCGCCCAAGCCTGTCAACTGCTCCCAGCCCCCGAGCTACAAGTCAGTTGCATACTTTGTGAACTGGGTGAGATTTCCCCAATCTATAGAACCACCAATTCAAATACTGGGTCACATCATGAATCACTAACACTCTCTCTGGGGGAAACAGGCAATCTATGCCAGAAATCACAATCCGCAGGACATTGCAGCCGAAAATCTCACCCACGTTCTCTACGCATTTGCCAACATCCGGGCCGACGGTGAGGTTTACCTTACTGATTCCTGGTCCGATGTTCAGAAGCACTACCCGGGGGACTCGTGGAATGATGTCGGCAACAATGCCTACGGGTGTACCAAGCAGCTCTTCCTCTTGAAGAAGAAGAACCGCCGCATGAAGGTCATGCTGTCGATTGGCGGGTGGACGTACTCGAGTAACTTTGCCACGCCGGCGAGCACTGAGCAGGGACGCAAGAAGTTTGCCTCGACTGCAGTCAAGTTGATGGGCAATGTGGGATTTGATGGGTTGGATATTGATTGGGAGGTAAGTGTGTCATTGCCGTCGTCATCATATCTCTCTGCATGCAGGAGTTCCAGAAGATGAAACACCCGATACTAATCTCCATACGGCAGTATCCGGCAAACGATGCCCAGGCGAATGATATGGTTTTGCTTCTGTATGAGCTGCGCATGGTATGTGTTTGATATCGAGTTTCCTGGTTCATTTCGTCTTATGGCTGACCAATTCTTCCTGCAAGGAACTTGACAAGTACGGACGGGAACATGGCAAGGGCAAACACTTCTTGCTGAGCGTTGCCTCTCCGGCGGGTATGTTCTCTCTCTCTCTTTCTCTTTCTCTTTCCGCTTACCCTCTGCCAGGCAAGCACTCCCCAAACTGACCCACCCCCATCGCAGGCCCCACAAACTACAACGTCCTCCACCTCGCCAGCATGGACGCCCAGCTCGACTTCTGGAACCTGATGGCCTACGACTACGCCGGCAGCTGGGGCCCCGTCGCCGGCCACGCGTCCAGCCTCTACCCCGCGGCCAACAACCCGGCCTCCACCCCCTTCAACACGGACCAAGCGATCAACGCGTACACGGCCGCGGGCGTGCCTCCGCACAAGATCAACCTGGGAATGCCCATCTACGGCCGATCCTTCGCCAACACCGACGGGCCCGGCAAGCCCTTCAACGGCGTCGGAGGCGGAAGCTACGAGAACGGCATCTGGGACTACAAGGCCCTCCCGCAGCCCGGGGCCAGCGTGACCGAGCTCAACGATATCGGTGCGAGCTTCTCGTACGATGCCGCCCGCAAGACGATGGTCAGCTTCGATACCCCCAACATCGTGAAGCTGAAGGCCGAGTACATCAAGAACAGGTGTCTGGGCGGGGGCATGTTCTGGGAGACTTCGGGGGATCGGAAGGGTCAGGATAGTTTGATTGTGGCGGTGAGTTTGCCCTTGGTTTTTCTTTACTCGCTTGGAGAGGATGGATTATTTGGATGTGTAGAAGCTGACGCGCTTGGCATACAGTTGGTCGATAATCTTGGAGGTGTCAATGTTTTGGATAAGACTGAGAACCAGCTGGAGTACCCCATTTCGCAATATGATAACATCAGAAAGGGGGGAGCTGGAAATCCTTGAAATTGGTTATTTGAATGGATAGAGACTTTAGAAGGTTTTTGTTGATGGAGGCATTTGTTCTGAGTCATGAGCACGGATATTCGAGATGTCGGTGTGTTTCTGTGTTGCTATGTAGCTTTCGAATACCATATTGTTTTATTTCTTCTCCTTTTTCTCTTCTTCTTCTGCTGCTGCTGCTGCTGCTGCTGTTTATTTATGGTGTGATCAGGATCTTAGACGTCGACTCACATTGCAATATTTGCTATTCTTAGTACGTTTGACAAAACACAAGACATCCCATCCCGTCTACTCCTCTGTCACTTGAACCTCACGTACATTGCCGATCCCCTTTAAACAAGTACTACATGAAGACCACAGTGCCTCTCAGAGTTGAGAGGAGCGATGATCGGGGATCACTCGTGGCAGAACCGACCTCTTGATCCGGTTCTCAGTCACGAACATCTGATCAGGCACCCAGGAGAGATCCACCTCTCCGGCCCTCCGTCCACCATGGGCCAACACCATCATACCTACTGCTTTCCCGCACAGCCAAGCCTGCACCATGCCTTCGCCCGAGAACGCACACGACAACCATTCGGCTCCATGACCTTCCCCTCCCTCCACGGCTTCCCCACGGCCAGACGCAGAATGCGGCAGCTTGCCGATCCACGGATATCCATCTGCGCTGAAGCCCATGTTTCCCGTCCACGCCGTGTCAACATCCCGCTCAGCGCTCCACTCGCCCCAATCCTCCTGGTCGAACGCCTTCTGGAGTGTTGTCTTCAGATGTTTCAGCGTATACGGCGGGACTCCCTCATTATCAGATGCGATGCCCAAAGCCAAGATCCCTCGATCTGCATGCTGCCCAAAGCCCCCTCCCAGCATCATCTTGTTGGCCGTCTCCCCACCAGAGGGCAACTGAGTCAGGTAGTCAAAGCCATGCTCATAGTTGAACAGCCAGGAGTGCTCGGTTCCTTGTGGTCGGAAGCTGCGCCCTGGGTTCTGCGCCGTCATTGTTCCTTGGATGGGGTAGATGCGGCCGCGCAGTCCCGGCACCAAGTGACCGACATGCGCGTTCGTGCAGTGGATGACATGACGTGCTCGGATCGTTCCTCTCGGCGTGACGACCGAGTATCGCAGTGCGGACGGGTCTGTGGATGTCGCGTTCTCGCGAATAGCCGTTACGGGTGTCTTGGTCTCAATCCGGAGATCCTTGGGATACTGCTCGCGCAGACGGGCCAGTAAGCCCGTGACGAAACGATACGGCCACATGGCGCCGGCGGGCCCGGCGATGACACCTCGAGCATTTGGGGCAAGACCGAACTCCTTTTTATTTCATTGTAAGTGTCTAGACCTCGTGAAAATGCACACAGCCTGAAACTTTTGCTCGGATACGATGGAAGTCGGGAGGCAAACTGACCTTCGGGATATCGGCTTTTTTGAAAATCTTCCATTCCACCGTCTCGGCAGGCATACACTCCTTGAGTCTCCGGATAGAACGCACCGTCTCCACCCACTTGTCGTTATCAAAATGAACGCTCAGGAACTGGATTCTCCGGGCCTGGGCAACCTCGCTCAGCCCGTATTCGTCTGCCACTCGAAGCAGCTCCGCCAGATGTGCGAGGCGGAATCTCATGGTTCGGATCGCAGTCTCCACTCCATACGTCTCTTCGAAATAGCTGAATTCCTCCGCGGTCTCGAGGATGTGGCCCCCATTCCGGCCCGTCGCGCCATGACAGACCTCACGACCATCGAGTATAACGACAGAAGGCCTCTTTTCTTGGTTTCCTTCGCCAAATGTGTTCAACAATAGGGTTCTAGCGATGGAGGCGCCCGTAATCCCGGAGCCGATGATCACAACCTCTGCTTCTGTTGCGAGTTCTGCGGATTGCAAGCTTGCGAGCTCAGAGAATGGGGGGTCTTTGAGCCAGAAAGAGGGCATGCCGCAAGGTGCTGGAAGGCCTGGATCGGCGAATGCGCGGTTCAGGGCTTCTTGTCGGTCTTGAAGAGGGACTCTAGGGTCGGAGAATGCGGCCTGAACGAAAGCCATGACCGATTTCGTTCTGTCTCAGGTGGACGAAGTTTTTGTGAATAGTGATTATGATATTTTATGGTTTGGCGATTGCAAGGTGCTTGCGGACGATTTAGCTAAATGATACGAAGAAGAGAGCACTTTGACTGACAAGTGTTCCTGCAGTATGTATGCCAGACTATCTGAGATATCGGAGAATCTGGCTAATCGGAGCGTTAGTATCAGGTACACTCATCTTAGTGTTGTTGAGTTCGGGTTCCTCGCGCGCCGAAGATTGACAATTGATAACAGAACCTGGAAGGTTTAAAGGACAGGCCTCGGGAGAAGGGTCGACCTGCTGCATTAGGAAAAAGCGATAAGCATTTCCCCGCAGGTACCATTCGTGATGCGGGGCTCACCAACTCTACTTACATGAACAACACCAGTCGCGTCCAGCTTCTATTCTAAGCCCCAAGGCGAAACGCAGATAAATCATGGCATTGCCGCGGTACTCTTGTGCTCAATTCGACTGGATTGAATGGGAAACAACAGCAATTGAGTGATCAAGCTCATCAAACAAACCCCCTCCGACGCAGCAGCAATATGAACTCAACCCAAAACCACTCCTCCTCCCCCGGCAATGCCTTCTACCCTAAGACCCCTCCCATGCGCCGCCCGGATCTGATATACCTCTACCGCCTCGAATGCGACATCGACAAAGACGAGATCAATCTTGGCGCCCCCCACGCGGCGGGCGTCATCCGAAGTATCGCGAACATCGTCGGTGGTACCTTCAAGGGGCCAGGGGGGCTTTCAGGAACAGTTCTACCCTTGGGGGGAGCAGATTGGTCCACCATGATTGAAGGGACGCATGTGAGTGTCCACCACTCGGATTGTCTCAGGTTCGAAGTCTGATCAAAAACTGCAGTCCATCACGCTCGATGCGCGCTACACGGCAAGGACCGATGACGGCCACTACCTGTATATTCAAGCCCATGGGCTTTATCGTCCCGGTCCGGGAACGGCGTATGCCAGACAGGTGGCGGAGGATCCGTTGTCACGCCCGCCGCCGACGGTCACTCAGGATGATGTGGAGTTCTTCTCGCACCTGAGGATCGAGGCAGGACCCGGGAAGTATAATTGGTTGAATGGGCTGGTTTGCATTGGGGTGATGACCTGCGTGGAGGATCGGATTGTCATTGATGCGTACTATTTGACGAATTTCGAGGGCGTGAGGCCGGATGATGTGGTGATGAAGCCTATTAACTGAGATATTTGAAATATGATTTCTTTCCTCATATCTTGGTGCGCATGCATAAAGAATAGAGCAGCATGCTTGAACATGGTTATACCTCAGTAGACAATATGCTACGTTCCAGCCAGCACACTAGACCCCACTGACAACCGAGGTATCCCAAATAGGAAAGTGGACGCACTACTTAGTAGATTGTGTGATCCCCTCAACTCTGCTCACTGCACTACACGATAAGCCCCTCTCTTCTTCTTCTTCTTCTTCTCCTCCTCCTCGCGGCAGATCAAGTCGGAGATGAAACTGTCATTCGAACCAAGTATATAAACATCCCAATTGGCCCCTCTTACCTAGGTGAGCTCACACAATCTTCTCGAACTCCATCATACTCCCGCGATCGCAAGTCCAACCAAACATGACAGTCACGAAGCTCTCCGGCCCCGAAGACTGGCGCGCCATCGTCGCCCACAAGCGCCAGCAGCTCGACTCGCAAATCCCCTCCGCCTGGCGCCTGACCGACTCCTTCCGCGCCTCCCTCCCCGCCAACGGCCACCTTCTGGCCTTCGACGCCGTCCGCAAGAGCAACATCCTCACCTCCGCAGAACTCGACCTCACCGAGAACTATACCGCTGGCCAGTTACTCCAGCGCCTCGCCTGGGGCGATGTCAGCGCCGTCGCCGTGACCACCGCATTCTGTAAGCGCGCCGCCGTCGCGCAGCAATTGGTCTGTCTCGTGTCCTCCCCAATTGTTTTTTTGCCGTCGAGTTCTCGCGCAGGACAAACACTCACACTCCCCAAAAATATAGACATCCTGTCTGACAGAGCACTTCTTCGATCGAGCGCTCGAGCGAGCGAGGTATCTGGATGACTATCTGACGCGGGAGGGGAGGGTCGTCGGTCCGTTGCATGGGTTGCCGGTCAGTCTCAAGGATAGTTTCCGCGTGGAGGGGGTCGATACCAGTGTCGGGTATGTGTCGTTTCTGGGACATGGCCCGGCGAAGGAGAACTCCGCGCTGGCGCAGATGTTGTTGGATCTGGGGGCGGTGTTGTATGTCAAGACCAATGTGCCGCAGACTATGATGGTGAGGTTTACCCTCAACTTCGGTGGTTAATTTCACTCTGGGAGAGTTGGTGCTTCCTCTCTTCGGGTCTGGAGATATGGACTGCACCGTACAGTACAGGATATGCTAACGACAATCCCAGACAGGCGACTCAGACAACAACATCTACGGCCGCACCCTGAACCCCCACAACACGAACCTCACCGCCGGCGGCTCGACGGGAGGCGAGGGCGCCCTCGTCGCCCTCCGGGGCTCCATCCTCGGCGTGGGCACCGACATCGCCGGCTCGATCCGCATCCCAGCCCTCTGCTGCGGCGTCTACGGCTTCAAGCCCACCACCGCCCGCATCCCGTTCGCGGGCCAGGCCAGCGGCGCCATGGAGGGCTTGCCGGGCATCATGCCCTCCGCCGGCCCACTGGCCCAATCCTTCGAGGATCTGGAACTGTTCATGTCCGCAATCCTGGACGCATCCCCCTGGCGATACGACAGTGCGGCCATCGCAGCACCTTGGTCCAGGCCAGCGGCCATGAACCACCAGCAGCAGCAGCTACTAACAATCGGTGTCCTCGGCGAATGCGCACACTTCCCGCTCCATCCCCCCGTGAAACGCGCCTTGGAGAATGCAATAGACGCCTTGAAGAAGAAAGGCCATCGCATCGTCTACTTGAACCCTGACAACGACAACAACAGCACCACCACATCCTCGCCCTCACCCTCCACAACCCTCGCTCTCGCAACCAACCTCGCCCACGCCAACCGCCTCAGCTTCCAATACTTCGTCTACGGCCCCAGCGAAGACCACATCACCCCCAGCGGCGAACCGCCCGTCCCCTCCGTCGCGAAAGCCAGTTCCCCAATGTTCACAGGCCCCTTCCCCATCCCAATGGACGACGAGAGCGTTTCCCCATTCACATTGATCGATAGCCTCCACAAGGAACGCCAGAAGTACAGCGACGCGTGGCGCGCGACGTTCGTCACCAACAAGTTAGACGTCGTCCTCGCCCCCGGGGCCCAGAACCCCGCCGTCGAGTGGGATACCTTCGGGTGGCCGCCGTACACCCTGGTGTGGAATTTGGTGGACGTATGTTTTTTTTCTGCCCCTTGTGCTGTTGTAACTGGAGCAGCAGGGATAATCCATGCTGACAATAGCTTTTGGTATGGACAGTATCCAGCCTGCATCATCCCCTACGGCCAAGCCTCCAAGGACCTCGATCCGGAGCCGATGATCCTCGCGGATGGCGTGCAGCCGAGTTGTATGTCTAGAACCCTCTACTCTATCTTCTTCCTGCAGCTGGCTGTATCTTCGTGTGTGACTGGAAATATGCATGGTTATATCGCTCTGAATCACTTGATATTTTGACTAATGCTGGAAAATGCAGACCATCCCGACGCAGTCGATGGTGCGCCCTGCGCGATCCAGGTGATTGCGCCGCGGTTTCATGACGAGAAGTGCTTGGCGGCTGCGAGGATCATTGATCGGGATATTCGGCTGTAGGATCGGACCTTGGTTTTTGGATGGGGTTGGTTTGGTAAGGCGATCGATAGACGGTGATTTAGTGGGTCAACGAAGAAGTTGGAGAAGTTATATCGGTACCTTGTGTGCCGTTGACAATGTCGAATGCATCATCCCTCTAGTTGACTAGAAGCAGCGATGAAATTACCATTAGCAATCGCAACAGCTACAGGTACAGTAACAATAAGCTATGCAGGGAGCATTCACCACGGAAAGAGAATCAATTCTCATGCAGAGAACGTTATATCATACTGATTGCTACAAACAAACCGAGGCTCGAATATAATGTAATGTCCCGACTATAAATTACGATGAGATCCGTGGCAGAACAGCGGATAAAATCGTACTCAAAGATCGTCGAGGGCATTTCGAAGAAATGCTTTTCCTCTCGTCTCATACCGATCTGCACTCTTTCTGATGATAGAAGTACAGCGGCATCCAGCTCAAGATCATCCGAAGGAGGAAAACGGAAAACCGAGCGAGGCAAGAGACATGCAACAGAAAGTTTCTACCGGTCTACAACTCACCAAACCCGAAAACCCGAATGGCGAAAACTGTACAAGTGATGATGGGCATTGCGATCAATTATGGGTATCTAGGAACCCGCATACACGACATTATCCCGATTAGACGCCAAGAATCTCCATCGTATCAAAATCAGTAAGCCACCCTGGTGCGCATGTCCTGCATTCTTGGTTAGTTATCGTCACGACGAATTCAATACCACGGGAAAGTGACTCACCGAAATCTTGCGCTCGATCTCGCGCACGGAGCGATCAAGCTCACCGGCAATCATCATCTTCGTGTCATTAGGCAATAAGAAATACATCTCACACAGATCTCCGTCAATGACACCCTTGACGGGTGCATAGTAGCTGCGGTAGATCAGGTGGTCCCGACCAGCGAGAGGAGGGTGCTGTGCAGCCAACTGCATCTCCAGGTTTTGGAAGAAGTCGACATCCTCCCGACTGATGAAGGGAACCAGCATTCCAATGGTGCCTTGGAAACCAGTCCAGACGAGAATGTCGCGTCCTCCCGCCACCAGCTGCGTCTTATGCAAGCTGGTCGGAATGTCCTGGGTGTAGACATGGATCATCAACTCCAGGCGGTTAGGGGTTCCATGCAGATAACCACGTTCGTGAATCAGATGGGCACCCGAGCCATCCTCATCCGCTTCCTCGGAAGTCTTCTTGGGACAGCGCAGCAGCCAGAGATTGCCAAATTTGTCACCACCAGCAGTTGTCTCGTAGTCAACCATCGTAGTGGTGGTTGTCCAGCGGGAGAGCGAGTCATCCACGAAAGGAATCAGAACATTCTCCTGGTATTTGTAGACGACATACGTGACACTCTCGCGGACATCGCTAACAACAATCCGACTTCCTTGGGTCTGCAGACCGACGATGGTCGTAGGCACAACCGGCGCCTGACACTTGCGGAGAAGTTGCTTCATACCGAGGTCATAAATTCGCAGCAAAGACCCAAGACCGACGATAAGACGGCCTTGGAATCCAAGAAGGGCAAGAGGAGGGTCGTCAACTTTGGTCTTGTGGATAAACTCCAGCTCTTTACCGTCTTCTTGGAAACGGTAGATGTGGATGTACCCTCCGGCAGAAGACTGAGGGTTGACCGTCATGTCTTTGACAGTTCCAACAACCAAGAACGTCTCATCGTCCTGACTGGTAAAGGGAACTGCTGCAACGCTGACTGCGGCCTCGTTTTCTTCAAGTTCCACGGTATAGATAACTGATTTAGCTTCCAAGGGATCGACGACCTGGATGCAAGAGGCCCAGTGACCAGAGCCTCGAGGATGACCGAATTCTTCCGGTGGCAAGACAGTTACATCTTCACCACGGCTTTTGGCATCCTCGAGCAGCTGTGTTCTCGTGGCAGGAGCAAGGACATTGTTGTCCGACTCGATGACATAGAATAGCGGCTGCTCTGGGTGCTTCACAAAGCGTCGCGGGGTGTATGCAAGTGGTATTGACTGCTGTAGCATGTTGTTGTCGAGCTTCTCAATGGAGAAAATCCTAAAAGCCACAATTAGCTTGGTTCGTGACGCAACATCCAGACAAAAATGGCGTGACAGTAATGATCTCAGTAGGAACAATTGGAAAATAAAAAAAAGTTGATCCACATAGATATTCGGATCCCTTGTGTTCATCATATGATCGGTGGAGAAGTTGGGGAAAGAATGAAAAGGGTCAAACATACCGCAGATTCTGTCCTTGAATACCAACCATGCCTTCCACGCACTGTTCACTCGAAAAGTTCCAGCCCCATTCGAGCCCAACATAGTCAAGTGGTGTAAGCATGAAGCCCTTTGTTTGGACATCCGAGTAGCCCAGCCAAGGACGAGAACTGAGCGCAAGAACTGCAGTCTGTCCCTTGACAGAAACCTGGAACAGCTTGACGGCCTTGGATCCCAAGAATCGTGTACGAGTATCTGATAATTCACCAGTAACCTCGTCAAGCAATGTTCGGAGGTAAACACCCGAGTGTAGTCCGATGTGCAGATACAGCGTCGTGCCTCCAGAGCTAGAGTCCGCCATCGACATGATGTTCAGAGCCGACGGGGCCGCAGTAAGAGCCTGAACAGATTTGCTTTCCAGCGTAGTATCTGGGTCCAAGCTCAGGATACGCACAGTCGAGTCATCACACCCGACCGCGAGGAACGAGCTACGAACACGACCCTCTGGAACCTCACCTAGACTCAGGCAGGTGACAGTACCGGTCATCTGACGACGTTCATCGTACTCAGCAAGGGAACCGTCCGCATCCATTTCAAAGTACACGATTTCTCCAGAGCTCAAAGCAACAGCAACTTGGCGTTCATTTGTAGTCGCTGCCACAATTGACCGGTGCTGGGGAGCAGGCCACTCGTTTACCCGTCGGTCGGCCAGGATGTGTCGGATACCACGAGGGTGGATCTGAATCAACGAGTCCTCGCCAAGTTGTTGAACAGCAAGCGTTGGGGCAGTGGAAAGAAAACCTGTGTCGGTCACTTCTTCAACTGTCTCGCCGATGCTGAGCACAAGTGTGCCGTTGGCGAATGAAAGAATAATGTAGGCATCGAACTCATCCGCGCGAGTCAGCTTCGTGGTCCACACCGCAGATGGGACGCTGGGAAGCTCAGACTCAACGATCTCAGACACCTCTAGACCGTGTTTCAGCGTTCGAAAGGTGCTGCGAGCGCCTGTGCCAGATATCGTATAGATCTGAGGAGCGTCGTCTTCCGTCAAATTCGCAACTTTGCTGTCGATCAGCGGATTCAGCGAATTGATTGTCTCCACTAGATTGAGGTTCTCTGCGGCTCTTGGCTGGAAGTAGACAGGATCACAGGCCACTGTAGGATCCGGATTGAAGTTCTCGCTGGAGAATTCAATCTCCTCGTCATCATCTCCCAGCTTCTCAAACTGGTAGAAGTGATGATTACCAGCTTCGCTTGCCACATACAAGAAACCGCTCTTGAGAATCAACAGGTTGGAAGCGACAGGAACGGTGTCAAAGTACTTGATCTTGAGCCGTCTCACTTCGCCTGTGAGCTGACCATTATCGTCCTCAACCATGTCAATGTTGAGCTTGAAAAGGTCGCCGTCATCAGACTGCAAAAGGAAGAAGAATGCTCCTCTCATCTTGTGCATGACACCGGCGGTGATATGCCGTTTGCGCTCGGGGTTTTCAGTGGCACCCTTGCGCCGCGGAATAGGCACGCGGAAGGCATCTTGATTCGAGTGACGGTAGGTGACGCTATCTTCCCCACAGACCAGAACACCGCTGGGGCCATCTGCACCGCCAGGGACTTGGAAAAGTAAGGATGCCGTGCGATCAACGGGATCAGACCACTTGCGTACAACGTGATTGAGACCGAGGTCCAGCTCATAGTACACCAAGTGCTTCTCGATCTCTTCGAAAGCACGTCCAGTCGGATCCTGATCCGACTCGGAATAATCCACCTCCAGTGCCGCAAAGATGGGGTTTTCATATCCTACATCCAGAGCGGACATGGCAAAGACCAGTGTCTGTGGCTTGTGAGCCTCAAGCGGTGAAGAGATCGTCAGCTCGGCCTGCGAGTTCCGATTCAGAACATAGACAAGCTTGTTCTTTTCTACCGACGCCATCATGCAGGCTCGACCCTTAGGGTCGACCGCTAGATACTGGCCCGGAACCACTCGACGAACGCCGGACTTGCCAAAGGTCTCCAGATGAATCCTATGGAATCTATTCTGCGCTGCGACATACTCGATGATGGTAATGCGTCCAGAATCCGAGCCAATGATAATATAATCTATAGGCAGGTCTCAGCACCGTTTTCACGACTAGCACCCAGCATCAAGATTCGCCGACCGGGGCACGTCCCATCACCGAGTAGGACGGTTCGGCAGGGATGGATCATGCTGCCCGGAAAGCTTGGAAAATCACTATGATGATCTTGGACCAGGCAGGGGCAGAGAATAATCAAGCATACCTTTATTGCTACCAGCTAGCCTGAAAGCTGCCAGAGAGCGAATGATGCCGAAGACATCCTGTGAAAAGAGCGGAGTGACCTTGCCCTGTGTAGGATCGGGGCGGTGAATCGTCAGCTTGGAGCCGGACGCTGTGACGATTTGCTGCTCCTTGGTTCCGGCGAATTGGCCCAGAATAGCTTGAGTCACAGCAGTGGGAGGCTGGATCGTCAAGGAGTACATGAACATGTGCGAAGTGGTAGCCATGATGGGCGGACTGAGCTCTCACAGAGCTTGCACGAGAAGGAATGAAAGAGGGGGGGGGATTGTGTTGTTTACGTCACGTCACAATTGCAGGCAGGGAAAACTACAGTGAAAGCAGTCCCATTGCTGCCGAGAAGGCAATTGAGAAGGGAGGACTCTCGAGAACGAGTGTCCTCGCAAGAAGAGGGGAAGGGGGGGGGGTGGGAAATGAGGATGGATTGTGAAGGAGGTCTTGTACGAGACAGGACACTTCAAGGATTAAAAGTGTGAAAATTCCGATGCGAGAAAGGAAATGAGCTTGTGCTGTTTGCTTGGTTTGTGATGTCACGTGCATTACATGCAATAACAGGTACTAGTGTAAATATCTTCCTACATTTACTCAAATACTGTTCTAGACCGTATGGAAGCACACCCGGCGTCTCCCGCCCACCGGAAAGGCGGACGATAGGATTCTGCCCGCTTCCACCCACGGCGGCGGTTACGCTATCGATCCCTCCTTGGTCGGCGGAAGACTGGTTACTCAGTACTCACTCACTCACTCAGCAAGACAACACCATCTTATCATAACTAACATTAGTCTGAGTCTAGCTGCGATCCACCCCCCCGTTCGGCTCGTTGCAACGAGATTTGACACCTTTCCTCCTTAACACGTCACTCTACCCCGACAGTCATCCGCAATTTATCACCGCCTCCCTTCCCCAATCGCATTCATTTCACCTGTTGTCTCGTAATCTCCGTTACCTGTGTGACGTGATCCTCCTCTCAAGCCCCTCTTGCGACCTCTTTCCCGGCCAACAGCAGATACCAACCGAATAAGTCCAGATCATGGCTGATGAAACCGCCCCGACTGAGGATTCGCCTATCACCTTCACTGTCAAGTCCTCCAGTGATGCCAAATACACACTCACCCTTCCGTTGTCAACAACAGTGTCAGATCTAAAAGAGAAGCTCGCAACCTCGGAATATGCCGATACCCCCGCGGAACGTCAGCGCCTGATTTATTCCGGACGAGTTCTGAAGGACAACGAAACCCTCGGCACCTACAATATCAAGGAAGGACATACCATCCATCTAGTCAAGAGCGCTGCCAGTAACCAACGTTCTGGAGCTTCCACGCAGACTGCCTCTACGTCGGCGCCCACTGGTGCTGCCGCCAACCCTCCCGCCACCGGGGTTCCTACGAACCTCGCAGCCGGCACGGGCAACAACCCTCTTGCGGGATTGACGGGGGCTAGATATGCGGGTTTTGCGCAGCTTCCTGGTGCTGGCATGTTTGGTCCAGACGGCGGAGTACGTATAAGACAGCTCAACGCTATCTACAGAATGATCGCTAACCTACCTACTCCCAGATGGGCCCCCCTCCGGATACCGACACCATGCTGAGCATGCTCGAGAACCCTCAATTCCAGTCTACAATCAACGAAGCCTTACAGAACCCTGCAATGATCGATATGATGATCCAGCAGAACCCCATGCTGCGCGACATGGGCCCCGGTGCACGGCAGATCTTCCAGAGTCCCGAGTTCCGTCGTATGCTCACGGACCCTAGCTCAATTCGCCAGATGGTGCAGATGCAGAGAGCTATGGGTGGCGCTGGACTTGGTGGCAGCGCTTTTCCTGCCCCGGGTGTCACTAACACAACCCCCGAAGAGAACCGTAACATTCAAAACAACAACAATAACGATAGCACATCCACCCCCAGCGCTCCGTTTAATCCGTTCATGCCCGCAGGCCTTGGTGCCGGCAATCCCTTCGCCGCTCTGTTTGGAGGAAACCCGGCTTTCGGAGGAGCCCCATCCACCGCAGCCGGCAACAGTCAGCCGGGCTCTACCGATAGAGCATCTGAGGGCACTACGGGTGACAATAGCAACACTACTACTTCAGGATCGAATCAGCAGCAAGCGCCTCAGAACCCGTTCAGTCTTTTCATGAACCCCGCTCTTTTTGGAGGCCAGGGCGGGCAAGGTGGTCTGAATCCCCTTGACCCGCAACAGAACCCTTTCCTTCGGGATCCGGCAATGCTTCAGCAGATGATGCAGGCTATGGGCGGCGCACCAGGAAATACCGGTGCGGCTGGCAGTAATCCCTTTGCTGCACTTTTTGGGGAAGGCTTTGGGGCTCCTGCTGCTCCTCAAGACAACCGTCCTCCCGAAGAACGCTACGCCGAACAGCTCCGTCAACTGAACGATATGGGATTCTATGAGTTTGAGAGAAACATCGCAGCTCTGCGTCGGTCTGGCGGTAGTGTGCAAGGAGCGGTGGAATACCTCTTGAGCAACCTTTAGGCTTATCATGTCTGCAGAGGTGACGCGACCGAACGGGATCGATGTTGATTACTTTCTCTTCGGTTACTTCTCAAGGGTGCATTGCCTGCACTTGTCTGAATGTGGTATGACAGTTTGATATTGGCGGATTGGCAGTTCTTATGATTTTTATTACCCTTTCTGCATGCTCTTTCCAAGGAGAAGTGAGGTTGAAATTGGCTTGGACAGCCTTTGTGTATTAGTTCGCTCACGGCCTTATCTGGAAGGGCTTGTTCTTTTAAGCCGATTCATGAATGAAGATAATTTCTCTTGCGATCAGATCTACTCTCTCCGTAAACGTACTTTATCGTTAGCCATAGGCAAAGACTGGTTCTGGGTGACGGCAACCGAGGATACACGTTGGAGAATCATCAACGCGAGAACAATTCAACCAGACTTCCCCACTTCTCCAAATCTTACCCCCAAAGATATGCTGAGTAATGGAATGCCAGGTCGCCACCAGTTTGAGTTCAACGACGTTGCTAACGAATGCAATTCGGACGATCGCATGGATTCTATGTTTGCATAACGCTAGACATTCTGTATGACAGCTCGAGAGTTAACTTCCCTTGAGGTTGTGTCTTTGTGACGAGTAGAGACTGCCATGAGTTCCACCCCGTCTTCCAACAAGAAAGAGTTTCAGTGCAACTATTGTCACCGAGAATTTCGCCGTCTCGAGCACTTGCAACGGCATACCAGAAGACGTTAGTGGCCTTTTTCGCTTGCTATGACACAGTTTTCCTGACTTTGTTGTGAAGATACTCATGAAAAACCGTTCAATTGCGCATGTGGAGCCGAGTTCTCCAGACGCGATCTTTTGAAACGTCATGAACGCATTGTACATGGAGAGTTCAAGGGGAATACCCTTGCAAGCTCGCTTCCAGGAGAAAGAGCTACAGCATGCAGCACCCATTCTGAGTCTCAGGGTCCTCGTGTTGTCCGGCGAAACGCCGACCTCTTGACTCCCGAGTCGTTGCAGCGCTCTAGTTCCCAGGTATTGACTGGACAGCCTGTTATGTGGGTATACTGAAATTATTGATAGGTATTCAAAAACAACTAACGGGGAAATGCAGCAACTCTTCGATCCTTACCAATCAATTCATGGATTTAGAGCAATTACTTCGAGCAGATGGTGCGGACTCTTTTACATATATTGGATCTGTACTAAGATCATCGGATCAGATCCTCTAATTGAACAAAATATTGTGGATAATGCAGTACTTCTCAACAGCACTGCTCAACCTTTCAACACTGCCCCCACGCAAGCAGCTCCCAATGCTATCTCAGTCACTCCGATAACTAGCCAAGGGCCACCAGCTCCTACCACTCTACCAACACCGCAGCACAATTTAGGTAAGCTGACATCAATCATCTTGCCATCAATGATATAGCATCTGACAGAACGTATAAAGGAACGCAGATCGTCCCCCACTTTGCCCACCCAGTGATCACCGAATTTCAACGAGACAAGCTAATACAGGCTCTGGGAAGTTGCTATATACCGGATGTGTCTCTACCATCCAGGGATTCGCTCAACCGTTTCCTCGAGGGGTATGTCACGGGGTTCTACCTCAACGTGCCTTTCACCCATATCCCCACCTTCAAGCTTGAGAAATGCTCACCCGAACTATGTCTGTCTATGCTGGCAATTGGCGCGGCTTGTCGGTATGAAATTCATTCAGCCACCAAGCTCTTTTTTCTTGCAAAGCTGCTACTCCTGGAACGCCAGCGTCAGAGGGAAAATGAAGCTTTGGCACGGTTGACAGGCTCGGTTCGGCAAGTTAGCAGTAGTGACAACCACATAGATGAAGTTCGATGCTTGCTATGTCTCTGTACACTTGCAACTTGGAGCGAAGACGCCGAGCTCAGGAACGAGTCTCTCAGGTTGCGCGGCATGCTTGCTCACTCCCTGCGCTTGAGTGGCCTAGAAGAAGTTGGGTCGCAGTCGACCCACAATTGGGAGACCTGGGCAGAGCAGGAGTCCGAACGACGAACCAAGCTACTCGCATTCTGCTTTCTCAACATCCAAGGCATCGCGTACGGGCTCCCGCCCATCATCTGGGGCCACGATTTCGGGCTACAGCTGCCGTGCTCTTGTCCTGAATGGACGGCGCCAGATTCAACCACATGGCTCTTCCTGCGGCAAGGCAGTCAAAACAACCGTAGTACTTTCCGTGACGCCCTGAGAGGTCTACTATCGGCATCTCAAGATAATCACCTTAACGGATGCCTCCCCAGCCCCGTTTCCAACTATGTCCTACTCCATGGTTTAGTTCAGATGGTGATGTGGGTACGAATGCTGCTGGCGAGCTTGGGCATGGCGCCTTCGCTAGACTACCAGGTCCTCTTCCGGTATATCAAACCCCTGAAAGCCTTCTCAAAGAATCCTCGCAGCTAACAACAACCTAGAACGGCTCTACGTAGATGGACCACCTTCTGGCAACGAACCCCGGAGTCGAATCTTCAGCCACTCGACCCCAATGGGCCTCTACCTTTCACGTCCAGCGCCTTGCTTAGCCTAGCGTACATTCGCAACTGCCTGCAACATGACAGCTACCATTCTACGGGGCTCTTGTCCTGGGACCCAGTGGCTGTAGCTGATTACCTGCACTCGTCTTCGCCCGCAAAGCAGCAGTGGGACGAACTTCTGGCCGCTCACCACGCCACCCATGTCTTGGAAATGATAGTCAAGCTGGGTGTTCAGTACGTCAAACACAACCAGGCCTTGGTCTGGAGCATAGAGACGGCGCTGTGCGGGCTTGAATGTGCCGTGTACCTCTCCAAATGGCTCCGAGGGCTGCACTCGCCTGGTTACGGTGGATCCTTGTCTGGTACGTGCAAAGTCCCCAGGTCTTTCGAAGCATACATTCCTCAAAAGCAAATTGGCTTTCGGATCACACTTTACTAATTGGTTATTCTAGAACCCGAAAATCTCTTGATTGACTGGATCCAAAACGTTGTGAGCGAAGGCATGGCATCCATTCAGTGCAGTAGAACCGATGCCTCTCGCACGGCGTTCGTTACTCTTGCAGATCAGGTTGTGGAGGTCTGGTCTCATGTAATGCACGGAAACTCTCCCTGGGATTTCATCAGGATGATTGGGGATGTGTTAAATCAGTATAGACAACGTCGGATAGAGTAATTCTAGTGCTCAGAATGCACTGTACTGTACCTCTCATACAAATTTCCTTCTACTGTTCATATGCCAGAAATTTCCACAAGAATGACATCACTCACTCACTCACTCACTCACTTGCTAGACAATGAGCTGATGCAAGTAGTCAGTACTTCTTCCCAAAGCTTTTTCCAAGAGAAAAAAAATGTGCTAAGTTCCGGCTTATACGAATGTGTATACTAGCAGTGTCTCGCAGTACAGGATCCACTTTTGGAGATTGAGTTTGGAGATTGGAGAAGTGGGTCGGATAGACTATAGAGTAGGAAGTTCGATCCGGGGATGATGAAGAATTGTATACACTGCACAGAGTCTCTCCCTTACTACTGTAACATGCAATTAATCATCGCCAGCTGACGCTTCATAGCAGCTTACCACACTGCCAAAGGTATATAAGCCGCCATGATGCCTGCGCTATGAGCCCGAAATCATTACATTCATCCACACCCAACCAACCCCTTCCAACCCCCTTTCCATCGAAGAAAGCAGCACCAATGTCGCAAACAGTCATCCGCCTCGACGGCGAGCGGACCTCCGTCCGGAACCTCAAAGCCTTCCAGGAACCCATCCCATCGCCCTCGAAGCACGAGGTTCTGATCCGGGTGCACAGCGTCTCGCTGAACTTCCGCGACATCGCGGTGGCCACCTCGCAGTACCCGTTCCCCGTGAAGGAGCGCGTGGTGCCGTGCTCCGACGCCGCGGGAACAGTCGTCCAAGTAGGCGAAGGAGTCAAGAAGTTCGCGCCGGAGGATCGGGTCATCGCCACCTTCGACCCGACCAATCTGTACGGGCAGCAGGAGAACTGGGAGAACGGGCAGGGGGCACCGATCGACGGCGTGCTGCGCGAGTACATCAGCGTCCCCGCTGCGGCGGTGGTCAAGCTCCCCAAGAGTACGCCCCAGAGCTTCTCGGAGTGGTCGACCCTGGTGTGTACCGGGGTGACGGTGTGGAATGCGCTCTATGGCAATCTGCCGCTCCGGCCGGGTCAGACGGTTTTGTGTCTGGGTATATTTTGAATCCACTTTCTTGTCTGTCGGTTTATGAGATTGTGATACTAACCGGTTGGGCTGGGCTGGGCTGGGCTACATAGGTACGGGAGGCGTCTCCATCACCGGTGTGATTCTAGCCAAAGCCGCTGGCGCGACAACGATCATCACCTCGTCCAGTGACGAGAAGCTCGAGATGGTCAAGTCGAAGTTCGGCGCCGACCACGGCATCAACTACAAGACGCGCCCCGAGTGGTCCCAGGAGGTGCTGCGGCTCACGAACGGGAAGGGAGTGGACTACATCCTGGAGAATGGTGGCTCCGGTACCATCGCGGAGAGCTTGAACGCCGTGAAGATGGGTGGGAATATCTCGGTCATCGGCTTCCTGTCGCAGGCTAAGCAGTCTGAGATGCCGGATGTTGCGAGCTTGGCGCTGGCGAAGGGTGCGGTCGTGCGCGGCATCACGGTTGGCTCGACTCAGCTTCTGGAGGAGGTCGTGCAGTTTGTGGCCCAGAAGGGACTTCGTCTGCCCGTGGAGAAGGAGTTTAGGTTCACTCAGAAAGAGGTGGTTAACGCGTACGAGTACATGGCATCTGGGTCGCACATTGGCAAGGTGTGCATCAAGCTTGTTGACTAGGTTCTAGTTTGGAGAACTGGGCTTGTGGGGGTATCATCGATGATGCGTGGACAGCTATGGATATGCATTTGAGAATTAGAAAAGATCCAACAGACTCAGCACTAATAACTTGAAGTGGTTGTTTGCATGTAACAAGAACAAGAGCAATGTAATTGTAGGAGTTGTAGGAGTTGATGGTTGAATGTTTCTCCGGAAATGGCAAGGCGAGTAGAGTAGACTAAACCCGAAGCTGAAAGTGAAACACAAGCTTCACTGGAATCGATCGACCTTCAACACTCTTCCTTCCCGCTCCCCGACCTTAATTCCTTTTTCTGCACCTTGGAACCCGTCCAAGACTCCAACTGCAACTGCACCAACCACACTGACCGTTCTGGTTTCTTGTCTCACTTCGCATTTTTTTCTCTCTCTGGCATTTGATGCCGATTCCATTCGCTCACTTCTTTGCTGCATTAGATTGTCAACCCCAGGTTTCGCGTCTCCCGTCGCAATCTGAACCGCTGGATCTCCGTTCGTCGACCGTCGGGCTGTTCCCCGTTCCCCCCTCTCCCCTCTCTTAAATCGTGTTGTGACTACATTCACACCTGGCTGTCTTTTCCTTTCCTTACTCGATTATGTTGATTTTTTGAATCTTCTTCCCCTTCTATATCGATTCTTAATTGTTTTATCGCTCGAATTGACTTCTGACCGATAAAGATCGGGCGGTCAGTTGACAGAACGCTGATCTACTTACACCCCCTCGATCTCGTATCCGCCACGTACGACTTATCAATCGTTCGCAAACTGCTGGTGCATGCTTGCGCTGTCGTGCCTCGTTCTCTGGTAGAGTGGCTGATAACCTTCTCTTCCTAATTAAATCATGGAGCTTCGACAGTTTTGGCGCCCTCGTCAATGGGCCTTGTGGCTGTTGTTCGCTTCGTGTACCTACGCATTCTACATCCCTGGTAGGTCGGCATCGCTGGTGTTGCGACAACCATCCACTCTATCGCTGACCCATCGGTCTTCTTATTAGGATATTCTGTCAAACGCTACAACGACGACGAACACATCCCTCTCCTCGTTAACAAGATTTTCTCCGATAACACTCAGCTTCAGTATGCATACTTCGACTTGCCTTTTGTCTGCCCTCCCAGCGGCCGAACCCATGGCGGATCCCCGTTTGGTTCGGGACAAAGCGTGTCTCTTAACCTGGGAGAAATCCTTCGCGGCGACCGTATCATGACATCTGATTTCGAATTGCAGATGGGCCAGAACGTCGACTGTCGGGTGCTCTGCGAACAAGAGATCGGGCGCAAGGATATCAAATGGACTCGTCAGCTCATCAAGGAGGGATACGTGGCCGAGTGGATTGCGGATAACCTGCCTGGCGCAACAAGCTTTGTGACTGTGGACGGAAGTCGCAAGTACTATGCTACCGGCTTCAAGCTCGGTTTCCAGGAGTACTCGAACATCGACGGCAAGCTGCGGTATTACATCAACAATCATTTCACTATTGTCATCCGCTGGCGGTCGGCACCGGAAGGCGGCAAGGTCATTGTCGGCTTCGAAATCCACCCGAAGAGCATCCGCGCGGAAGATCACACGCAGAACGGTTGCCCGAGGCAGGTGCACGAGGCGCACGATGGACTTGAGCTGTACATCCCGCCGAATACTTCGAAACTGCGCGAAATGTACCCGGGATCGTCATATATCCCCGAAGACGATGACGAGATCGATGACGGCGCCACCCTCAAGATTCCGTACACCTACTCCGTCTACTTCAAGGAAGAGAACGGGGTTGACTGGTGGAACCGGTGGGACCTCTACTTCACCAACCAAGAAGAGGGCTCTGCAACCCACTGGCTCGCTATTCTCAACTCTCTGACTATCTCCGGTGTCCTCGGAGTTGCAGTGTATGTCATCTGGAGTCGGACTGTGCAGGGTGACATCAAGGGTCGCGGAGATGGAGCTTTGGAGGACGGAAAGCTCAAGGTGAAGTCCAGAGCTTCGGACAGGAAAGGTGACGGGCTTCTGGAGCAGAGCACAGATGTTGAGCGGGATGCGGATGGATCTGACGATGAAGGTCTGGAAGACGTCAGCGGATGGAAACTGCTTCATGGCGACGTATTCCGGACGCCTCAATTCAGCGGACTTCTGGCGCCCCTTATCGGCTCCGGCATGCAGTTGTTGTTCATGGTTTCGGGACTCTTGTTCCTCAGCTGCCTGGGTGTGCTGAATCCTAGCTTCCGTGGCGGATTTGTCAGTGTTGGTATGGGCTTGTTTGTCTTTGCTGGTCTGTTCTCGGGCTACTTCTCGGGCAGACTCTACAAGACATTTGGGGGTGTTCATTGGCGGAAGAATACGCTGATTGTGAGTGTCCTGCTTCTTAATGTCTGTGCTGCTGCTAATACATCCAGACCGCCCTCTTCTTCCCTGGTTTGGTCTTCTGCTTGATTTTCATCCTCAATCTATTCGTCTGGGCTCAGGCCTCGAGTACCGCGATTCCGTTCGGCACTCTGGTCGGTCTTCTTGCTCTTTGGCTCTTGATCCAGGTCCCGTTGGTCTATGTTGGCAGTTGGTATGGCTATGTCCGCACCACGGCTTGGGAGCATCCTACCAAAACAACCTCCATTGCTCGCCAAATTCCGCCTCAGCCTTGGTATCTGCACAGCATCAGCGGTACACTTCTGACTGGACTAGGTCCGTTTGCTGTGCTGTTCATTGAGCTGCTCTTTGTGTTCCGGAGCTTGTGGCAAGACAAGAGCGGATACTACTATGTGTTTGGATTCCTCAGTGCCGTGTCGACGATCCTGATGGTCACGATCAGCGAGGTGACAATCATTGCCACCTACAGTCAGCTTTGTGCCGAAGTAAGTTGTTCCTTTGTGGAGGTGAGACGGGCTGTCGCTAACGGGAGTAGAACTACCACTGGTGGTGGCAGAGCTTCCTGACCGGTGGAAGCAGTGCCTTCTGGGTGTTCGGGTATTGCATCTGGTACTATTACTTCCACCTTCACATCACCGGCTTCGTGTCTAGTCTCCTTTTCTTCAGCTACAGCTTCCTTGCCTGTACCGTGTACGGTCTGTTGACTGGGACTGTTGGGTTCCTGACGGCGTACGCATTTATCCGACGTATCTACAGGTGAGTGATCTGCTTTGTGTTTTTTTTTTGGTGTGATCTGACCAGCAACAGTGCAGTCAAAGTCGATTAAGTGGTTACTTCCACTCAAGACGGACATCAGGGGCGTTTGGTCGGGGCTCGCAATTTCAAATCTCCGCTGAACTTTTTTCAAGATGAATGTACTCGTGCCTCTAACCTTGAAGGGGCGAGTGCAGTCTGTCAGTTGACAGCGTTCATTGCATGGCCTGTGGCCATTTAGCGTGTCAACTTAGATATATATACTCTGCCTTTAGCGAATTTATTCCATTGTGTGAATCCAGGTCTGCGAGCAGCGTATTTTTGACGTGGTTCTAGAAGCAATAGGCCATGCTTCGATGCCGCACCATAAAGGTCATATTAAGAACAAGTCTCTCCTTAGAATCATACAACCACTGAAGCACGACATCATCACATGGACTTCTCCCGTCTGTACGAATTACCCCAAAGTCCACAGACGAATCACATCAAGGGAAGAACAAGACTGACTAAAACAGCTCTAGGCTCGAGCGCCGCTAGATGTTACTGCAGAATACCTGTCACCCGAGTTCCAGGCAGCCTCACCACGTATCCAACCCACCGTGCCGTGCAGTAGCGCACCCACCGCTTTCCTTGCCCCAATCCGGAACCCGCCACGGCTTCCGAGGTCCCATTTGATTATAACCTCTTCTTTTTATTGCTTAGGCACCGGTTGATTCCTAAGCGTCGTGACTCACTCAGGACTTGGAGCTTCGAACCAAATCTACTCGGTTTGGTTTGGTTTGTCTGTTTGTTGTTTGCTCATGTTTGCTCGCTTCGTATACTGTATGTAAATAGACTATATAAGACATCACGAATTTCTGAAGTCCGGCTCATCAATTGCTCAAGCCCTGGCCATTATTGACTGCTTGGCATCTACTACTACTGCTCCCTCAAGAGACGCCCATCTCTAGCTGGGACCTTGTACAATATATCCAGACCCGAAGGAAAAGCACCCTACGACTTCTAGAACAAATCATACAACTCGTCTACTTCTCCCTAACAAAGATTACTCGAGTTGGGGGTCTATACCTTGAAAGAAGTACTTCACCTCCACCATCCATCCATCCATCTATCCCCAAGGATATCACCAATCCAGCACCAATCCCGGAGGAAATACCGAGAAAAAGAAATGACATCCTCCACCTCCCTCCCCCGGCCCCCCGCCACATCACAGCCAGGCAGCGCCAGCGCCATCCCCCGTCGACCCAAAACGGATCTCGAGCTCGCGGCCGAGGCGTGGCGGTTCGTCAATCGGCAGGTGCAGAAGGTCCGGGATCGGCGGGCCACGAAGGCTGCTGCTGCTGCTATCGGTGCTGGTGGTTTGGTTGGCAAGGGATCTAATCAGGAGGAGGAGGATGCTGGGTCGGTTCTGAGTGAAGCGGTGACGGTGGTGGAGTGTGTAGCTGGGGGGGAGGGGATGCGGGAGGGGGAGAAGATGGGGGCTTAGAGGTTGTTGTTGTAATAGGGGGGGGGCCCTTCATGCTTATGCTAATGGTTGGTTTGGGTGGGTAGGGCTGGTAGGTGCCCGGGGGTTCTGTTCTTGGGTTAAGGTTTGGGTCGTGAATTGAGGAGTTTTTTCTATGGATCTAGTATGGCTGTAATGGGGCATGATGGGTCATGAGTTGAATTGGTGTATTGATAGGGTTGAGGGCTAATTGGGTCTAGCAGGTTGGTTCGGTCTTTCGATAGTCTGGGGTGTGGAGAGTGGAAGGAAGGAAGGGATACTGGAGTACGATTTTGAGGGGCAGGCTTGTTTTCTGGATAGCTTTGAAAATGAATAAGAATCAGGTGTATGTGGTCATGAGCAAAGTAGACCCTTCTAAAGCTAGATTAACATAATTGTGTTGGAGGCGATTGGGTTGTGGCTCAACCATCTGATGCGGATATCTTGTTCTATACTAACTCCTACCAGCAATGCTGAGACAATCCGCCCAGCGACAGCGCAGATCTTCAAGCAACTCAAGAAAATATACATACTTTGTACGTAGGTATGACCAAAACTGAAATAACAACTCACATCCTCGAGAAATGCCACCAAAAGTGCCAGCTACCGCAATCAACCGTTGATGACTAACCCGGCGATGGCGTGCTCGCAGGATGCCATCCGATGACGTTGGAGCCTCCATCACACTCACGCTCCAGCCCACCACCAGAGAAGAAACACACCTGAGCTGCGGTGCCGGGTCCCAATCTCGTATGATCCCGACAAGGAACCCTGCACTCTCGAAACATCGGACACGCGGACATTTCAGCCGAAGTCATCCCCACCGAAAGCTGTCAGACAAGGCGACTAGACACGCCACGCCACGTCCACAACAGAACAAGCCATGCTGCGGCTCCAAGCTACGTAGGACGCGGCTTCTAATTCCCTTCCAGAACCCAAGCCAAGAACAAAAAGATCTTCAGGGGATCGTCCGGGGTAGGCTCGAACGCAGCTCCACGCAGGCTTACGACGAAAGCCGCGGCAAGAGAGGGCGCTGATAGGTTGCGGATGATGCCATCGAGCCGCAGGGTTGGCAAATGCGCTTAACTCCGACAGTACATCAGAATCTGGCTTGTGTGATTCGTTGTGGTGCAGAGTACAGTACCTATTCTGAAAGTCAAAGGTAGATCTTGCAGCTGGGGTGGGTAGCTAGTAGCTACTATGCCATACGTACGTCAGTCTGCGTGCGTGGGTTTGGGTTTCGATCGCTCTATCTTGGTTTGATGGGGGGATTGAATCCGTGGGTTGGCGGAGATCTGGTTGCTGGCTGCGGGAATGTCAATTGAGACGTACATATACGTAGTAGTAAGTGAATATTGGGAAGCTGGGGGTTATGCTTTGAAATCAGAGCACGTCTTGATAATTGATTTATTGTTGGAATTCCGCCCGACAACTCAAATATTGGGGTTGAGAAGTGGCGCGTGATATCGTGATTAGAAATGCAAAGAGCCCCTGTGTGACGACGACTACTGTGTCACTGGAAGCAAGACTGGAAGGCGGTTGCTGCTGCGTTTCCGATAAGCCCAGTCTGCCATTCTCTGGACAGCACGGATAGAGGTGATGGGTTAGCACCACGTACTTGTCGTCTCAGGCTATCTCCGACGGCTGGCAAGCGGATCCTTGCTACTCAATATGATCATTGGGGCTGATCTAGAATATCCTCTGTGTCATTTGAAGTAGACGCGTACCCCCTCTTGAAAGCTATCTGATAGATCCCCGTCACTCTCAACAATTAATCCTGAGTGAGACAATGGTTGAGACAACACAGACAAACCCACCGTGATTGCCGACAACCCCGGCCTAGTCGGCACCTCGTGACCACAGCGGATCCGGGGATGGAATCAAGCACCAATCAACAGTCAGCTAAAAAACTGCCAAGTGGGCCAAGATCGGGCCCGGTGCGAGTCCGGCGAATCCTAAATTGTAGAAAATCCCACTAAGCGATGGGCGGTGAACAACAATCGATCCCCCCAGGGTAATGTCAATCTCCTTATCAAAGACAAAATCAGTCAATCAATTGGCTCTTTTACAAGTGTCTGTGGTGTGGTGATGAGTACTATAACTCATGAAACAAAGATTGAGTCAGGTCAAAGGGGATGCGAATCTGGCCAGCATGTGAGCACCGCCATCACCGGAGATTGAGGGCCTCGCGTGGCAAATCATTTAGAAAAAGGCTTTTATCGGGGGACTGGCCTGACCGTTGATCCTGGTTGATAGTCGACAGTCGATAGTGGATATTGATAGACCAGCCCGCATGCAGGAGTCGATCCGCTTCATCTGCAAGATTCTCCTGCTTCACCATCACCATTGAGTTTCCTATTCACTGCACCCGCCTGATGATCAGCAATCATCTGTCTGGTGTGCTGCTGCCCCCTTGGCGGCTATCCATGGATCCTCCCGCAATCACACCATCGTCCCCGCCGATGGTTCCATTGTTATGGTGACATGGAGAATTGACGAGCGAGGCCGAGTGACGAGCCAGAACGAGAAGAGAGATCGGCTACGGAGTACTAAGCCTGATTCTGCCCGCCTTCTTTTTTTAAACCTTTCTTTTTCTCCTGCTTTTTTCCCTCCTATTCTACTCAGTACTCCCATCCCCCTTCATCTCCTGAAACAGGCATTGGGACTCGTTCATTGCTGCAGTGGTCAGTCTCCACTTGAAGCCAGTCACTGTCCGGTCACTGCTACTTATAATCCGGTCTCTTCCTCCTTTTTTAAACTTCCTCCCCCTCCCACTCCTTCTTGCCTGCGTCACTTTTCTGGTCACTATTACTCAAGACAGACTTGTTGAGAACGGCTGTCCCTTTTACAGCAGCTATCTACAGGCCATCCTAGACTATACAAGTCTACAATCCCCCACCCCCGGTCCACAGAGAGAGCCGCTTATCGCCATGGCTGCCAAAAGGCCCAACATCCTTTACATCATGGCCGACCAGATGGCCGCCCCGCTTCTGGCCTTCCATGATAAGGACTCCCCCATCAAAACCCCCCATTTGAACAAGCTGGCCGAAGAAGGAGTGGTTTTTGATTCCGCCTACTGCAATGCGCCGCTGTGCGCGCCCTCCCGTTTCGTCATGGTGACCGGTCAACTCCCCTCCAAAATTGGTGCGTACGACAACGCCTCCGACCTGCCCGCCGATGTCCCAACCTACGCCCACTACCTCCGCCGCGAGGGCTATCACACTGCATTGGCGGGTAAGATGCACTTCTGTGGCCCCGATCAGCTGCACGGATACGAACAGCGCTTGACTAGCGACATCTACCCTGGCGATTATGGCTGGTCCGTCAACTGGGACGAACCCGTAAGTCTTTTGGAATTGTGGTCCGAGAGCGAGGAAATATTGACCCAAATAGGATATCCGTCCCGATTGGTACCACAACATGTCGTCCGTCATGGAGGCTGGCCCCGTCGTTCGCACAAACCAGCTCGACTTCGACGAGGAGGTGATGTACAAGTCGACCCAATACCTCTACGATCATGTGCGCCAGCGCGGCGACCAGCCTTTCTGTTTGACCGTGTCGATGACCCACCCGCATGACCCCTATGCCATGACCAAGGAATACTGGGATCTGTATGAGGATGTGGACATCCCCTTGCCCAAGCACGGCGCGATTCCCCAGGATCAGCAGGACCCACACTCCCAGCGGGTGCTCAAGTGCATCGACCTGTGGGGCAAGGAAATGCCGGAGGAGCGCATCAAGGCCGCGCGCCGCGCTTACTATGCCGCCTGCACCTATGTGGACACCAATGTGGGCAAGCTCCTGAAGGTGCTCGACAACTGCGGTTTGCGCGACGATACCATTGTGGTGTTTACGGGCGATCACGGCGACATGTTGGGCGAGCGTGGCTTGTGGTACAAGATGACGTGGTACGAGGGGTCGGCACGTGTGCCCATGATCATGCATGCGCCGAAGCGCTTCGCGGCTAAGCGGGTGGCGGAGAACGTGTCGACGATGGATCTGCTGCCGACGTTTGCGGACTTGGTGGGCGCGCCCTTGGTTCCTGGGCTGCCGTTGGACGGCGTCTCGCTGCTGCCATACTTGACGGGTGGGGACGGCGTCAAGACCGATACCGTGCTGGGCGAGTACATGGCCGAGGGCACTCAGTCGCCGACCGTCATGATTCGCCGCGGACAGTGGAAGTTCGTCTACTCACTGATCGACCCCCCGATGCTGTTCGACGTGGTTGCCGACCCGGAGGAGCGCGTCAACCTGGTCGCAGGCCTGCCAGATCCATCCAAGCTCGTCGCTGTCAATGGCAAGGGGACAGGCTTGCCCACCCCGAATGACTTCCCGCGCGTTTCGCGTGGCCCTGACGGCACCTCGTCCTTCCCCTTCCCGACCCCACCACGCACCCCAAGCCCCTCCAAGCACTCTTCGGTGTTGCCTCAAACCAGCGACCCCGCCACGCTCCTGGCACACTTTGTCGAGGAAGTGCACACTCGCTGGAACCTGGAGCAGATCCGCGAGGACGTTCTCCGCTCCCAGCGCCGCCGCCGACTGGTCTACTCCGCCTTGATCAAAGGCGTGCCATCGGTCTGGGACTACGAGCCCCGCATCGACCCCAGCACGCAGTACGTGCGCAACCAGGGCAAGGGGGCGTTGGACGATGTGGAGTTGATTTCGCGGTGGCCGCGGGTGTTGCAGCAGGCGGCGAACGCTATTGGGAGGGTGTAGCTGACCCGTTACAAGCTTTTTTATTCTCTGGATGTGTCCAAAAGTGCCTGCTTCTGATTTCTATGCGTTGAGCGAGGCGCTATACCCGACCTTTGCATGATTACATCTGACATAACATTCGATGTTTCTGTTAGCATATTGTCTAGTCGTTAGTGTCGATGATTTTTGGGGTATTTGTGATTGGTTTTGTGATACTTCGGAGGGTCAGGTAGCTGGCTGGCTGGCCCGACGGGCGTACATTGGACGAGGTGCATGTGTATAAAGTCGGTTCTTGGTTTGTTTTGACTGTGAATAAGACTGAACACGATATATTCTTTTTATTATGCCGCAGCAAATTGTCCTTGGTAGCTTGTGTGAGGGTATCCGGTAAGACCTATTGCATAGCTATAGCACAAATTGACTCGAATACTTGAGCATAGAATTACACATACCACCTTTATACCGCGCGATCAACGGCGCCCACCCACGGCGTTTCTAACGACACAGGAGCGGAGCACAGCAAAAGACCCCCCAGGGGACCAATCGAAATAATCATCCTAACCGGATACCGGATGTGGATACCCGGGACAAGCAAAAAACGACAACAGTCGGATTTGAACCGACGCCTCCGAAGAGAATAGATTTCTAGTCTATCGCCTTAGACCGCTCGGCCATATTGTCTTATCTGAAGAACGTGGAGTAGTGGGCGTATATAGTCCAGACAGTACCTTTACACTGTACCTAGTAACGGATTGATCGGAGTATGATATGGTAGGCTCAGGCACTGCACTCACTTTACTTCTCATATATGGTGAATCACCACTAACAGAATATGTAGTTGAGATTGCTATGTAAAACCATGCTATAGCTAACAGACAAATTAAGCCTTGAAGTTATATACAAAGAAATAATCCCAACGCATCGCTGCATACAACATGTAACAAGATTAACGGTAACTATATAAAGCCATAACCCCTGCACGCTGCACCTGCACCTGCACCTAATGACCATGCAAATACACCCAATGACACCCTCCCCCACCACCATGAAAGAAATCAATATCACCCCCAAACCACCCTCCTGATCCTAATATTCGCCAAATGCGCCACCCCAACCACCTGCCTCACCGCGGGCGCGCCCCCTGCACCTTTCCCTTTCCCTTTCCCTTCGCCCCCTCTCCTCCCCCGCCTCAACCAATGCCCAGAATTCTCCCCCACAAACACCAAGAACAACCCCCTCTCCAGTGTCGGATCAGGCCGGAACTTATCAAAATACGCCCTCTTCCCCTGGATCGGTAACCGGGCAAACGCGTACCGATACGCGCGCCGGGTAAGCTTCTCGACCAGCGGGGACGCAAACCCCTCCACCCGGCCGAGCTGCGCGTACGGCTCGACCCCCAGACTGAGGTAGTTGCACCCCAGCCGGCGGAGGAGCGCCATCGCCGCGAAGACGAGCAGATCCGAGAGGCCCTTGGGGCTGCCGGGGATGGCGATGCAGGGGTCCAGGTGGTAGCCGTGTTGGGTGCCGAGGTAGCGGAGGGCGGCGAGGGAATTGGGGGTCCCTGTGTGGGGGGCCGTGGTGTAGATGTAGATGATCTGGGGGTGGGTTTGGGTTTGCGGGGTGGTGAAGGGGGTGGGGGTGGTGATGAAGGCTTGGGTTTGTGTTCCCGTGGAGTTGCGGTGGTGGCGCCAGGTTTTGTAGATCTCCGTGAGCTGGAATTGCAGATGGTCTTCTGTTGTTGTGGCCGTGGAAGGGGATGAGGGGGTAGGGGCGATGTAGACGTCGAGGGTTATCCCCCCTTTTTCTGGGTGGAGGAGTTGTTTGTTCTGTAGGACGATGCGTTTGCCTTCTTGTTCGAGGAGGACCGGGTTGGTGACGGGGTTGAGGACGCGCTCGCGGCCGAATTCGAGGATCGTCCAGCTCTTGGTATCATTCTCGTTCTGCGGGGGCTGGTGCTGGTGCTGGTGCTGGTGCTGGCGCTGGGCGTAGTCGACCATGCGCTCGCTTGTCCCCAAGAAGGCGATGCCCAGACGCTGGCGTTGGCGCCAGGTTTGGAACTCGGAGAGCACGGAGCCATATTCCTCGGCCGCGCACATCGGGTCCCCTGATACGATGGCGACTTTGTTGCACACCTTGAAACAGAGCAGGGCTGTGCGGGTGGTGTTGACGAACAGGCTGTAGCTTGGGTCCAGCACGCCCATGTGCGAGACTTGGCCGTGCCGCGAGATCAGATGCTCGATTGTTGCCATGCTGCATGGCGGGTTGAGAGTGATGATGCGGCTGGGCTGGGGCTGTTCAGTACAGTAAGATGAGGAGGATTTGCTGATACCTGGGCTGGGGCTGGAGTCGTGGCTGGTGCGGCTGGAGGCCACGCTGCGGTCGTCGTAGGAGGATAGCGTCATGGAGGAGGATTTGCGCGAGATGTTGCTGCTGCTGCTCGTGCTCGAGCGGGGGATTTGAGGGACGGTGAGGTAGGGAGAGGTGGAGAGGAGTTGCTGGTCAACCTGGTGCCAACCATTTTGGTGACGTTGCCCTGACGGTTGATCGGGATGCTGGTGCTGGTGCTGGTGGTAACGGTCACCAAACGAGAGGAGACGCTCGTGCAATGCTTGTCCGATTGTATCTGCCAACAGAGCCTTGGCTGGTTTATTCGGCGGATTCGTATCTGTGCCATGCTGCTTCTTCTGTTGCTTCTTCGCTCTTTTGCTCTGCTTGGGGGATTCGGTCGAGGTGGGTGAAGACATGGTGACACTGTCGTTCAGCACCGATCTGTACAGAAAGTCAATTGTCCTGGATGTGATCAGAAAGATGAAAGATATACCATGAGGCGAGACGAGGAAGAAAAGGAGCTGAAAGGGAACAGAAAACGAGCATGGCGCCAGGCTCCAGCAAAGCCCTCTCAGCCCCCCCCCCCCGCGTACTGCCTCATTCCTAAACTGGTTTATGTGCATCGGCTTTGGGCGGCAATTTAGCCAAAAACGGACCACCCTACACATCGGAATCAATAACGAGGGCCGTGAACCCTGGCCAGTGGGTCGGGACTCGAGCTTAGGGTCTGGCGCCTGAGATGGCCGCCGCTGCAGCCATCCATGGAAAATGATGACGGAACAATTGGTTGGCCTTGGAAACGTTGTTGACTGAGGGGTCGGACAGACGATGTCAATCTACATGCTATTCCTGTCCGCCGCCCTGGCCTCGTCCGATCTATTTAGGGTGGCGTAAAGACAATCCCTCGTCTGTAGTCCACAGCTGTATGTACAACGGATCCATTGACTGAGGCTTCGCCCGATGGGGTTATATCGTATTCGTATCCTGATTGGGTAATGCGTGTCAGGATCGGAGAAATCAAAACACGGCTGCCTACGGTGTATGGTTCTTGCAGAAAAGCAGAAGAAAGGGTCTTTGGCTCTCGTCAGCCCTACACGGGTCACGGAAGTTGGCCGTCACTTCAGCAGCGTCGGGGGCCGCGGGGACCGTGGCGCATTCCTTCCGAGAATCCGCGCAGGGAAGAAGAAAATTGCAGCCTGGTCAAGCTCAGTCAGTAGCCAGGAACGGGCGCAGTCACACAAGAAGCTTAAATTTGATTAGTACTTGGTGGTGGGCGTTGAGTTATGTTGGTTGGTTGTGTTGTGTCGGTTTTTGCGTCGATGGCTGAGTCAACAGCCAAGCTTTCTTGACTGTCGGGGAAGATCGCTTGGTCTTTTTTTGCTTCTCTTTCCCTCTCTTTCATTACTTCATCTCAACTTCGGAACATCGGAAGCAATCCGAGCTCAATGATGTCAATGACTAACAGGAACTCTCCATCATGCAATAAAATTTGCAGGGATCAGTTACCTGGATGAATATCAGTCGCAACAGCGATTTCCCGACAAGCTTTATCGGTCAGATCCTGCAGCAGCAACAATGATGACGCCCACGCCTCTTTCCGCCGCGATCAGCTCCTCCGTTCGCCAGCCCTACCGCCTTCTCCGACCGGCCGTCATTCTTACCCGCGCCAACAGCAGCAGCAGCAGCAGCAGCAGCAGCAGCAGCAGCAGCAGCAGCAGCAACACCACCACCACCAAACCTAGCAATGCCAGCTTAAATCTCCACCATGCCACCACTTCAGATGCTTCCCAGCTGACTGACGTATTCCTCCATTCCTTCTCCGATGCCTTCAACCGTCGCTTATTCCCTCTGACCGACGATGTGCGCACCTGGTGGTTCGAGAAATTCACCAGCGACCTGGAGGAGACCGGCAAGCCCACATCTGGCAGCACAATCCTCAAACTCGTGGACGAGAGCCGGAAGGATCCGGTCATTGCAGCTTTTGCCCAGTGGAAGCTGTACTCCGGCGAGCAACACCAACCCGAGCCAGCACAGCTGGACGAGCTGAGTCTCGCGCAAAAATGGCCCCCAAGCTCTGATAAGAAACTGTGCGAGGAATTCTTCGGCAAAATGGACCAGGAGAAGTGGGAGGTCATGGGGGCCAAGAAGTATTACTGTGAGTTTTCTCCTCGGCTACCTCCTGGTTGGCTGGCCCAATCAGTGAGCAAGCACAATCTCACAGTCCATAATAAAAATAGATCTCGACATGCTCGCAACCCACCCCAACTACAATGGACGAGGACTGGGGTCGCAGCTCTTGCGATGGGGGCTACACCGGGCGGATGAAGCCGGGGTGGATACATTTCTGGCCTCGACCCCCCAGGGCCGACGGTTGTATGAGAAGTATGGATTTCAAGTGGTGAAGGAGTACGAGGTTGTGGAGGGGCATGTCCAGGCGTCGATGGTGCGGCCTGTGCGGGAATGAGCTGGCAATTTCGGTTATTGAGTCGGTTAGTTAGCGAGAAGATGTGCGTATATGTACGATAGATAGAAAGACTACTGTGTACTAGTTGACTTGGTGCTGCAAGAAAAAGGAGAAAAAACCCGAAAATAGGCACGGATCATCGGCTCAGCCCTACAGGGCGAGGGCCCCACTCTTTTTACTGTAACCCCCCAATCCGGTCGTTCTGCCCAGTTCTCTCCACGTTTCCTGCTCTTCCAGTTTCCACTTCTCTTCTCCCTCTTCCCCTTCCTTCCCTTCCTCCCTCTCCTCTACCTCTCCTTGTTCTTTCAACCCGTGTGTGCCCGTCTCGTGTCATTTCTCCCTCTATGTGGCACACACACGATGGCCCTCCCCGAACCTGGCCTTCCCACCCCCAAACTCCTCCGTGAATCCACCGACCTCACCTTTTCCTCCACCTTCACCAGCTCCAGCACCCGCTCGTTCTCCTACACTCCCAACACCGTGACCTTCACCCGTACCCGCACTCGCCTGCCTGCCAACAAACCCAAATACCGCATCCTGCACCAACCTCTGTTCCGCAATTCCCTCCTCGCCGGCGTCGGATACCTAGAACTAGCCAATGCGGCCGACTTTGCTGCCAATGTCTGGAACGGGATCCCGGTACCCCTGCACGCCAAGATCTTGATGGCGATTGGCGGGCCTTGCGCGCTGTGCATGACTCTGGTCGCTGCCCGAGACATGTACCTCAGCGCCGCCAACGTGCGGTTGCTGCGTCAAGAGAGAACTTTTCTCGCTGACAGCACCTCCACCGGTGCATCATCAGCCGACCACACCAGTGACGGCTCCCACAAACCGACCCCACCATCCAGCGAGAGATCCACCATCGACAAGCTCAACGAATACAAGCACGGCGTCAATACCCGCGAGGTGCTCACCGAAGTCATCGATCGCATCCTCATGGACCTGCTCATGGGGGTTGGAGCCCTTCTCGTGGGCATCGGCACACTGCTCGCGATCTGGGGCGCTGATCGGACCATCTACCGGGCCAGTAATCTGCTGTCCGGGTACGTGGGCAATGGACTGGCGGCGGGCTTCGGCCTCGTCAATGCGATCTGGTCCGCATATCTGGTGTGGCGGTTCCAGCGGTGCTGGAAGGCGTGCGCGGCGGCGGCGGCGGCGGCGGCGGCGGAGGAGGAGGCGGAGGAGAAAATTTCCCGTGACAAAAAACACGAGCTCCCGGCCTCGCTGAAGACCAAACTCCGGGCGCGCATGCGGGCCCTGCAGTTACATGCCGTCGTCAACGGCGTCAACGGCGTGGTGGCCGGGGCCGCGAGCATGGTCACGGCGACCATGTGGTACGGGTACGTGGTCCTGGTGCCGTGCATCGTGAGTCTGATCCTCCTGAACGTGTTCTGGCGCGCGAGACTGGGCTACGACCGATCGTTGGGGACATTCTCCTCCACCGGATTTGACGCGGAGTTGTGCACCACTGCCACGGCCACGGCTGCTGAAAATCCCGTCCGCACCACCATCACAGAAGACGACCCTGCCACAGATCACCCGGAGGGAGCACAATCCACTCCCGATGCCCTCCTCGCCCACCACAAGGAAGACATCGACCGGGACAGCCCCAACGAAGACGCCCTCTCCATCCTCCTCACCGAGCTCGCCTACGTCAGCGAAATGCACCGTGCACTTCTACACACCACCACCGACCTTCAACACAATGACGACAGCAGCCACCAAGAAACCGAAACCGAAACCCGGATCCTCCGAACCCTCCAGCTACTCCCCATCACCACCCTGACCCCAACCACCCTCCTCGCCTTCATCACGCACCACAACCTCTGGGAGAGTTTCTGCGTCTGGCTCATCGAAAGCCAAAGCGGCCCGTCCCTGCTCAAAAGGGTGTGGAATATCCTCCGTCTCCGCAGACGTCAATCAACCACCACCAGGACTACAGCGGAAGAACTAGACGCCATCCTGGGCTTGGGGATAGACACGAACCCCAATGCTGTCTCCCCTCTACCCACCTCTGCAGCCTCTCAAGGAGGAGAGGAGCTAGCGGCTCCAGCAGCAGCAGCAGCAGCAGAGGTAACGCTCCTCCACCCGGAGGACCTGCTCACGCGCTGCAAGGACCCGACCCTCCTCGTCCGCAAGATGAAGGCGTTTCTCGTCGGGAACGTGACCCGGTGCTTCGCCTACCGCGAGCGGTATCTGCTGGAGATGGTGGGGTATGCCATCTGGAAGGAGTCTCTCGCCAATCCGGGAGATTGTGATTAAGAAAAAAGGGGCTCAAAAGAAGTAGGGGTAGGGGACGCGGTCATTCGATATGACCACAGCTCCCCCCTAAACCATTGTGCAGGACACAACACGACGAATCCATCAATGAATGCTGAGCATCATCGCCCTTTCTTCAGCAAAGCTTGCCTCGAACTTCTACATAAATGTACACTTTAGAAGTCCGAAGATTATGGATACTTTATCTAATAACTACTTTGGTTTTTTTCTCATTGGCGTTCATCTAAGGCTCATTGATATGACATGACATTGACATTGACATTCACATTGACATTCACATTCACTCCTGTACATTCTACACGATAACATACCGTAGACGTCATACTCTAAGCGACTGACACTCTCCAGCCCCGCAACCCCCTTCCGCTGACATGCGTTTGGGGGAGGTGTAGGTGTAGTCGAGGCAGGAGACCCGCAATTTTTTACTTCATTCAATATATACAGGCGCCTTGACCAGCACATTCTGCGGCCCCCGCCCACGCACCTCCGCCAGCACGAACGAGGAGAACCGGATCCGCGCCAGTCGCTCGCGGTCCTCGGTCGCTGCGCTGCCGGCAGAAGGAGCAGAAGCAGAAGCAGTCGTGCCAGGAATGGTCACGTTGGAGACGGAACCAGGACCCGTCGGGAGCGCAACACCCGGAGCTGCTGTTCCCGCTCCAGCTCCAGCACTACCAGCACCAGCGGTAGCAGCAGCAGGACCCGTCCGTCGACCCATCAGCGAGCTGAACATCGACCGTTTGCGGGATTCTCGCTCGCCGCCTGCGCCACTGCCACTTCCACCACCACCACCACCACCGCTACCGCCTCTTGGAGGAGATGGGTTGGTCGGGCTGGTCGGGGGAGCTAGTGCAGCAGCACTAGTATTAGTGTTAGCTGGGGCGATCCCTGCTACGCCTAATACGCCGGCGCTAAATTCACGGTCCATGTCTATATCATCGGGGATGGTCGTTGCCCCCTCCGATGCTGCTGCGGCTGCTGCTACCGCTGCCGCCGCGGCACGATCGATTTCCAACGAGGTGCCTGTTGACCGCTGCTGCTGCTGTGGTAAAGGTGGAATGCCCGATTCCACCCGCATGGTGCCTTCGTTGAGGACAGCGCCAGGGAGGATATATTCGACGACGATGTCCCGCGACTCGAGCGGGATCTTCTCGGCGATGCCGATCGCGTTCTCGACGATCATGCGGGCGCCGGTCTCCAAGCCAGGGGGCGGGGGCGGAGGCACGGTAGACGTCGCGCCGCCCGGAGCCGTCTCGATGCGCATGTACGCCGTCAGGGTCGCGACCAAACTCCCGACGAGGCGGTCGATGAGCTGCGCCCGGAAGTCGGCGGCCTGGGTGCCGCTGGCCTGCAGCTCGGGGAGGCCGTCGAGGGTGGTGCGGCGCCAGTTGCTGATGCGTGCGACGGCGTTCTCGCGGTCCTCGTCCGTCGTCGCGGTCACCTGGACCTGCTGGCGGCGGAGGTTCATCTCGATGTCCTTGAGGGCCCGCGAGAGGGCCGGCTCGAGGCCCGGGTGGAAGTAGCGCTCGAAGACCTCCTCGACGAGCCACCGGCTCATCACGGCGCGGCCGATGGCCGTCATCTCTTTCGTGCCGGTGGTGTGCGCGTCGTCGCTGACGTAGCCGGTCAGCCACGGGGGCAGGCGCGCCCAATCCTTGCGGATGGAGAACGCGAGGTCCTTGATCGCCCCGTCCAGACGGGAGAAGCGGCTGGCGTACTCATTGTCGTCTAGCACGGTGCGCGAGACCGCCATGCGTTGGTGCGCCACCGTGTTCTGGAGGTGCTGCACTTGCGCTTCCTTTTCGAAGTAGTACCGTTTGACTTTGGAGTATTTGGCCTCTGTTGGAACGGAATGTTAGATCACGGAACGGTGGGGAGGTTGATGGTAACAAGCGTACGCAGTTCGTCATGTTTCTGCACCAAAGCCCGCACGTCGATGTCGCTTGACTCATCGCGAGCTTCTCGGCGCGCGTCGCGGGTCTCCCGCACACTCGGAGTGCTGCGTCCTGCGTCGGCACTGGGTTGGGCGGCGTTGGTCCGATATCCGGTATCTGACTGGTTGTTCGATGCATGCAAGGTGTGGCTGGCGCCAGAGGCAGCTTGGTTGCTGTTGCTGCTGGCCTGCAGCACGCCTGAAGGACGATCTGTCATACCGCTGGGGGACTCGGGCTGTGTGGGGGGCAATTGTTGACGCAACGGAGACGGGGGTCCGACAGACTGTCTGGAAGGCGGGCGAGCTCCCACCGTTGGGTCAAGCTGAGGTTGCGTCGGGGCCAATTCACCGTGGTGTTTACGGGGTGGATCAATAGGAGACGATCGGGCGAGGTGGTCGAGCAGGCCCGAATCGGTATTGGATCGTTGAATGGTAGAGTGCGGGGAGCGGGGCGGTCGGGTTTCCAGTGTCGGCACGGTGTTCTGCGGCATGTGGAACGAGGCGGGAGGAGGGCCTGCACGTAATGAAGGATGTGGACGAGGCTGTGTTTGGGCCTGCGGCTGCGGCTGCGGCTGGCGCTGCGGTGGTTGTGAATCCCAGCGAGTTACGTGAACTCCCGACCGTAGCTGAGGCGGTAGGTGTTCCTGGGATGGGGGTCGCGATGATAGATCTTGTGACAGCGGCTGCGGGGGCTGCTCCAACCGTGGTTGCGACGGAAGTTGTCCTGACTGCGATTGTGGCTGCGGCCACGGTTGCAGTTGCGGCTGCGACTGGGCGTGCGGGTGTATATGTTCTTGCGACGATGGAGGGGAATAGGCGCCGTCTAAATCATGCTCAGGTGTCCAAGCTGTAGCGGGACGGCAGTCGGAGCTGGTGTCGATAGACAACGGTCGCTGATGCTTATTCCGGCGACCGGCGGCGGAGAACTTCTTGACCGACCGATTCCGCTGCACGGTGTCGCTTGTGGTGGCAGAGGAATGCAAGGAGAAAAGGCTGCGGCGAGACTTGCGTGGTTCCTGAAGTTCCTGCTCGTTAGACTGGTTGGGGAGGGGCCACGACTGAGGTCTGTCCGTCAGCAAAATAATGTGTTGTGTGTAGATAGGTAAAGCAGAGGCAGATCCGATAAGGGAAGGTGGAGTAGTAGTGTTCGTTCATACCGGATGAGTGTTCTCGCGGGGGCTGCGGTGACTCTTGCTGCGTCGGAGAGGAGCAGCAGTAGTAGAATATGGAGGAGGTTTTGGGGAAGATGAGTTTGTTAGAGGAGAAGACGAATGGGGGTGAGACTGAAAATGAGGGTGTGCGTAGGCGTGGGAATGGTGAGGCTGAGGCTGAGGCAAAGAAGGATCGCGGGCGGTGGAGGAGGAAGCAGAGGCAGAGGAAGACGAGGACAAGCGACGGGGCCGATCGTCGGGGTGCTGCTGGTGCTGGTGCTGGTGCTGGTGCTGGTGCTCGACGCGAGGGGGAAGATGCTCAACCGATCGGAATGCAGACGCGACAGCGGCAGGCAATTTGGCTTTGCGGCGAAAGAGGGGCATGGAGATGGAAAGGGGAGAGAAATAGAGGAGAGACAAGAAAAAGAAGGATGAATGGAGAGGCAGAAGATGCTAAGTAGGTTGGTTGGTTTGGTAGTTGGTGGTGTATGAAAGAGAAGTGAGAAGCAAAGAAGAGAGAGGGGGAAAAGCGGCAGCAGAAGCTCATCAACTGGCAAGCAAACAACAGCAACAGCAGCAATCACGGTACAACCAACTAATTATTCCTCATTGGCGCCTGTGACACGAGATGAGGCGCAAAGAAAGACACTCAATTGGCAAGCCAAGTCAAGGGTGTGTGTTCAGTGACTTCCAGAAAACCAGGAAACCCCGAATTAAATACCCAGCCTTGGCTCTGCTGCTGCTGCTTACGCTTGTCTGTGAACACTGCCTCGCCCCCAGATTTAGTGGCTGATACTAAGAGCCCCATGTATGTATAGTCACTTTAGAAGTTAACTACTGTGTCAGCCCCAAAGGATGAATTAAAGGGTCTTCATATGCTAGTCTCATTATTCAAACAATTATCAAACCAGTATTTACAACATATGCGATGTGCATCATCTAGCACACACCGTGAGTCTTACCCGTCTTGCCCTGCAACGAGTGGGTTTCGTTCTTGTAGTGGTGGTGGGTGTGCTTGGCCTTGTGCGAGTGGGTGGCATGTTGGCGCACGTGTCTAGAATCTCGTTAGCTTACAGCCAGCTTTGCATGGTTGCATCAATCCACTTACTTAGTGTAGCGCTCCAACATGGTCTTGTCCATCTCGCTCAAGGTGCTTATAGCCAGCTTGATGTCCGCCAACAGCGCGTCACACCGGTTCATGCTGAAATCCTCGCGCACCACCACCCGCATCAGCTTCAGAGAGTTGCTGTTGGGGGCCATCGTGTACGCCGGCACAATCCAGCCACGCTCACGCAACTGGTGCGCCACCGCAAACTCGTCGAACACCTCGTCGCGGTCCGGCCGCAGACGGAAAGCCACCAGCGGCAGGCCCTTGCCGCCGCGCTGGCTCATGATGATGAAGCCCATCTTCTCCAACTCGCTGGCCAGGTAGTCGGCAATCTTGGTGATATTCACCATGATCGACCGGTAGCCCCGCTTACCAAGTCGGATCATCTGGTAGTACTGTCCGATCACCTGCGACGCTCCCTTGGAGAAGTTGAGCGTGAAACTGGCCTGCTCCGCACCAAGGTAGTTGATGTTGAAGATCAGCTCCTTAGGCAGGTACTCGGGCGAGCGCCAGACCACCCAGCCAACACCAGGGTACACCAAGCCGTACTTGTGGCCGGACACGTTGATCGACACGACCTTCTCCAGGCGGAAATCCCACTTGAGGGTGGGGTGGATGAAGGGCGCCACGAAGCCACCGCTGGCCGCGTCCACGTGGATGGGGCAGTCAATACCACGCTCCACCAGCAGGTCGTTGATGGCCTTCACATCTTCGTACTCGCCGGTGTAGGTAGTACCCAGAATGGCACAAATACCGATGGTGTTCTCGTCCACCAGGTCGACTGCCTCCTTCGGATCAATCACATAGCGATCCTCCGTGCAGTAGACGTACCGTTCCTCCACGTCGAAGTAGCGAGCAGCCTTCTCCCAGCAGACCTGGACGGCGCTGTTCATAACAATGTTGGGACGCGACCAATCCTTACCCTCGGCCTTGCGCTTGTTCTGCCACCGGCGCTTCATAGCCAGGGTACCCAGCATGATAGCCTCGGACGAACCGATGGTCGAGGTACCCATGGGGTGCTCATCATCACTGTCAGTGGGAGCGTTGAACAAACGGGCAATCATGTTCACACAGCGGTTCTGGATCTCTGCGGACTGAGGGTATTCTTCATAGTCAATGAAGTTCTTGCTGAAGGATTCGGCCATGAGCTTCTCAGCTTCGTCTTCCTATAATTTACCGTCAGGTCACGTCCCAGAGAGTATGGTCCAGACGAAATTACCATGTAGGTGGTCACAAAGCTCGCCAAGCTGCCAAGGGAGAAAGAATGATCAGCCATCCATTGATTCACAAACGAAGCACTAGAGCACACTCACTTGAGCATAGGGTTACCATCCAAGCTCAACTCATCCTTAATCATGCGGTAGGCAACCTCCCTGGGCATCTCGCGCTCCGGCATCTCGTGCTGGGGCAACTGCTCCGTCGCGAAGCGAGAACCATAGACACTGGTAGAGAAGTCATCCTCCTCAGCGCTATCGAGCTTGATCGAGTTGACCCGCTTGACGGACTGCTCGATATCGCTATCGCGCTTGATTTGGGCGAGATGAACCATGATGACGTAATGGGATGTAGGAAATGAAGAATACAGGGGGGGATGTGAGAGGAAAAGAGAAAAGGACAGCTCAGGCAGCAGCAGACCAGAGACTTTAAATAGCGCACGCCAGAAAATCAGTCAATGAAGAAAAGGGAATGGGTTGACGCGCCGCCAGGAGGTCCTACCCTGCTCGTTTCGTCGGAGAGGGGAAGGGAAGTGGGCGGCATCAGCCCGTCAGCTCAAGCCTCAGACAACACGAGTGGAGAGGAAAGACAACAAGTGGCTGTTGGTCTCAGCCCCAGGAGGGCAAAACAGCCAGTCAGGGATGACAATCTCGAGCCATCATCCATCATTCACTGATTGCAAGTTTTCGGGAAGGGAAGGGGTCCCTAGATGGTCGCAATTCCAGGCGATCCCGGGACGGCAACACCCCCTCGGCAGACTAATCACTCGTACTTGTGGCACTGAGTGCGTAGAGGGGCTGCCCCTCTTCGTGTTTCCCCCCCTCATCTCTCCCTCTCGGTTGGCAATTGAGCGAATAATGGATCAGGACGAGGTACAATCCGGCGCTAAAAGCTTGAGGAAAGCTTGACCTGGATCGGGTGGAAGGGGGAAACGAGTGGATATGGTCTCAGCCACGATGTTGGAAAGAAAGATTGGTGGTTGTCTCGTGGGGCGGGTGGAGAGCCATAGCCAGCGGTGATATCATCTTTGCTCCAGCTCGTTGGTTTGACCTTATGTCAGGTCGATGTCATTTGGTCCTAGATAAGCACCCATGTGGTCAAAATCAAGATCAAGCGATTGACAAGTATCCTGGAATTTGTGGTGTATATGTCCGAGTATGTATGCATTCATTTACAGTGGTGCTGGTGTGCTTGTGGCCGATGGGGACTTCGGTACCAGGTCTCCATCCAGGGCCCCATCCAGAAGGGCAAAGGAATAAATAGAATCTCTCTCGCAACGGGTGATGGACACCGCTAGCCTGCTAGTTCGCAACAAAGAGGGGCCCTGACAATTGTAGAACAATAGTATTGATGATAGTGAAGAAATAGTCGAGCGTTAATACTCCGTAGGATAGACTAAAAAAAGTGACGATGGGGGAAGAAATGGCGGTGAAATCATCTCCGTCTCCTCTTCTCTGCCTTTCCCCTTCTTGTCCTCTCTATCTCCCCACCCTTGTCAAACTATCCACATGCTGACCAGGCTTGAAGCTCTCACAAGAGGACAGATTGCTATTGTTCTGGTCCTCGACTTGAAGCGGTCTAATGAGACTCACAAGCACTCCTCTCCTCTACGCAATTCCAAGTCGAAAAAAACATCACACGTATACAATAAATATCTCATTCTCTTCACCCCCAGCCCCATTACCATTAACAAAAAGTACCGTATCGATCGTGCCATTCTCAACTCCGACCCAGAGGGGACAGGAGACATGGAATCCATCAAGAGAGACATCACAAGAAGTAAACAAATGCAGCCCAGTGCATTCCAGTCATCCATGGCGTTGACTCCCAACAGTTCCTGCCGCCCAAGTCATATTCCAGTACAATCGCAATCCGACCACCCACACTGGGTGTCAGACGGCGATTTCCCTATTCCCTTACGTTTCTTCTTTCTATATCGTCATTTGTGTCTTGTTGGTTTTCGATTTTTCCCGACTGTGTTCCAGAATGATTAAGTACTGTCCGTCCGTCCATGTTTGGGTATCAGAGTATAAAAAGGGAGAGTGAGCCGGAAATCATTTCCGACCGCCCCCAACAGCCATTTGGGCATTTGGGTCATACATCGCTCATAGGGTCTAGTTCTTGTCGCCCTTGACCTTGCGCTTGAGCCATGACCAGAGACCAGTCTTGCGTTTCTCAGCATTACCCTTTGCTGCCTCAGACTTTGCAGACTCTTGAGCCCGGTTGGCGGCCAGCTTGGCCGCATCCTTGCTCTGATCGGCCGCCGATTTGCTCTCGGGCTCTTGAGCGCCCGTGGTTCCCTCGGTGGCCCCCGCAGTATGCGTGTCTTGTACAGCTGAAGTCTCCTGGGGCTCGGATTTGATCTCTGATGAAGGAACCTCGTCGGTCTTCTGCGCATCCTTGGCAGCGGAAGCCGGCTGAGATTCGGTGGTCTGGGGCTGAGGTTCCTCTACCTTCGACGCAGCAGCAGTCTCTTCCGGAGCCTTGGCCTTGGGAGCATCTAACTTGTCCTCTGCGGCCTCAGCACGAGCTGTGTGCGCTTTGTCTTCCGCAGCCTGCAGAGGCTCCTGGGCCTCGGCGGCTGGAGCAGGCTCGGCTGCAGACTTTACAGCCGCATCGGTGGCTTTCGTATCCGCGTCCGTAATGCTGGAAGGGACAACAATAGCCGGCTCGGCAGCTGCTGCGGTAGTCAAGGGCTCGATCGGAGCTGCCTCCTCCTTCGACGTCTCCCCAGCAGCCTCATCCAAAGTTTCGGGCTCCACATCAGTAGGGGCGACATCGGTCTGGGCGACATCAGTAGGGGCGTCGAGCTTCTCGGTAGCAGGGGCCTCGCTAGCGTCAATGATCTCGGGCTGGGCAGCGGTATCGGTGACAGGGGCTGCGGAGACAGGAGCGACAGTCTCAGGAACCGCCTTATCAAGAACAGCGTCCTCAGTTGCAGGTTTGGCGGCGTCGGGAATGGTAGCAGTACCTTCGACAGGAGCGGCCGTTTCCTTGCTCAGCTCTGGGGCCTCCAACTGATCAACATTGTCCGATGGGTCAGTGCCCAGACCCGGTACCATCTGGGGCTGAACAATGGTCTCGTCAGCAGGAATGGCAGCCGCGCCAACGGCCTCCTGGCTGACGGGCTCAACGGCCTTAGCGGAGGTGGTAGCATCCAAGTCCTCCTCGACCTTGGGGATCTTGGGCGGCTTGTGGTCTTCCTCCTTGTGGAACAGACTACTCTCATAGGGTCTCTTCGCGTGATGGTCATGGCTCTCTGGTTCAAAAGCAGTGTCTTTGGGGCGCTCGGGCAAGGTAGTAGTGGCTGCGACAGCGAGGGAGATAACAGTCAGCGATCGATCCGCGAAGAGAAAAGATATATATGCAACAAGCTGGAATCAATGGCTTACTCAATCCAGCTACCGTAACAGGCTCCTCCTCTGTGACAACGTCGGTGGTAGGCTCATCGGCCTTAGGAAGCGAGGCGTCGTCCGCGGTGGATGCCTCCTGGGCGAGGCCAGCAGGCGGGGCAGTGGTGATGCCTTGAGCGACAGTGTCGGGAAGAGCGGTGGTAGCATCCGCAGTCACAGCTGCGCCAGCATCAGTGACCACGGTTTCGGGCTCAGCATCGCTCTTTGTGAGGGTTTCCTCGACCTCCTGCTCGGGTACACTGAGAACAAGAAATTATCGTGTTAGCGCGGCGCGCAAGAAGAGAATTTGTGCGATTGAACAAGATGTAACACTTACACCGCGGCCGGAGTGTCGGCAACCTTCTTCGCGGCGGCAGCGCCGCCCTTGGACTTGCTCTTATTCTTGCTCTTTCCTCCTTTCTTCGCCATTGTGCGCAATTCAAACCTGTGGGTGGTGGTCCGTGTGGGCAAGCGGTCAGAGACTGGCTCTCAGTGGGAGGAGGAGAATGGACAATGCTTGTTACTAGGTAGGGAGCAGCAGCAGATGAGAACTCACGATTTTGTTCAGAGAGGATGAGGATGGGATCTGAAAGGTCGTGCTGTCCACGATGGGGGAGATTAAGAAGAAGTCGCGCAGACTGGCAAAGTGGAAGAAGTTAGGGGCGGGCAGCAGGTATGTTGGTCCTTTCCGAATGTCTAATCAAATCGGGGAACGTTAATCCGTGGGGGAGTTGTGGCCCCGGGAAGTGCAGGGCAGGGCAGGGCTATAGTATCCTCAACAGTCATTAACTGTAACCAGTAATGACTAGATTCGAGAAGCTCAGACCATGCGCCTTAATGAATGGTGTGACTTGGTGTAGACAGAGGTTGTGAGCATCCACAAATCTAAAAAGTCACCTAGGCACAAGAGGGAAGGGAGAAGGGAGGAAGGAGGAGGGAGGGTGTCGCGTCGCAGGGAGGAGGGTCATGACCATAAAATTACTCCGTTCGACCATACACACCATGCGACAGGAAGGTATTTGCGGATCCAAATCTTAAGCTGGTTACGATTGCGACGCGACGTCTACGAGAGCAATTGGACTAGATGGGTGAGGAGCTTAGCTGTAATGAGAGGCATGATTCCAGAAGCTATAGGGAAATCTGCTCTCAGCCATGGTTAGGATTCATGCGATCGACCAGGAGCTAGCTATCATTTACTGGGGGAACAGTGAAGCAAGCTGGGGATCTACTGTTGTTTCCGCATTGAGAGCAACAGGAGGGAGGGTCTGGTTGCAGGTTTGACCCCTCGAGCTCTCATTGTAGAGAATGCTAGCGCAAGATTCAATTCTTCAAAAGCGCAGCGACTGATAGATTGAGGCGCAAACCTCCCCCCCTCCCCTGATTCCGGCGACTTCAATCCGTACCTGCAGCGAGAAGAGAGGCCAGGCTGCCAACCGTCTTCAGCCGATCGCCCGGAACAGCGGTTATTCCGGTTGCTCTGTCCCAACCAGGCAAGGGATCACGACACTATAGCAAGAAAGAGAAGCTAAGGTATGCCAAGAACTGCTGCAAGTGCAATACATTTACACAGCCAGTATCAACAAGCATCAAGTCAACAACGGCAGACCACTCAATTACTACATTGGTAGGAGTAAGCTTGGTATCTGGGGAAGGGAAAGTACCGGAAATAACCGGGAGAGAAAGCTCGTCAACCTCTTTCATACTCAAATCTACGAGCAGATATACGTGTCATAGACCATAAGGCCAAGAGCAAGGACGAGACGATCTCTCTCGGCCTACGCTGCCCTTCACCAGTCCGCGCGGGTCGATTACATCATGCGAAGTGTAGCCGGGTTCAGAGTACCAATTTGCCCCGGGAATGTCGCCGGTTTCAGGATCTGCTCGATTGACTGGGGGCTAGAGATACCGGGGGAGTGTCTGAGCTGGGGAACAATGGGAATGCCAAACGTGTCGCAGTCAGTGCCTTGTTCGACGGATTTATGCGCACCACGAGGATAGCCACATACCGCTCCAGCACATTCAGCCAGCATCCTGACAGATAAGGGTAGGATCAGCCCGCAAACAGTTTCAGGCTGTTCTCGGGAGTCCCTGGTTCATTCCATACGACTATCAGTGGGAAAGTGCATCTCATTGAATGCCATGTCACTGAACCCTATGTATTCGTACCCGAGAATAATGATGCTGGGAAAGCAGTTGCGGCTTCTAGAAGGCAGAAAAGTTGACCCCGTTACCCCATGGGCGGTTGGTGGTGATGACATCATCGGAGCATTGCCCGGCCAGTCAGCCTCTTTTCCTGCCCAACCACACGCGGGGACAGCGCCCTTACATGGAACAACTTGTTGCTGAGTTGGTATCTGGAAAAAGAATAACTGTTTCTTGGCGGAGTCAACACAGACACAGACCCGAATGAGCTGGGTGAGGATCAAGAACACAAAAATATTGACCGACGCAGGGCTCGAACCTGCAATCTCTTGATTCGTAGTCAAGCGCCTTACCATTGGGCCAGCCGGCCTTGTTGTTGAATTGAGGCAACAAACTTTGTTATCCATATCTAAACACAAGAATAATCGGAAGTACTGTGCCGAGTGGAGGCAACTCCTCGGGACATCCAGTGGGGCAGTCGGAGCTCTCGGCCATCCCAGTCCGTTGATTCGCGCATTATCTCTCGTCACCGGAACTGAATACGGTTAGTTCCTCTCTATGTGCGATTCCCATTACATATTGCTATCGCTTTCAAAACCTATGATAGAGTCTCTCACGGAAAGAACGGCGAGGAGTTTTGGTACGGGTTATCTATCTCAGTGCCACCGTCCGACCCCTTCCGGTAACTGACGTTTCGTCTGAATCCGTCGTCTGCCCCGTTCAGAAAATCCGTCCCAACCGCCACGGAACCAACAAAGAAAACGGGCGGTGGAAATTGGAAATGATGATGATGATGATGATGATGATGATGATGATGATGATGATGATGATGTCGGTTACTACCTGTTGTACTGTACCCCCGGACGCCAGTCAGCCGCTCAGAGCCTTCCAGATTGACCAGGATCCCTGGCATGGATGAGATAGGTGGTGGTGGTGATGGTGGCACGTCGATCGGAAACGTCTTGGCCCATCCTTCTGGAAAGGTTCGGTGCAGCACCTGCCACGACAGAGACACAAACCTTGCGTCTGTTCTCCCCCGTTTCGCTATCCTGGACTCCTGGCCCAGTCTAGGCCAGATGGGCTATGAAATGGAGGGTGGAGGACGAGAACGAGGAGGAGAAGGACGAGTAGAATTGTTTGCCATTTTGCCACATTTACTTCCATGCCAGGGATACAGCTTGGTTCACTTTCGGCCTGTCCGGTGGGTGCGGTTCACACTTACAGTGTCACTGTCACTGTCACTGTCACCCGGCGTTGACCAGAATGGGCCACATGTAGGTGCATGCTCTGCCCATCGATGGCATGGGGGAGCTCGTGCCCCGACTGGGTTCTATCAAAGGACAGCCGTTCAGCACAGTGGCCGGAATTGACTCGGGATCGTTCCAGGTCGGCGTAGAACCAGTGAAAAGGCAACGCTACCACGGTCGTGGTTGCCGGACCGTCGTACCTCGAGACTTCGCGATGTCCAAGCGAATGCAACCCCGACCGTCAGTCAAACTCACTCTGACTCGCGGTGATTGGGGGAAGTAGGGTAGTTAGTCAGCCCTGAGGGGGAAACTGGAAGGAAGAGGTGGGAAAAACCGGACTTCGGCACCGTGACGCCTATGCTGCAATCCCCGGAATGATTCAACCCGTCGATGCAGAAGCAGGAGCAGAAAAGTAATCCTGGTCAGATGGATTCTCGAAGATCCAGAGGGGCGATGCATGATGAGATAATGGAGTCGCAGCCGAGAAAGAATAAATACTACTATGTATTATTATAGGAGTCGATCCATCCAGAAGCCTTTCATCCATCTACAGAGTAGCATAGTAGTGATTAGTGACATATCACTGCATTGCTGTACTGTACTAGAAGTAGCAGCACCACCACCACTTATCAACACAGTTCCTCGGACATACATTGCACTAGTCGCCGGTGTTAATTCACGCACTTCTCACCCAAGTGGATCTCGACTTACCCATCCGCACAATCAGATTTGCCCCGGGGCAAGGTGGTTGAGCGCAAAGGGTGGTAAACTAATCGCGGCTTACCAGACTGGTCCAAAACCGTGGAGTCAGGGCTGGCCAGTGCTGCAACAGCCAGCACCAGCACCACCAGCCCATTGCAAGTCAAGCGAGGGAAATCGATAGGAGACAACAGGTGAATGAGTGAATTAATTTAGGGGAGTTGTGTGAATCGGTCAGTTCTTTTCCCTCAAGTCTTTCTTTCTTTTTGTTATCTGTTATATCTTGTTGTTCATTTCATGCCTTCGATACCCAATCATTGTCAACAATATTGACCCTTTCACTACCCTTTACTCTACGTGGTGGTGGAATGGGTTCCTGATCTCGCTTCTCTTCTCCAATCTCCAATTCTCCGTATCGCTCTTATCCCACTTTCTCCCACTCTCGTTCTCACACCCACCCAAATTGTTATCGCCGTGCGCTTAGCGGAATGGGGCTAAACGGCAGAAGTGACTTAGTGTCTTGAATCGCCTCGTGCCAATCAGCGATACTTATTCGTGGCCAACGAGTAATAAATTCCCCCCCTCGAATTGAATCATAGGTATGGAGTCCACCCGATTTCGATTACTCCTCTGAGTTAGTCGTCGATTTCTCTCACACTGACTGCTGCTAGCCTGCTGCTGCTGCTTAAGATACCCGCATTGCGGTTCATAGCCTTAACCCTCCCTCCTCCCTCCCTCTTCTTGCTACATCTTGCTCTTACTTCGCCCTCTCTTCCTCGTCGCTCCTCTCCTCTCCTCTCTTCCCATTTATCGATCTTCAAATCATCTCCCCTCTTCTCTCCTCTCTTCCCCTCTCCACTCTAGCCATACGATGAGAACGGGCTTTGCTTATCTTTCCAATTGTTGTCTGTGCTTGCACACTCTCCCTCGCGTCCAATCCCCGACTGGGAAAGGCCCGCTACTACATTGAGGTGCGGAGTTAAACAGAGTCAACGCTTAATCTCCACACCTGCACAACCTCGATATCTATTCTCCATACCTCGACTACTTACTTCTCCTCCCGGCCACAATGAATTTCCGTGAGAAGGTTCGACGAGTGTTCCGTCGGAGCAGCAGCTCCTCCTCTTCATCCAAATCCAAGGGCAACGGGATCAAGATCGAATATTACAAGCGCCATGAGATTCCTCGCTCCAAATTTAAGGGTCCCTTCGATCGCGAACACCAACGGAGCCTCGCAGCATGGTCTTTCCAAGGGACGCAAGCCGAGCGACGCCGGTCTTTAGATTTGTCGCTGTCCCCTTGTACATCATTACCGGACTACTTGAGACCTCAATGTGACGAGGAAGACCTGGCCCCGGATCAGATCCCAACGACGGCCCCGGAGGTAGATGTGACAACTGGTATGTGGCGCTCTTCAACTTTTTCGCGGTCAACCCCTGGCCCCAGCAACTTGTAAGATGACCACATTCTGACCCTATCAATAGCTTCGCTTTCCGTGGACCATGATGAGTATGCTCCAGGCCGCCAGGGGGACAGCAGCGGCTCGACCTCGTCGACAGCCGTGGATCCGGAGAGCTACAGCGAATCCCTGATGACTCTCCTTCCGGAACTCGAGCAGGAGGACCCGATCGCACTACTGAAGGAAACCATCCGGTACACCTCTCCGGTTGTACGGGCCATATCGCCGCCTCCAATGTCGCCCAAGGGCGCTTGCATGCCCTTCGCCCCCGAGGATCTGACACGAGCGTTGAACGCCGTGCAGATCTGCTACTAGAACTTATATTTATCCTAATAACCGCATCGACTTCCGGCAAGATCTTCGCTTCTCCTCGTCACGTGAGCCATTCATCCAATGAGCGCCCGCTATCCCGACGATCCATCCATTTGTTCTTCCACCATAACCTACCTCTAGACGGAGCACAGCCTCTATTACCGACTACGACATCTTCTACACGCAACCCTTCTATTTTAATCCCAACCAACACCTTCTTCACCTAACAATAAGGGCCCTTGAGAGAGCCCGAAATCCGAATCCTCCGGCCACCGCCCGGTCCCTTCCATCAGCCAAGACCTCGGGTCCAGAATCCATGCATCGCACGACGTGAGGGGCGTGTCGGCTATTGCATTTGACTGGCCCAGCGTCACTGCCGGCTGACATTTGACTTTCCACGCATGAGACGAACGAATATTGAAAAGCGCCTGGCTTCTTATGCATATTCTATATGCTTTCGTGCATTTGCAATTGAGCGTATACCCTTTGCAGTCAAGTTTCTCTTGCCGACCGTCTTGGTCGTGCTGCTGCTGCTGCTGCTGCTGCTGCTGGCGGTGTTGCATAAATGCTTACCGTACTTCACTCTCTGGGGGGTTTGCCTACTACTAGCAACCTTCGTGAAGCAGAGGAAGAAAGACCAGCCCAAGCTACATGCCTTTTTTTTTAACTCTATCAAATCTACCCAGCAGACCACTAACATTGTCATCAGGTAGTGCAGCAGACCCAATGAATGAAGAAATCAAGAATTCTAATCCTTGCTTGTCGTAGAGTAGTAGCCTGCAGACCTTGCCCCCTTTCCCACGTAGGGACGCCCTGTTCATGCCTATGCCTATGCCTACCCAAACCGTCCCCATGAATGAGTTACACCAAGATATGAGTAGAAATGGTAATAGAGATAGGCAATCATACCTAGGTAGTGGTCTCCACCCCCCGCAACACTATGAATGACTAGAAACTGTAGTGAACAATAGCACTTCCCACTTTGCCCTCCCCCTCCCCTTTCCCATGCCCCTATCCCGCAGATCCACACTCCACATGCCCGCACATCCTAGCATTCGGCGCATCACGCATCATCTTGACTTCAAACAGTAGTTGGTAGTTACAGTCCACATAGTCATGTTCATACCGGTAAAGTACACATTTAGCTTATCTTAGCCTAGCCCAGCCTTTCTGGAGCCAACCTAAATGACCACTAACCTAAGTCACGACTGTTAAGTTAACTTAGCTTCCAGACCTTAGAGATGGATAACAGCCTCGCCCCTCCTTCCCCTCTTTCCCGCCCGCCGCCCACCCGCAGCCCAAATTCCTGATCCCTGATTCCTGGCCACTGTGGGTTCAGGCTCAGGCTCGCTTGGGTATGGATGGGATAAGGCGTGCAATCGAATAGCAAGAAACAAGCACTAATACCTAGTAGATCCCTATGCAGACTAGGTAGAACAAATGCCAAGCCATCTGGTGGCGTGGCTCTGTTCGACCTGGCTAGACCGCAATTACCACCTCCACACTGATCAGCCGGGAGGGCGGGGGGGCGAAGGCGGCATTCTAGCAGAAGTAAACCTAAGAAGAATACCGTAGGTGCTTAGTAGAAGTGTGCAGGCTTATCGAATAAACTAACTGCAGTCTAAGTTGCAAGGTTAGGGAGGCGAAGATTTGGGTTAGAGGAGGGGAGGGGGGGGGAAGCACTACTGCATCTCTTGTGCATGCGTTGCATCTGGGTCTTGGCTTTTTTTTGAGGGTGGGGGTTATGTCGGGTAAGATGGTAATGGTACTCAGGACCGGGGGAAGGGGGTGGCTTTGATGGTAGGAGTTTACAGTATGGGTGGCGATGTTGGCGAGTGATGTTTTTGTTTTGTCGGATTGTGTTTGTTGGTATCTCGCAGGTTATTGTTTGTGACATTTTGATTGGGGTTACTGGTTTTTTTTTTGCTGCTGATACGGAGGAGATGAACTAAATGATAGTTGGTGGTTATAGGGCAGCCTACTTCTATGCGACAGGAGCCTACTGCTGACTCTACATGTCCGATGGATGCTCAGAATAGTTCTCGTACACTTCATATCCGGTGTTTTGTTGCTGGTCATCAGTCATGTCATCTATACAGGCTTTAGGTGAAATGCAGTCCATATATTCCTTCATCAACCACGCTTTGGTTTAGTCCTCGTGGGTGACGGCCATGTCAAGAACCTCCACGCGTCCTCTGCCACGGGTCTCATTGCCAACAAAGTCGTTCAAGCCCTTGAACGCGCCAGGCTCCGCAAATCCGATGACCTCCCACTCGTCACCGCCAACGACCTCCTGCGCCTCCACCGACTCGATATAGCTGAGAATCTTGTCCTTGACGTTGCTGGGTCCCTTGGCGGGCGCCGCCTCAGCGTCAGAGCCACCAGCCTCATCCTCGGAGTCCTGCTGACGGGCTGACTTCTTCGATCCCTTCCCACCCTTCTTGTTCCCCTTAGCACCACCCTTGGGCGGCGGCGTCTCTCTCTCCTTGTTCGCTCCGCCCACACCCCCAGCCACCTTGACACTCTGCTTCAACAGCGACACCGGACAAGTCACCCGCAGGCGCATGCGGGCCCGCATCACGGGGATCGGCTGCCACGCGATCAGCGCCTTCATCGCATCGAGCGCCTGACTCTTCGCGGACTTATTCGCCGCGACCCCCGTCCACAGGGGCTTCCGGGGCGCCGCGCCGCCGCGGTTCTCGTCTCCGTCACCGTTCGTCTCGCCGTTGCCGGCCGCCGGGCCCTGTGTCTGTTGCTGTCCGCTCGCCGAGCTCAACTGATCCAACGCCTTGGAGATCATGCCGGGCGTGTAGACGCGCTTCGTCGTGGGGTCCACCAGCCGGCCCGACACGATGTCCAGGATCTCCTTCTCAACGCGCTCGATGATCTCCTTCCGCTCGCGCTCGCCGACCTGCACCTCGCCCTTGCGCAGGATCTCTTGCCGGATCTCGTCGGCGGGCGTGTCGGCGCCGAACGCCTTGGCGAGCTCGGCCGACGGCGCCGTCTGGGCCTTCGAGACCGACAGGAAGATCGTGGGTACTTGAAGGACGTTGTCGAGGTCTTTCTCGGCGCCGGACCGGTATTCCAGGAGTTTGTTCTTGTAGCAGGCGAGCTCGAAGCGCTTCTTGCCTGGAGAGGTGGGGTGTTAGCGGGGGTAGTGAAGGGGATTATGGTGAATTATTTCGAATTTGAGATCGCCGGGCAGGAAAATAGCCCCAGCTGCATCTCCAGACGATTGCGCTTGGGTATATGGTGGACGTAGTAAAAGAGTTGACCCGCTTACCCTTCTTTAATCTGACAACTGATACATTGGTGAATTTGATCTGATTTGAGGGTTGGTTGATCGGCATCTTGGGAAGAGGCTTCCTTCGCGGAGAAGCCGAGTGCGTTCCGCTGGTCTTATCAACAAATAAAAGTCACAGAAGATGGGTATCTGGTGGTAGGTTTGTTTATCAAGAGGGGTATGTTTGGGTTTCGTCTGAAAAAATGATGCCCGCATCCAGGCAGGCAGTGGCCCGACGGGGCTGTGATTGGAGGAACGGGCGATGACGCTGGTCCCGTGAAATCTGCTTAGTCATGACATGTGACTCGGCGCGTGACTCGCCTTGGTCCGGAAGGCACCGCGGTTTGATTGGCCGCCTCTTCCCCCAGCTATCAAGGCGTCATCTGCAGGCCAACGCCGGACCTCTCCTTCTTCCCTTCTCTCTCTCTCTCATCCTCACCTCCTCTTCTCTCTTCTTGATCTTTGTGGTAGGATCAAGTAGCTGGTATTCCATCGGCTACAATTCCATCCAATTTCATCTGCCCTGAGCTGTAAGCTTTATCTCCCCATCCCCAGCCACACCCGTCTTGCCCTGATAGCCCATGCTGATAAGCACCTTGCCTCCCAGGTACCATCCAGACCGCAAGGTCCTTGCCATCCTTCTCTCCTCAATCCATCAAGGACTCAACCTAAGCCCTTTGATAAGTAAACCAAGATCATCATGAGAGTCCTTCCAGCTTCTTTGCTGGTCGGAGCGGCTACTGCTGCCGTCTCCTCTCCCTTCCAGCAGGTTCTTGGAGACGTCAAGTCGAACCTCAAGTCGACCGTCGAGAGCTCCTCCGAGCCTCTGCACGCTTTCAAGGAGCAACTGAAGACTCTTTCTGATGATGCTCGTAAGCTCTGGGAGGAAGTTGCCAGCACCTTCCCCGAGAGCATGGACCAGAACCCTCTTTTCTCTCTGCCCAAGAAGCACAACCGTCGTCCCGACTCTCACTGGGACCACGTCGTTCGTGGTGCCGATGTCCAGGACGTCTGGGTTACTGGTGCCAACGGCGAGAAGGAGCGGGAGATCGATGGCCGTCTGGAGGCCTACGATCTCAGGGTCAAGAAGACCGATCCTAGCTCCCTCAACATTGACCCTAATGTCAAGCAATACACCGGTTATCTTGATGATAACGAGAATGATAAGCACTTGTTCTACTGTAAGTGACAATCATGCCTGAAATGATTCGATTCATCATTGACTTTCTGAAGGGTTCTTCGAATCTCGCAACGATCCCGCCAACGACCCCGTTGTCTTGTGGTTGAACGGAGGCCCCGGCTGTTCATCTCTGACCGGTCTCTTTATGGAGCTTGGACCCAGCAGCATTGATGAGAACATCAAGCCCATCTACAATGATTTCTCTTGGAACTCAAATGCCTCTGTCATCTTCCTTGACCAGCCCGTCAACGTGGGTTACTCCTACAGTGGCTCTGCTGTCAGTGACACTGTTGCCGCTGGCAAGGACGTCTATGCTCTGCTTTCTCTCTTCTTCAAGCAGTTCCCCGAATACGCCAAGCAAGACTTCCACATTGCTGGCGAGTCTTACGCTGGTCACTACATCCCTGTCTTTGCCTCTGAGATCCTCTCCCACAAGAAGCGCAACATCAATCTCAAGTCTGTGCTGATTGGCAACGGTCTCACCGATGGCTTGACTCAGTACGAGTACTACCGCCCCATGGCTTGCGGTGATGGTGGTTACCCTGCTGTCCTGGACGAGGCCTCCTGCCAGTCCATGGACAACGCCCTGCCCCGCTGCCTGTCCATGATTGAGTCCTGCTACAGCTCTGAGAGCGCATGGGTCTGCGTTCCTGCCTCGATTTACTGCAACAACGCCCTCCTGGCCCCTTACCAGCGCACGGGACAGAATGTCTACGATGTCCGTGGCAAGTGCGAGGACGACTCCAACCTCTGCTACAAGGGTCTGGGATACGTCAGCGACTACCTGAACAAGCCCGAAGTCATTGAGGCTGTCGGTGCTGAGGTTGGCGGCTATGACTCCTGCAACTTCGACATCAACCGCAACTTCCTCTTCCACGGTGACTGGATGAAGCCCTACCACCGTCTGGTTCCGGGTCTGCTCGAGCAGATCCCCGTCTTGATCTATGCCGGTGACGCCGACTTCATCTGCAACTGGCTCGGCAACAAGGCCTGGACCGAGGCTCTCGAGTGGCCCGGCCAGAAGGAGTACGCCTCCCTTCCCTTGGAGGATCTCAAGATCGTCGACAACGAGCACAAGGGCAAGAAGGTGGGTCAGGTCAAGTCCCACGGCAACTTCACCTTCATGCGCCTTTACGGCGGTGGCCACATGGTCCCCATGGACCAGCCCGAGTCCAGCCTGGAGTTCTTCAACCGCTGGTTGGGCGGTGAATGGTTCTAGATCGGACCTGCTGCTGCTGCTGCTGCTGCTCTTTGATATAAGTTACATACTTGCATTTTGCTGCTTGCGATGTAGTACCAGCTTTCATTTTGCTATCTTATGACTTACTTGTGGTGCATTCGATGTCAAGTTGCACACGGGATCTATGACCACATGATTGCTGTACTTTTTTGTTGTCATCTGCGAACACATTTACTAGAATTGATGGAATGATCAGGTTTTACGTTACTCAGTATTCACTCAATAGGGATATTCACCACGCTTGTAAATCGCCCTGCAGGAGAAGTAGTCTGCAAGATGTGCTTTCGATAAGAGTAGTTTCCAAACCACATCGCCCGAACTCCGCACCGTACACCAGTCTGGACCCCGTGGGTTGGAGAACCGAAGCGATCAAGTGCGCATCGTAGCGTATCTCTGAGCGGCGAGTGTCCATAGATACCTCAAGGCGGGTACCAGCTGGCTGAGAAGCCGATGGCTTCTTAAGAATGGGGGCGAGAAACTACTGGGTAATCAACGTCCACCTTGCTGTGAGAGGCACCAGGCACCACCAGCACGTGCCCTGATTTTAACCCACTAGAGTATACTCCAGGTTACAGTACAGTACCGCAGACGCGGGAAGAGACACACGACCTTGATGCCTATGCAATGGTATAGCCTATGTGGTAGGTCGTATGTTAATCAACAGCATCAACACTTCTCCCCCTTCAGTGCTTTCAGTAGACTGACCTTTAGCGATCGACGAGTGGGATGGTAGTGTCTTGTACCGTGTAGAATTATCGTTCTTTCCGAGGCCCGGGGTCGGCGGAAGGACCCTGGTGCACGGGATGTTTCGATTCGAGGAATCTGGAGACGGTGCTGGGTTGAGGGGTTTGGGCTGCCACTGCAGTGCCAGTTGGGGTCTTTACTTTGTACGTGGTGAGTGGCGAATTGGGGGGAGGAGGGGGGTTGTTTGCTTGAGTAAGATTATGGTATACCAGATAGTTGGTGGATGGGATAGGCAGGATGGCAAGAGGTGTAGAATCAGGTATAGCTTTCATGTTGGCTGAAGCAAGTGATAATACAGCCCAATAGTACATGGAACAGACTAGATAATAGAAGCTATATAAGAAGATATAACTCTCGGTGATGATTCATGAAGCTTAATAGCGTACGGGACAGAGATAAGACGATATAAGATACACACCCACTGTTATCACAGTGGCGGCGTGAACTGAGGGAGATACTGGTGTTGGTCCTTTCCATAGTCTGTGACATCGCAATACGAAGACCAAGTTGGATATGAGTAGAGCATGATACTGGATGGGCGATGGCAGGTTCTACGAAATACGAAGGCAAAGACCAGGGTTGGTTTTTTTTTTTTGTAATTTCATTTCATGATGGTATGATTTCTTTTCATTTTCGCGGGAGACTCGGGGCCAAGATAAACCCCTTGTCTGGTTCCCAACGAAAGGGGGTAATTTTCATTATCACACCAGCATCTCAGACACAGTTGCCCCCCCGACTCTCTTTTAATCCCATGATCCAAAGTAGCCCAGACCCGCGCAAGAAAAGAAAGAAAATAAACACAAAGCTCCCAGTAAGGAGAATGCTTAGTTCTTCTTCTTGCTGACACCGACGGTGCGACCACGGCGACCGGTGGTCTTGGTGTGCTGACCACGGACACGGAGACCCCAGTAGTGACGGAGACCGCGGTGGGAGCGGATCTTCTTGAGGCGCTCGAGGTCCTCACGGATCTTGCTGTCGAGGTTGTTAGAGACGACCTGGGAGTTCTTGCCGTCGGTGATGTCGCGCTGTCTGTTCAGGAACCAGGCGGGGATCTTGTACTGCTCGGGGCTCTGGAGGATGGTGACGACACGCTCGAGCTCTTCGGTGGTGAGCTCACCGGCGCTGTAGAAAGATAAGAATTAACTCTGACTGTTGCCGGGATATAGGGTTGAAGTGATTTGATGTGGAAAGGCCAGATGTGCGGGCGCGGGTTTCGTTCTCCGACATGTATTCCTCCCATTTTCCTCAAGATGTTGCTGCATTGGTGGCGCTGCTTCCTCCTCTTTTTTCTTCTGGGTTTTCCGGATTCCCGACATCTGCGTGTGGAATGGGTGTGATGGGGACTTCAGGACAAAAAACGTACCGCTTGGTGAGGTCAACATCGGCCTTCTTGCAGACCAAGTTGGAGTAACGGCGACCAACACCCTTGATCTGGGTCAAGGCGTACATGATCTTCTGCTTACCGTCAACATTGGTGTTGAGGAGACGCAGAATGTACTGGAAGTTGGTCTTCTCGCCGGACACAAGCGCTATATGTCGACAAATAAAAAACCATCAGCATTTCCGTTCACATTTCATCGCATAAAAACCAGAGTCCCATCTGTCCAACGCGAAGTTTATTCCCCAAAGCATTCCCACGCCATTCTCCATATCCGGTCGGTCTGTCGATAATAAAGAAAACTTCCTTGCCGAGCTGATGCTTTTGATTTTTGATGCGTTGCCGTCGTAGCGATAAAATTTCCTCCCGTCATCGCAATATAGCCACCCAGAACGATTTTCTTTCCTTGACCACCGACCGGATATAGAAACAAGGCAGGGAACGCCAGAAAAAGGAATGAAATCGGTCGGACATGAGGGATCTGGAGAGACTGAGAGATTTGCACGTACACATGATGGGCGATTTGGGGCGGGACCGCGGTGAATTGTCGACAGGCGAAAGGGATGGGAGAAGGAGGGTGAAGTCGTGGGCGTTGGCGGTGCTTCTCAATCTCTTTCCTCTGCGACTTTCGCAAGCCCGTTGTGGGATCGGGTAAGCTGGTTACTAACCATATCGGGCATGGTCGTCCTGAGGGCTCGCTTATGGCCCGCGCTAGACTGCTTCGGGATATATTGTCATCTGCCCTGCGCTGGGTCGGGGGCTCTGGCACGTGATCTCATGTTTGTTCATGCCTCAGGTTGGGAACTGACCTTGGTCTCAAAAATAGGCAAGGACTGTTGGTATGCGTCTTTGTAGGGGCTTCAATAGGGATGGCTGATTCCTTAATGAAGTAGCGACAAGATCTATGCATGTATCCCTTAGAGCTTGTTCTTCACCACTCGATTGGCCGTTTTCTGGGGTCCAATCCTTATCTGGTTTGGGCGTCTGTACGGCCGCATCTTCCACTCTAGTGTTTATGGGGATGCTGTCATGGCGACTCCACCTGACATAACACTACGTACTTCAAGAAAATCAACACTGAAGCCATCAGGGCAATCTGACCTGTTTGCCAGATAGTATTCGAGTAGCAGGCTCAGATCAATACAGTAAGAAAGAACACTGATTGCTCTAGTCCATTCCATGATGATTTGTGGCTTAGTAACACGTGCCTCGTCACATCTCTACCTGACCACAAGAACACCGTCTTGCTTTGGGGGCTATGAAAAAGTTAAGACCAGATATGCCATGGCTCTTTCGACAAAGAAAGAAGAGTTTGATCACAGTTAAATTGTATGCGCTTGGGTGACTTGGATTTAAGTGGGTAGGACATGAATTGTCCAGCAAAATCCCAGTGTTGCCTGGCACTAAGCTGATTCACTTAACCGATTTTCCGGCAAAAGTCTCAACTTCTCTAATTTCTCACTGCTATCCAGTGAATGTTTGATTTTTAATTTGAAATGTGTTCTCAGTTCTTAATTCCCGGCTGAAGTTGTTCTTGTCCCTTTCTCCAAGCTTTTATCTCGTGTTACTTGATCCAGTCCATAGAAGTTCTTCTACAGTAACAACAAGGCACGCCTTCCCCCATCTGGTAAGATTCCCGCCTCTAGCGAGATCAAGCGAGAGTTAGCGCCGTCACTCATACTCCCGAACTATAGCATGCAAGATGGTCCAGGGACAGCTACAGACCGGGGGAAGGAGGTCGGCCAGGAGCCGGAAAGATCGCCACATCCATGCCATCTCACGCCCGGAGGTGAGATGGCATGAGATCCAGTATCCTGATCCCGAGCTCCGTTTTGAGAAGCTGGCTGTGGAGACTCTGCCCGGGCCCCCGAAGGACTTCACCATCGGAGGGAAACGGAGCCACGGGCTCACCAAGGGTGGGCATGCCAGGAAAGAAGACCTGGAGATGCTGCTGCAGTTCCTGGATTGGGGCTTCGATCATAATCTGATAATACACGAAGCCACCTGCGACCAGCTTGGCGCTATGATTTTCAAGCTCATCTTCAACCGAGCGCCCGAACATCAACCTCAGACTTGGAACGAATTATTCGACGTGACGAGAGACGCGGGCCCACGTTTGCTGTCCAGAAACATCGATCGGCCATGCATCCCAATTAGTCGCTACTACCCCAGTCTTGAGAGTGGACCGGCCATGCCGGCTGGGCGGACTTTTCAGAGACCGCTGGACGCTTCCCCATATCTCTCAGATCTCTGCATTCACCGGATGTCTTTGCCCTCGACTGGTGGCTCTCTTAGTGCTACTGTTACTCCACAGCCTAACACTCAAAATGAGAAAATCATCTCTTTCGATTCGAGTCCTTCGCACTCATCATCTCTTTCAGCAACGCAACTCGCCACTCAACCCGCATCAACCGAAAGCATGACGAACTCGCACAACGATCCTTCCAACAAAAAGACCCAGTCGGCCCAATCTCTTGGTCTTCCTCAAGCAGCACCTGTAGACCCAGCTCAGACCAACGAAGCTTGTCTCAGCAGAAAAGCTACGGACCACGCCATCATGCAGGGTACAAATCCAGACAGCAACATCACCATGGAAGAACCCGTGCCGTCCGTCGACTCCAGTATGCTCGATGCACTGATTGTGGTGGCTCAGTTGCTGAAGCTAGGCTCATCCAAGGACAAGACTAATGAGAGCGAGAGACAGACTTTCGACGGAGCGGAGCTCGCCTTCCGCGAAGCTATAAAACAAGACTGGGACACCTGCGCCCACGAAGAAGGTACTCGGCTGATAACTCGTCTCAAAGCTGAATTGGAAAAGCTCAACGTCAGCATTGATATAAAACCCCAGAATATACGAGACGCTTGGATGGCATTGACGAAGTCCTTCACCCAGTTCGACTATTTGTCTGCAAAGAGATACTCCTCGTGTTCCTGTTTGCCTGACGATCTCCCCGGATCTCCCTTCGTTGACGAGGGACTCGCTGTGAAACAACACATATTCATGCCACTCGCTGAGAGCGCCGACACAGATGGAGTGACCATACAGGACCTCCTGGGCCGTTGGTTCGGAAAGCGGTGGAGCGAGGATTGTGTCCTCTGTAAACAGCCTGGCTCCGTTGCTACGGATATGGCATTTCAGAGTACTCCCTTGTGTTTAGTGGTTGCGCCCGCTCCCGGAACCTCCCTTCATGAGCATACGCGTGACATCAACATCAACTACATTGACTTCACAGGCACTGAATGTACTGCATCCTATAGATGGATAGGAGGCATTTATTACAATGACAGCTGCCTACGTGTCTACTGGACTGATACCAAAGTAGGTGAGCATGGTAGTGGAAATATCCGTGCTTATGAGAGCCGACTGAGATCGGATTTCATGATCGAATCCCACGCTCAGTCCAACCCTTTTGATCGAGTGCCCCCATTTTGGTGGGAGAATAAGCCTGTCCCATTACTGTTCTATGGGTGTATCTGGAGACCAGAATCCGAACACTTGGAAAGGCCCACTGAATCCCTTGACGAGATGCTTGCGGCCCTAGATGATTTTGAGAACCAGCTGGTGACGCAAGCAACTATGACTACCAGCCTTGCAGTTCCTGCTCTTCACAGCCAGCTAATGACGCCACCGACCACTACTTCTAGCCCTGAAGGTCATGATCCACACAACCAGCTGATGACAGAGATGACCGTTCCCCTCCCCAAGGTTGATGCCGCTCACAGCCAGCTGATCACATCATCGGGCCATCCAGGGCAGGAGGAGGTGCGATATTCGGATTCTCCATATGGCTATGGCTATGGCGACTTTGTTGGCCAGGGAGTTTTCTCAGTCTTCAACGACGGTTACATGGCTATGGACGCTTCAGCCCAAGCACCAGAATATGATCCACGCACCGAAATGGCTGAGGCGAGTTTCGCGTTGGGCGAAGGTGGTTTTGAAGAGCTGTTGAATAACTCTGCTCTGCGAACTGATTGGTCTTTGGTTTCCGATGAGCCTGATCATCATTCCTCTGCTGAATTCAATGTGAGGCATCAGCAGGAAAGTACTGATATTGTGATGCAGGATGTCTTTGGAGGTGGTGAAACCGATGATTCGAAGACCGTTGAAAAGTGATACTGCCGTTGAGCCGTGGACTGTTCATCAGTTGTTTGTTTTTTGCCTTCTAATTTGAGCATGTACGCCGATTGGATTTGCTTCTGATCTAGAAATGTACATTAGCTACAGTCATGACTAAATTCATGTCCATAATTTTCCTTTATTGTGTTAGCAGAGAACATGAAACTTTACTGAGGTCGAATGATAAAGTATCTCCAACCGAATCAGTTGCCTGAATTTCTGGTCAACAAGTAATTACACATACCTATCCGATCCTTTATTTGTCCTTCATTCGTGGATAAACAACTGGAATTAATGTCACCGTTGACAGTGCCGAGTCAAGGCTGTCAGCCAATAGAGGGACGGGGGAAGTCAGCTCCAGCCGATCCTTGTTGCTTTCCCCGCATTTCACCCTCGTTGTAAATCGCCCCGTTTCCCTCAACCTCAACTTAGCCTTCTCTCAGACTATTCTTCTGCAAAAGACCCCTATCAGACTTGTCTATCCAGGTGAGATGTTGACCATGGTTGGTATCAGTCGATTTCATCTATTAAATTCACATATGAAGCATGAGAGGCTAACTCTTAACTATATCCATCTAATCTAGAGCCCATGTATAAGAAAAACAACGCATTCCGACCGGACAAACCAGCCTCAAATCTATAGCCTTGCACGGACAGCTTCTTTCTTGGACTGTCTCGGCGGGCCCGTGGGGGTATCGCTCTTCTTCGGTGCTGAAATATAGCCTCCTCTGACGTTGTCCGCATTAATGACCAACCCCTTCTCGTCTCTCTTGATGCCGAGCTCGATCAACTTCGCGAACGCCTTTGCAAAGTGATCGAAGAACAACTCCTTATCCTTCGCATACTTCAACACCCACTCCTGGAACTTCGGATCCGTCTTCAGCGCGATATCCGTGGGCAGCATCATCAACATCTCGTCGCCCTCCTCCGCATCCGGATCCACAAAGACAAACTGCGACATCCCGTTGCCCAGCTTCTTCGGCGTCCACTCCAGTTTCAGCAGAAGATTGAAGAACTGGTTGGAAAATCTTGTCGGGTTGTTGACCCACGGCCCCTCGAATCCGCTGCGGTCGGTGTGACACCGGCCCAAGTTGTGTCCGCCCGCCAATGCGACGATCTCCTGGTCGTTGAAGCCCATCCGATAGAAGATGAAGCGGAGGTGATCGGCGCCCAGGGCACCATCCGGTAAGCGGCCGCGTGGAGGCACCTTGGAGTCGTCGACGAGATCGGTGCGGCCTGGTTGCCATGGGACTTCGGGCCCGCCCATCTCCTTTATGGCAACCACGCCGGCTAGCGTCCACAGGTCTGAGTATGTGATCCAGGGGTGCTTCTCTTTGACGGGCTCGAGGAATGCGCGACCGAACTGGAGGCCTGCGTTGGCCGGGTCCCCGCCTTCAGCTTCATAGCGCATGCCCGCCCCGTTGCTGCCGCCCGTGTCGGACTCGGCGTCATACGTGCCCGCGGAGTGCCTGGTACGGGGTTAGTTGGCAAATTTGATGAGCAAGTAACTTGAACAATGAGAGAGCCTCACCATGCCAAACGGACAAACACAGGACCAGCACTTCCGTCGTCGTAATCGGGCTTTTTCAGCTGGGCGGCGATGTCTCTGCGGACAGCGTCATAATCCCCGAAGGTGCTCATCTCGGCCGATAAGTCTGTCTGGGGTAATGAAAGGAGTCTGCGCGGATGACTGATCGGTTCGGGTTCCCGTGCGCCGCGAACTCTTTTTTGTTACAGTGATAACGTCGAAAAATATCAAGGAAGGAATACAACACGCGCAGTATGAGAAAATATTGAACAGGAGAAGGAGGAGAAATTCAAACTTCAAACAACTGGCATTTGCTTTTGTCTTTCTCACTGGCACATGAAGACCGGACCGATGGCGACTAGTTGACTGTGGATCACTGGATCCGCGGTCCAATTCCCTCAGAAGCAAAAGCCGAGGTTCAATTTTCTGGCTTGCGACCCGCGCTCTCACAAATTCTCATGACCAGTTATCGCGATGGAGACGGATTCTCGGACCTGAGTGGTTCAACTGATGGCCTTAATCTTGGTCAGCTCGACGGAGTCCCCATCTTTGGCCCTTTCCCCAGGTTCATGTGTCAATGGGGTCTGGAACAGGTTTTGCGGTTGTCGATAGCCGTGGCGAGAGGAGGGATTACACCTGAAAATGCGCAGATTGTGCATTTCTAAATCCCCAAGATCGCTCAGAGCTTGACATATGATTTCTTCTTGACTTCGACAAGCCATATTCTTCTCAACCTCAGCATCATCAGATCGATTTGCGAGATCGCTCTGCTCTCTGGGATCAGCTAGTCGTTCGGAAATGGACCTCGGGCTGTTATATGCCGAGCATCAAATAACCGACCATGCTGAAGATTGGTAGCAGAGCGCGCACTTTCACAGACACCCGATCTCACGCATGCCAATTGCTTACTGCAATGACTATGATTACAACTTTAGCGAGTATAGAATCAACTAGAGACTGGCCGTTTTCAACCTTATACCCCCAAGGCCTGGGCGCCGTCTGGTCATCTTTCGAAATCACACCCGATAAATAGTCCTGGTTCCAAGATCACCGCCGATCGCCCTCTCATTCAATAGCCGCCTTAATAACCGCTCCAAATTTTCCCTCTCCGATCTCGATCGTCCTCCGCCTCGGTCACAATTCACTTTAATTCGTTCCAATATCCATTTTCAATCATTGAACCACATTGAAAGACTTGTTAGAACCCTTCGAATGAGGGCAATTCCACCCCATGGAGAGAAGAACGGAATTTTCCTGATGGTTGCTCAATCGAGGTTCTCCATCTCATCCTCCGCACGAATTTCAGGACGAAATGTTGATGGCCTGAGGGATTTTAAGTAAAAGGTTGGACTACCCTGTAGTATGTTTGAGGAGTGAGTAGTGGACGTAGCATGAACGTAGTTTTATGAAGAATCGTACTAGCGAGCACGAGAATATGATCTCTAGACATAGTTAGAGCCGACTCATTAGAACTAGTTACTAGTAAGCATGGCACTCCGCTTCTTAATGTTCCCATGTTGGCACATCGCATAAATTAATCAAAGTGACTGACCTCCATTGGTGCTTATCACCTACTCTCCGATAGTGTCCGCGCGGAAACGACTGATCACTTTTTCTTCTATGCTATTTTGCTTAGTATAAGTTACACATATGCATAAGAAAGACTTTTACCGGGATTAATCGGAAAATCTTTAAGTGCTATACACTATGTTTCTCGGTGGTTCACAGCTGCTTCAATGTCAAGCCAGGAACTAGGACGTCATACCTAAAAGTAACCCTTAGCTACCCTCCCACAGTTCGGCGGCCAGAATCTCTCCCCTCAAGTTTGCACCGTTTGTCTCCGCGCCCACCCCTCATCCCCGCGGATCAAATTTCCTCATCGCAATCGCAGTCCACTTTTTTTTCTTCTGGACTTTATTCTTTCGCATTTTCTTCAAGGCAACAGAAAAGTTCTCCACCTCTGCATTTCGCAGCACACTCACTACCTGCCTCTCTACACGAATCCGGCGAAAAAATCCAACAACCCAAAAAAAATGGGCCAAATTGAAGAACTCCCCGATGACTTTGACGAATCGCTTAACCTGAACGATGGCGCCGCCAACGCCGCCGCCGCATCGGCCGCCACAACAACGGAAGAAGAGATCCTGCCGATCAAGCACGAGCGGCTGAAGGATGTGGAGAGCAGCGATCCGATGGCGCCGCGCATGCCGCCGACGATGCAGGCGGTGCAGACGCACACGACGGACGAATTGGCGGATATTTTGAACCGGACGCCGTTGTTCATGACGGATATGGATAAGGCGTTGGATGAGAGTATGTCTTCCTTTTGTTTCTGTATGCGCATGGCTAACGGGTCCTTTCTTTGGCGGTAGACGGCGAGAACGTCATGCTGGATGCGATCCGCGCGCTGCAGAATGAAGGAACCCGCGGGGAGGTGGCGCAGAGCTTCCGGTCTGAGGGAAACGAGACGGCCAAGGAGAAGCGGTGGATTGATGCCAAGGAGCACTACACCAAGGCTATTGCGGTGCTGCAGGCCAAGGAGGATAAGTGGGAGAAGCCCGAGGATGAGGAGGCGGAGAGAAAACTCCAGAAGGAGGTGGAGGCCGCGTGCTACATCAACCGCGCGCTGTGTCATTTGGAATTGCGTGAGTGCCATCAATTCCGTAACCTTGCCCTGGTTTGTGGGGGCGGAGTGGCTGACTTGGATTGATTTGGGGGGGCTATCACAGAGAACTACCGCTCGACGACTCTCGATTGCGCCGCCGCTTTGAAACTCAACCCCAAGAATGTCAAGGCCTACTACCGCTCCGCGACGGCATTGCTCGCTCTGGATAAGATCCCCGAGGCGGAGGATGCGGCGGCGCGCGGCTTGGCCATCGACCCCGAGAACAAATCCCTGCAGACGGTGGCCGCCAAGATCGCGGAGCGGAAGGCCGCGGTGGAGCGGGTGGCGGCGAGAAGGAAGGCCGAGGAGGAGCGCAGGCAGAAGGAGGCGCAGCTGTTGAGCGTCGCGCTCCAGGCCAGGAACATCCGCACGCGCAAGACGGACGCGCCGCCGGAGATGGAGGACGCGAGCATCAAGCTCTCGCCGGACCCGCTGTCGCCCGAAAGCACCCTCGAGTTCCCCTGCGTGCTCCTGTATCATATGGACGCGCAGACGGATTTCATCAAGGCGTTCTCCGAGATGCACACCATCGAGGATCATTTGGAGTACATCTTCCCGCTGCCCTGGGATTCGAAGCATGAGTACACGATCAATTCGGTGGAGTGCTTCATGGAGACCGTCACGGGCGGCTTGATCCAGGCGGGCAAGAAGTTGCCCTTGCTGCAGATCTTGGCCAGTGGCAAGGTGGAGGTTGTGGATGAGCTGGTGAAGATCTATGTGATCCCCACGTCGAAGAAGGCCAAGTTCATCGCTGAGATGAAGGCGAGGAGATCGGGTTGAGACCGACGTCTCGATTGCTGATGCTGATGTGAAATGAAGATATGATGGACGGTGACTCTCCGGGAGTGGATAGCCGGTCTATCCACATGTACTGTACACGCTCTTGAGATGAGGATGGATCAGGATGGATAAGCCATTGCAGCATTCCTATAGGTTCTGACTTCCTCCAGAAGGACACTTCACGATGACGCACGTTGTCAGGTGCACCCAAGCGTGCTTTCCTTGGTCCTCGACAATCATCTATAGATCTGGCTGATGGCTGAAGATCGTTCAGTACCGGCGCTTGATACCATTGTAGATATACAGTTTATGACGAATCAAAAGTTATAGATCTCGTTTGAACTCCTTGGGGAGAGTTGGTCAAAAGAGCATGTGCAATCTAAAACCTGAAGCGCTGCATACATACCTGGGGACAAACGGCCAAAGTAGAAGCTGTCTCCGTCATTCCTCCCTTCCTATTGCTATGGCACACCACATTCGAGCAACAAGCCATTCAGCCCCCTGCTTATGCACTTTCATCATTGATAGCATCGATGTTCCGGCTCCAAGCCCTCTGACTTGTTCAGCCAGGAACAGACCTTGTCACGGGTCTTTACCAGAAGGCGCTTCCTTTTCACCAGCTTTGCGGAGTAGCAAATACTACCGAAGCAGGAGAGTCACTTCCCAGCCTGACCACCCAAGAGAAGTGCTCGTGACAAAGACTGTTCGCGGTTCCGAGGCAAGCCAGGCTGTTGAAAGGAGGCAGCTTGGCTTAGCTGATGCTGACCTCTATAGCTTCCATTCGCCTCTGCATGATCACAATGCCCTTGAGGACTTTTGCGAAGGCTGAGAATTGCAGACGGTCTGTCGATGACCCCTCCCGAGACAAAGCAATCTCACACGCCATAGTGTCTTGGAGATTTCGGCTACCGGGTGTTGCGATCATACCGTGCGATAGAGGTAGTTTGAGGGACGTCTGCGATGCACGCGAGACTTCTATATTTGATGCTATGGAGTCGTGGTGTTGTTGGGGGCTCTTGGGAGATGCAATACGAGTTTTCAGGTCTATTGTATCTTTGGGCACTTGCGTGGGCATTGAGCGACTCGACAGTATGTCTCCCTTATACTCGACTATGTAGTTACGACGCGGTAAAACCCGTAGTACAAGGATGGAGCTCACTGGTTTAGCTGGTTCTATTTGCTGGAGGCACTGACTATCGCTGTCCATTTCCATTCGAGTCCGCCTGCCTCTGGTGGCGCTACTTTATCTGGTCTATACAAAAGCACTTTTGAACTGTCGCTCAAGGGCAGCAGGAGTCATTCAATAGTAGGGCTATCTCCTCACGTAGTCACCGCCTGGATCCTGGAAGCTATGGACTCACAAGACTTTCAGGGGTGAATTTGTGCGCTATAGATTGTTATTCACCAGCTTGGCTTTGTATTGTAGCCTCTTCTTTGAATCCTTCACTCCTGATCTTGTCTGATTCAATGTTTCTTGTTTATAAATATCAGGAAGAGGGGCCAATTAATATATCCAGCATGTTTGTAGATTGGCTCTCTTCCATCATTCTTCTCCATCTCCTCCACCATACTACCTACTCAGCTTCCATTCTTTTGCATCTCCACATCTGTATCTTCATAGCCCAATACATTAGCTTCTACATTCTCTATGCTGAAAACGATCCGTGACACACATCGCTTCCCAATCACTTGTCCACATCACAAACGAAAGATTCCTCAGATATCTCTCATGGCCAGCTGGTGCTGATAAAGCATGTCCTTCGCCTGTCCGGAACTTTGATCACGGCGTTATAGAGGCTTTCCGTGGTCTAGGGACCTTCCAAGCTGAGAACAGACGGCCAAGTCAATCTACCGAAGGACGACATGGATAAACGATCTTTGCATCCGGGTTTGAGGGTCGCTTTCCAAGCAAAGGAAGGACATTGATATTCGCATTCCCCACAATCGCCCACTTGATACATCTTTCAACTCACGTGAATACTCCATCTTTCACGCAGAGATAAGCTCTTCATGCCCAAGACATGAAGGAGATAATCGTTCTCGGCAAGAAAATAATTGCATGAGCCAACGAAAGCCATCACTGGCTTCCATGTGCATTTTTACTTCGGTATAACCGAGCGTCCCTCGGCCATTGAGCGGCCCTCTCTTCAGATACCATTCCCGCAAACCCTCGGTAGGGCTATAGTCGAATACTCCGACTACTACTACTACCACCACCTACCATGAACCAGGCTCACTATCGGCGATCTTTAAACAAGTAAACAGGCCAGACGGCCCCTAGTTATGCCCCGACAGCACAGTCCACACTCACATACAAACCATGATGCACCCCGCGTGAGCATATCAACCCCGTCCTCCGGTTTCTGAACAATGACATATCCCATGACATCTTCATGACACCACCAGCCCCCTTTGAACGAGAAACAAAAAAGCAATTCCCCCGTACTGGGGTTCTAACCCAGGTCTGAAGCAGGAAACCGTTAGGTGACCCACAACCGTCGTCTCCATCTAGACCATACGGGGTGTTTGTTGGAGGTATTCGCGCTGGCCTCGATTATCTGTTCACTTACGCTAACTTTTTTCAGCGGCTTTTGGTATGGTTTTCGAGCAGCAGATGATTTCAATGCATGTAGAATATCTTTCTGAAGATGTTCTAGTTAAGGCGGAATGTCTTGTGGGCATTGGGCTGGGTTATGCCTGTTGGGTTGTGGAATCGTCGAGGAAATGGAGTAGAATCGCTTGGCCGGATATCAAATGAAGATAGGGATGGAGATTGTTACCTACAGGTTGGTGGACGCTTTTCTGGAACATCTACTGGCAGGTCGGAATCTGTGGCTTGGAACATCAAGAGCGCTATGGCCGATAAGGGTTATGGTACTCTCGACAATTACCTTACTCGTGGGTGGTTCCAACTAACTCGATGATGTCTCAAAAGCAAACAGCACTGAACCAAAACACAAAAACGACAAGACGAAGAAGGAAAAGAAAGAGAAGAGTCTTGGAGGATGGACAAGGCCTTTGATCGCCAAATCGCGCATCACAGGCGCTATGAGCACGTTCTACAAGAGCCCCAAGCATGGAAGGTGTTGACCCGGGGCGGTTTGTTAAGACCCGATGATTGTCGACGGGTGCTATGCAAATAAGTCGACAGGGATTTATGGATGAAAGCCGCAAGGCCGGATAATACACCCGTGTCGCAATGTTCATATCCTAAGGTAGGTCCCACCCCTTCTTCTCCTTTCTGCTTGGGAATATTGACTAATCTCAAGCCAGGCGTGATCCCAAAGACGGGGCAGAGCTAGTGTGTGGGTTGGTCTTGAGCAAGGGGGAACACCATGTACGCCGCCGCCACTCTGCGCCTGGCTACGACGATCGATTGTCTGAGCTGGTGCGGATGAAAGCGTAAGCCTGGACCACGCGCACCAATCATGGATTGAGCTTGCTCATTGAGGTGTGTGTAAATGGTATCAAGGTACCAGTTTCTTGTTCTGGGGCTTCTTTGGATGGACGAATTTTTGAGAGCGGCCTTCGAAGACTCGACAGCAAATCTGCTGTGGGTAATCATGCTTGCTCGTTGAGGTTTTCAAATGAGAGCAATGCTCATCCTATCTCAGCTCCAGGCTGGCTCTATCGATGCCCCCTTCAGGGGTCCTCTTGCAGGTACGGAGAGCTAAGTTTCTTCCAGAAAACTGGACAACTGGCCGTTCTCAAAACACTCTCATGAGGAACTTTGCGTGTCAACTCGAGTCCATGTGCAGCATGAGCTCAGAATCTGGGGAGCTGCTACAGACACACCACCTACGATTTCGTCGCTTTTCTTGATCTTTTCGACGACAACCAATCTGCTCAAAATCATACAGAGTTTGATGACCATGATGAGTGAGAGGTTTGAAGACCCCGGACTCATTGCGGCAGGAAGTACCCTGCCAGATTTTGAGTTCAGCTCGGTGGAAGAAGTGGTTGCATTCTGAGAGAAGTGGAGTGGGAGGCCCGTTCCTGGGCATGAAACTTCCGTCCTGCGTTGCAGCTACCAGCACGCTGCAATTAGACTCGACATAGAAGCGTGAAGGGAAGGGAGACTCAAAGAGCCCTTCGAGAAAGGAAGAACCTTGCTTCTGGAGCCACACTGAGGCAGGCTCTGAGTCTGTTCAGAGTTCTCCAGCTAAGACCGCAGGCAAACCAGAGACAGTTGAGCGATAGTAATGGAACCCTTGGCACTGAAAAACTCGAAAAACGAGGATCTTCTACTTCCAGACGCAGATGTAGACGTCGACCCCGATACGAAGTCGCCTAAATTGCTTAGTTTTCTGATTCTCGTCCTTCTACTGAAAGTTATTACTTGACTGAGAAGCAGGCCCTAAATCCAATCAATGACTTCGCCGCACAGCATGGCTATACTTGAGTCAAAAATCTTATGTAGCTATTTTACTGATAGCATCGCTCACCCTCCTGCTGTGAGGACTAAGGAGAGCACCGAAAAGGATCAGAAGATGGATTGAATGATTGATTGCCGCTCTGGCCGCCTGTCAATCAAGAAATCAATTGTCAACTAATTGTGCTGAGGAACCCCAAGTCGGCCCAACTGCTAGCCTTCCTGTGTAGGTTTAACCGGGGCTTCTGATGTGGCTGCAGCTGGAGCTGAAGCTGTAAAGATGCAATGCAAGTGGAGTATATGGGCATAATTCTAACAACCGCCAGTGAAACTCATCCTTCATGCCTGTCGTTGTGCATGGGAACAGCACACGACTCGGACTCTGCAGTTGGTGCATTTTTAATGGATGCAGAGTTGCAGGCGATGCTTGGGAAAAGTCCTGCCGTCTGAAAGAGATATCCGCGTTATAAAACTACCCGGGGATATCTCCGCAAGCAATACTAAAGATTTATCTTTGCTATAGAACTAAATAGAACGTTCGTCCACTCCAAACCAGATTTGATTTCTAATATCGGAGGCGATTATTGCAACTATTATAGAGGTTTTCTGATTCTATTATAGCAATTATTCCAGAAGCGTCCCGCAGAAAAACACAAGAATGAAGACAACAAGAAGGGCGTTGCAGGTCCATCCGAGGATCCAGCGAAATAATAACCCGTCACCCTGCTATGAATAGTTATAATGTCTCTTTTGACCCTTTTCTTCTTGCTTTTTTGCTTCATTCGTTACTTATAATGTTTGGATATTGGCATTGCCTTTAGCCACAAACAGTGAGGATTTTCTTCCAGCATACCCATACAGCGTTCCCTTCTGTACAAGTACAAGTCCCTACGGCGTCTCCAAGGTCCGTCCCATGGCATATGCTCCACGGCCACGTTCCTGGATACGCCTTCGGTGACGTTCGTCATAGGCCTGGGCATTGTAGGGTATATCACCGGGCTTCATGGAGGCAGTGTGTGACATTGCTATACATCGAGGTCAGGTCCTCGACCAGGCTGATGACAACTCTCGGGTTGAACTCGAAGCAGAATTAGCAAAGGTACTGTACACCCGCCATCTTAGCTAGATTAGAACTTTTCTTGAGGGCTGGGAACCCTTTGATGCGAAGGTTGGGTATTCCTACATCAGCCGTCTATTCATCCGTCCATCCTTAGATGCGGAGCACAAGCAGGACCGGAGATGGAGCAAACAGCAAGGACCTGGTCGACCCCCTTCCTCAGAGGATCTCATCTCGCTGTCAACGCCGAAATTTACGACGAAGCGCACTGATCACATCGACCAAAATGAACTCATGAAGCGGTAGGTTGAGGATAAATACCGCAGCGGGACTGATCTTTCCAGACTGGGCCGGGAAAAATCCCTCGTACAGCAACAACAGCAACATCAACACCAACACCTCAAGCTTCAGCGTCAGCTCCCGTTTATTCCCACGTGTGCAATACAGGCACCAGCAATGCTTAGCCCCAGATATCAAGCTGTCACCGACTCGGTGCTGCGTCAATTATCCGACGCGAATCATGATGACACTTAATAAGGGGGCCTCCTTGCCTCTGGCATTCCGCAGAGTTGCTCTTCTCAAGAGCACTCCCCCTTCACCTTGGCTGTTTTTTCAAGAACAATAGAACGATTTGATTTTCTCATCATCAGCCAAGATGACTCTAGTACGATCGTATCAATTTCAGTACCAGCCCCTATGCAGTGAGCCGCCACCGCCGTATACACCATCCCAAACCCCCTCATACACCCCACAGCCACCACCTCCCGGCAAGCACCACCACACACTCGCAACCTCAATTCCCCCCTTCTTGTCCTGTGAACAGACACCCCCACATCTGTTCCGCTCGAGCATCTCCAGATACGGCCGTTACCTCACCACCCTTCGCCATAGCGTCAACAGCACCACCTACCTTTACCGCCTCTGTCCACGCTCACCAGCCAACAGCAAACCCAGGATCTACGCCGTCAAGATCATTCCCTCATCCTCTCAGCCCCTTCCCTCTACTCAGTCGTTCAAGAACAACGCAATAAACAGCACTACCATCAATCACCCCAACATCCTCCTCCCATTCCTACCTGCAATCATCGACGATGCGGGCAATCACCACCTGATCACCCCCTACTGCACAGGAGGTACTCTCCATGAGCTGGTCGCAACCACAATGCAGCTCCCTCCTGCAGAAGCAAATTGCTTCTTCAAACAACTCCTCCGAGGGGTCGCGTATCTTCACAACCACCCAAGCCTCCAATCTTACCTCGAACAAACTCACAACGCACCCCCATGGACGAGCTTAACTCTCAACCCGCAGGACATCCTCCTAGCCGGAGAAGGAACCGTGCGAATCAAAGTCTGTACTACAACCCCTCACTTCCACGCAGCGAGCAGCAGTCCATACTATGCGCCAGAGGTATACCGCGTCCCCAACGACAACACCAATATCAACGAAAACAACCCCAAAGCCCTCGACGCCTGGGCCCTGGGCATGATCTACCTATTCATGCGCACGGGCCGTCCAGCCTGGACCGTGGCCCAGGCGGAGGAGGATCGGATTTATGCCCGGTATGCAAGGGAAAGAGCGCAGGAGGGGGGCTTTGCCTTGATCGAGGATTTGGGGCCTGTAAGTGTCACATTTATCCCCTTTCCTTATTGCCCTTGTCCTTATGCATCACGAAAATGGCCGTCTTCACGCCGCATCGCATTGTGTATTGATCAAGATCGGCTATGCGCCCCCGTCAGGAACCATGTCGAAACGTTATCTACGCCATGTTAGATCCCAGGCCCCTTCGTCGGCTGACGGTTCATCAAGCCTCGCGGTCAGAGTGGATATACGGAGTTGCAATCTGTGAAGCAGGTGAAGAGGGCGACGTGTTCCGAGACGATGGTCAGTGTAAGAAGAGGGAGGGGGAAGGCATTTTACAGTACTAGCTGAAGTTATATTCCGTAGTAACCCATAGTTCTTGTTGATCGTTCCGTAAACCAAGCCACCGAGTCAGAAAGCGATCACGTACAAGCCTGCCTACCTACTACATGACATGCGAATGCCGCACAGTACGATAAACCCCCACGAAGCTCCTGACCATCCCCATATGTTAAGTCAACCTCACAAACCTCCCCAGAGCACAAACACACACACACACATATTCTTTCTCTGTCTACCCCCGACACACCAAAACCCCCAACCTCCTCATCAGACCTATCTCTTCCTTCGGGATTTGAACCAGTCCCAAAATTCTCATCCCCCCTCCCCTCAAAATCCAACGCACCCAATGGACACCCCCCTCCCCCCCCCGGCGAACCGGTTCATCCAAACCCTCCGAACAATATAACACATCCAACTCCTCCGTCCAAGCGCAGACATCGCAAATGCAAGACACACGCAGAAAAAAAAGTTTACCTCCTAGAAATCCGGTTGACGTTTCCCTTCCCATCCCTTGCTTTAGATGGGAACAGTTCATGCTTGCGTCGCCCCGTACTGCAAGATTTACTTACTGTGCCCCCCTCTTTTATCTTTGTATAAGTAAGCACCGCTGTCAAAGACATAATGAATGCGTCGTGGCGTCCCAGATTCAATTGAATTCTGTCTTTTGAATCTTTCTTTTTCTTGCTCCCTGCCTGCCCCCTTACCCTCCCCCGCCCCCCCCCCTTCTGACGGAAGAGTGTAGATTCATACTCGGAGTCTTCGTTCATAAAATTCTCTCTTGGTCTCTTGATTATTAAAGTATGGTTCTATATGTACAATGCCTGGCTCTCCCGATCCCCCCACCAAAACCCTTTTTGGTCCCATCGAAATTCTATACAACCGGTCCTCTAGCGATTCTCTATGCCGTTGCGACCCGAAATGCACACAATAGGAAAAACAAAAGAAAGAGGTAAGTACAAATGAAAATGCCCGTGCTGCTTCCCCTTGCCCCCCCCCCTCCCTTTCCCCGGCTCTATATGATGAAGTTCATTCAATATTAGAAACTAAAGTTAGTGAAGCGACCCCTCTCAACCACCCGGTGGGAGCGAGACCCAGGCTTTTTTGGAAAATTCTTTTCCACTCGTTTGATGGCACACAATAGAAGAAATGCGTTCGCGCTTGGAGTTTTGGGAAGATCAATAATTGAAATAATACGGGTTCGGGCAGCCTCCGAGATCGGTGTTCGAGAGTCCGATCACAGGCAGTGTCTGCTGCGCTTGGCTGTGAGGGTAGTATCGGAGAGGAAGCGAGCTGGTTTCGAGGGTCGATGGCTCGTGGTGGTACATAGAGCTGCTGGTCAGGTCAAGGGAGTAGCCGGCTGTGCTTTCTCCCTCGCGTGACCGTCGGGAGGCGCTGCTGCCGCCGATAGGTGCATATGAGGAAGTCGGGGCGCTGCTGTCCCACGAGACCTGGATGGTTGGGCCTTTGCAGGGCTCGAGGGGTTTGGTGGAAATAGTCCCGGTGCTGCTCTTCGGGGTGACCGCGGAGCTGCTGCAGGAGTCGAAGACGGAGGTGTGCGATTCCAGGTCGGGGATCTCTTTTCGGTACACCGGATTCACGCTGTCTTTCATGGATGAGCTGGTCGGGGAGCCCATCGCCTGGCTATCCGCGAGCTGCTCGGGAAGGTGGACGCGCGATACGCACACAACCATGGGCCCGTCTGGAGCCATGTCAGTATCTGATCCAGTCGCCGTGCCAGAGGAACATACCTGTTCTGCCTTCCAGGTACCGTTCTTGCTCTCCGCGGACATGGTAGATCTCATCCAGTATAGCTAACCGCTCGACGGGTTGAATCTGTCGACGCACAGATTGATCCGCTTCTTTGAGTTTCTCGACGCAGATAGCGTGGCTTTCGCGCAACTCGCACAGAATATGCACCAGAAGTTTGACTCGCTCTGTCCATCACTTAGCGTGCTTCTTCTTATGAATCCGTTGAACAGGCCTCCTACCGTTCTTGAGAAGGTGATCAGGCTCTCTGTGGGTAACGCCCGCTGGCCACCAGGCTGGCTTAGTGAGCTCGGGATCAAACTGTTGAGATGTGCCAGAAATGATCTTGCGTCCGTTGTACGGATAGTTGACCTGCTTCCGCGGCTCAACAAGCTTGATGTATGCCTTGGCAAGGATGCGGCAGTTGATCTGCTGTAGGCCTTCGAAGGCCTTCTCATAGTATCGCCGGAGGATGCTAGCATTGCGAACAGGGAGCATGGTTTTTTGGTGGCAAGTGATACTCATCGGTACGAGACACTCATGCGACACTCGTTTTCGCTTGTTTGAGGAAGGCTCTGAGGTGTTGCTGAACCTGAAATCTGTTAGCTTCCATCATCGGCTAAGACATGGTGTTGCCATACATCGACTTGCTGTGAGGTGACTCAGGCGACAATGGGCTTCGGCCTCTTGACCCTTCTACTGCCGGTGTCAGTGCATCTTGAAGTCACTGTACGGCAGCGCAAGGTTTACCTAGAAGTTTATTCGACTCGTCCTTCCCAGACAAGGCCACGGCTCGTAGAAAGCTCTCGGTCACGTTTGGCGACAATATTGACTGGCAGCTATCCGCAATCGAAGGTGATGCGTCGAAGCGCAATTTACCGCTGTCATCGATATAGATCAAAGCAAAATGCAGACAGGCCAGCCCGTCTAACGGCGCATCCATTGATACCGGAGTATGAGCCTGGTGCAGTTAGCTTATGTTGCGAATCGCCACCCAGGTGAATCAGTACCATGGCTGTGAAACAGTGAAAGGGGATAGTGACAAGTCAAGATGACCAATGATTCAGACAGTAAGACCTTCAGAAGCTCGCTCTGACACAGCAGGTAAGAAAGGTGCAAGGCACATAGAAGTACTCACGACGAGTCAGAGACAGGGCACGAGAGAAGGCATTTTAAACATGCATCGGAGACGGTCTGGGACCGATTTGAGGCAAATCGAATGAACGGGGCGATCAATAGATCCACAGTCTGTATCAAGCTTACAGGATCGCCCTCAATCCAAGTATCAGCTGTCCCTAGGTCGCCTCCGGGTCGGATGATGCACCCACTGCATCACCATTAGCCCTAATGACCTTTTCTCCCCCAAGAAGCACCATAACGAGATAATCCATAAGAGAAAATCAGTGCTATAGAAGCTAGGCCAATGGATGCATCCAAGCCGTGTCACTAATGCGTGGCCCTATGTGGCACAGCAGCGGATGGGGACCCATCCGCTCTCTTGCATTCAGGTGTGAACACTAATGCCTTTCTGCGCTGTTCCACTCAGGTATAACTATTGGAGAGCGTAAAAAGTACCGCTCGAGTCTTCCCTGAATAGGTAAGGATCCCGTATAGCTGACAGTTCCTGGGGAGCGAGCCGATGGCCGCTACCCCGTAAATGCAATTGATTCGTTTTCACAAGGTCTTTGCCATTGTCGATCCTTCACTCACCGGCACTTCAAGCTCCATTTTGCATACAGTGCGAATAATGGACGACCAGAGAGTAGCCGTCCCTCAAGCGCTGGTAGTATGTCTATCTACGGTACTCCGTAGATTGAGACTGCCTCGAGTCGGAGTGATAGAACGGAGTAGTTCGGGTGGAGAATGATCCTCACAAGGTACACTGCCCAATCCCGGTAATCAATTTTCGCCTATCACTTCAATTGCCTCTCTAGCGAATGACTTAATCCCGCTAACCCTGCCCTCCTTGCTTCGTGCATCGGGTGTCAGACACTGATCGTACCGTTAGCTTCATCCGGGAAACAACACGAATGGGCCTGTAGACGCGAATCAGTGCAATGGGTGACAACCCAGGATGAACATCGCGAGAAACTGGCCTCTTGACACCGTCGAACATTACGTCGTATCGAGGTGCCCAAGTAGTTACAGGATAGAGCCAAGTGCTGACTGAATGACCGTTTAACGTACTTACGTGGTCCCTAGCTGTCTCACAGCGAAGCATCAGCCATGCAGAACGCTGATGATCATTCTGGGACAAATCGATCAGTCGAAAGTTAGATGTGTGGATCCGCCCCGGCTGGAAGTGACCCACCAAGATACTCATAGGACGGCACCAGAGCTAATCGCAATGAATTGGTAGCACAACGAACTATAGAGAGTGAAGTTGCGTGCGGAAAAAATTTGCGATAGTCTAAATGCTCAGTTGAAAGCTATCGTTCTCTATTTGCAGTCGGTCCTTCCTGTCATGTCTCGTCACGGGCATTATCCCAAAGAGTTGTTGGCATTTCGCCTATGCTGGTTGTCACCTATGCTATCCACATGATAGGCGTCAATTTGTCAATAGACATCGCTTCAAGTAGAAGGTCTAGACTCCAATCGTTCATTGCCACATTGCGGTACTTGGTGGTCATCGTGGATGGATGGCAAATTTCCCGAAGCGGATTATTGGGAGATTGGGAGCCTGGTTCGTCTGACGCGCTGGGTAAGTACTGTACATTGTCGGTCAAATGTCCGACAATGGTGCGTAGAGGCAACATTCAAGGATGGAAATGGAGTCCACGATGGGCGTGGAGTTGTTTACGGAGTACTGCACATAGACCCTCATAGTGCTGGCATTGAACATGCTTGCGAGCTTCCGAGGTTATTGGCCACGCATTCTTCCAGCTCGCCGTCGGCGTCACCTGTTATATTTGAAAACAAGGTTATGACTGGTCACCGGCCGAAGTTCCGATTCGCGAAAAATCACAAAGCTCGAATTCGCTTAGAGGATCAAGATCTAGCTTAGTACGGGGTACAGGGTGCTCAGACGACCCCTGTAATCTCCCAAGGCGACAGGACGACTCTGTTTAGTGGCACCATTGGTCGCTCCACGATTGGTGTGCGAGCAACAAAGACATGGCCATACTACCAGCTACCGGGCGTTCGGAAACGCCATGATCGTTCACGGGGGCGGCCCTCTCCGTTGGGCCCAAGTATAGACAAATTCGGGTTTTTTGGGTAAGACCTCTGACGAGTCTGTTGGATGGACTGCAGCGGGTCGCGTATTGCATATGATTAGATGACCTGTCATTCTGGCTGGGCGCTCAGTAGTCATGCATGTCGGAAGCCTCCCGGACGTAGCGACTCGACTATTACACGCTCCATCGCCATCCATGGACGGTTAGCACGATTTATTAATAACAACACTTTCGTTGAGGCGAAGACATCAATCGAGTTACGGCCTCAGCCGTCCTTCGTGGTTGCCCTCGAGACTATTGTATCACCGAGGATGGATTATTATGGATTATTATGGATTATTGATAGATAGAGAATCAGAGAATCAACAGTCCGACCACTACTTGACAGTGCACTGGTGGCTTTGATGCATCGTGTTTCGCATTCGGAGCATGTCTAATGGTGTATTCAACGGTAATCGTGGTAGCATCATACCGGCTCGGCACATTATCCTAGTGAGAACTGAAGACAATCCGTCTAGTAAGCAGCTTCACTTAGGTAGATCCTGATAACATTGAGAAAATCATGTTAGAAATAACTTAGTGGTTTCTTGTCATTACCTTGCAAGTTCTTCAGTTCTCTATGAAAGTAGACACACCAACCACGCCACCGGTAGGTAGGTGGTTCGAGCGCTGGTAGACCCAGAGTCTGGAAACGACGTACATGTACAATTGAGCACGGGTCACCGACTGGAGGGCTAGTGCGAGTGAGGGATCAATTTGCGTGGGGCTGGCTGGCTCCATCGGTATGACAGATGCCAGTGGCCACCCACCCTGGTACGGAGGAGAGGAGCCGAGACTGGTTCTGAGAATGGCAGGGCCTGAGATCAGTTTCATCGGAAACCTTCGATGACCCTAATACCGGGGCTTCTGGAAGACTACCCGATCTGCGAGGACGATCAGCCGCGGGATGCTGATCTCAAAAGTACAGTGAGTTTACTGTACAGAACATACACTATTGCGAACGATCGATAGTTGGGGGATTTCGCCCGCTTCCGTCTTCGCAAGGTGATGGCTGGAACTGTCCATTGTCCATACTTGGCCTCGAGCCCTTCGTAGTGTCCGTATATTTGAAGCGAAAAAGGTGGCATACGTGCTTCGCCCTCTATTGGCGGGCTCACCCTGCGGGTCTAAAGATGATGTGCACTTTGAGAGCAGTACCAGTAGATAGTGGGGAGGAGAGAGGTGAGGTAGAGGGAGAGATGAAGCCTGGAGCTTTCGGTTACACAGTCAAGAGCAGTGACTCGACTGTGCCTGTGCCTTCCGAACGAGGCAGGAAGGCAAACCATCATCCATGGGGTGCCTCAGGTGCACAAGGTTGTTTTGTACGAAGATTACTCCGTATCTCTCTTACATAGTCGATGTGCCTGTAACCGTGTATGTTACGCTCATAATACACCAATTATGAAGATGTCAGCTGATTGTCGTGTATACACCGACCACTAACCGACATCATACCTAAACTAAGTACCGTACTCTGCTCACATAACTTAATTGATCATCCATCTACGGAGTATGAACTTTGTCAACAACTACCGAGTAGTTAACTAACTTATCTCTCATAAATTAAAGAGATAGTAGGCGACCTGTGCTGCCACTGAGTGTGGATTTTTCCCACCACTCTTGGAACCCCACCAGCCGGCCCGCCCGGACGAATGGTAAGCCATGTGTTATCATCCAATCGTTCGCAGGTTGATCAGTCTGAATCCGGCCAGCAAATCTCTTCCCGAGTCCTGACCCTTTCCCTCTTCCACTGTTCGCACTGCCCTTCGATCCATGACTGACTGTCTTGTCTGTCTGTCTGTCATTCTTCCCCTACTATTGCTATTATCTATTCCTTTCCTGCATACCGCATTTATTCCCTTTGGGCTTAAGCTGTCAGCTTGCTCCTCTCGCCCACTTACACCCCCCAGTGGTCGCCTTTTCTTCGCTCCCCTGATCTCCTCCTCCACCCCTCCTCCTCTCTCCCCTTTCAGTCGGTCTGCCTCTCTGTCGTGTCCCCTCCATCGACCCAATCAAACGCCCCCCCTCCTTTCCCATCGTCTCTCCTCTCTCTAATCTTAAATTGACCTTGGTGATTTTCTTGCATTTTTATTTGCTCCTAATTCCCCCTCAGTCTCGATTCCGTGGATTGTTCCAGAAAACCCCATAGGCAATTAAAGCCACCGTTCACAGGCCACTAAGGCTTTAGGGACCCGGGCTTAGTGTCGCATTTCCGTCCATCCCTGGATTCCCGCGAGTCAGAGAACTGCTCCGAACTCTGACACTGACTTTCTACGGACCTGTTCCGACGAAGGTTTATTTCTTTTTTAAAAAAACAAAAAACCAAAAAAAAAATTGTTCGATTTCTCGCCCAGAATAAAGAAGAATAAACAAACCAAAAAGAGAGAGCAAAGAGAGGGGAACGGAAGCTTGGGACCCTCCGTCCAGCAGTTTTCTCTCACATCATCCATCAGCCATGGACTCGAATAATCCTTCCGGCTTCCCAGCTGCGATGCAGCAGACCGCGGCTTTTCCTATCACGACTCAAAGTCCCCAACAGTTCCCTTACTATCCAAATGCCATGCCCTCATTTCCCCAGCCTAAGTCTACACCTCCCTCTCATATGACTCCTCAGCAACAATTACCGCATTCTTTCAATTCCGTGCCTATGCAGGCCGGCCCCGGTGGAGCAATGATGCCGACTGGCTATCCCCAGCAATCACAAGGTACGTTGTCATCACCACACTGTCATGGGAGTGGTACTCTCCTAATGCCATTCTTATCTGATTTGCCCATCCTCGATACTTCAATACTTGCTGTGACCTCCTTTGTACCCCCATTATCCCTCCTCTCCCGCCTCCCCTCTCCCCTTATTGCTTCCCCACCCACTGGGCCTCCTTAGATCAACAAATGCTTCGTCGCATTGGACATCATTTCCAATATCGACTCTACCGCATCTGACCCGGTCTGGTTGCGTTCTCGCTACGTTACAGGGCCAATGGTTGGGCGGATCTCCACTATCGTGTCACCTCTTGTCACCCTAGTTGCCTTTCAGCTGTTGTCGCTCATGGAGCTACACTGGGCTGCTAGCCCAAGTGTCTCAAGTTAGACACAATGTCGGCTGCAGGGACAAGCCGCTAATCAACGGGATGGACTTGCAGGACCCCACGCCAACTTCGCGGCGCCATTTGCCCAGCCACCTGTCCCGACTTCGATGGGCCAATTTCTTCCTCCCCAGGCGACTTCAGCTGCTGCGGTTTCTGGCACTGCTGCACAATCATTTTCTTCCAACCTGGCCTCAATTCCCTCGACCAACATGATTTCAGCGCAACAACCGAGACCGACCCCGCAACCCAACCCAGTGCCAAATTCGTCTCCTTCTGCCCCCCAGTCGCCTGCCGCGGCTGCTCGAGAGAAGGCCCGGGTGACGGTTCTTCTGGATATCAATTCGATGCTGCTGCAGGAAGTCATAAATCTTCAGGCAGCCGGCAAGGCTGGGACTGCGCCTACTCCGCAGGGCTCTCAAGAATCCAACCCGTCGCCGACCTCGGAGCAGACTCCCGACAAATCTAACCAGCGCCCAAGCCCGGAGTATGTCGAATGTATGCGACGATTGCAAGCCAACCTGGGTTATTTGGCAACCGTGGCCGACCGAGCTAAGAAGTCTGGTGGTGTTGCTCCTGGCGGCCCTGCTATCATGACACCACCACCACATATGCCCTCAATGGCCGATCTCTACAACCGACTCAGTGAATTATGTCCTCGTTCGACACAAGGTAGCATGGGAACACCTCAGCCTAGTCCCCAAGCCCTGCAGGGAAACGGGCGGCCCAGCCCTTCCCCCGCTACCGAGACAGTTGTCTGAACACCAACCCTTGGCTAGACAGAGCAACTAGACCCTGCAGATGACCGAGGGCACCTTGGCGACGGGCGCAAGTGTCGCCCTTGAACAAAAGTTTTCATTGAAGACTTCTACAACGGATTTGAAGCTTCCCTGTCACTTCTGTCACGTAGTGGAGGCTAGTATCGACCTGAATTTCGATACATAGGGTACTGGTTTGAACTAGTGCTGACTGCGAACATCACACTATGATCTCTGAACCGGACTTCGTCGACCAGCGCCAATTCGATATCAAACAAGGGCTGATATGAGCTCGCCCTGTAGGAGAACGCGTCTCCGTGGATTGATTGTCTCAGACAACATGATGAGTCTCATGAAGTCGGGCAAGCAATTAGGATCTTAGATCAGGCACAATGATAGCTAGAACTGGGTGGAGGACTGCAGCGATTGCCACCAGACGCCCGGGTTTGAAGTAAAGAAGACATAGTAGGGAAGGGAGGCAGCCTTCAAGTGTACTATAGCCATGCATTGATAGAGATGTAGATAGGTTCCACTGCCACCACTACAATTACTATTCTGATTATATGCATACCGCGTTGACCCTGTCAGGTTTCTCCCAGCGCTAATCCATCTGATCTGGTCATCAGACTCTGTTGCTGCAGCTCCACGGGCGGTGGAGGGTGGATGGCCAATCAGTCGACAGCCTTCCTCTGACCGCCTACCTGAGCTTTTCTGCCTCAAGTCAGTTCTCCGCCCTGCAGTTCGTCACTCTTTCAGCTTTTCCCCCCTCCTCCATTTCTCATTTCCTGCAACAGTCTTTGTCGCTTGAGGACCTTGTGAATGTCTTGCGTCTCGCTCCGACTCTACAGAAGGAGCTTACTGTCTGTCGCTACTAGCCACACACCCAAAACTACCATCGCTCTCTCTCCAGTAGCTGCCGCTACCTCTTCGTCTCCCGCCGCGCCGCCGCCGCCGCCGCCGCTACATTCGCCGACTACTTCCTGTTCTTCTGATATACCGTGGCACCACCTCACCTCACTTTCGATTTATAGCCGTTTATCTACCTCTATATTTCCTCGAAACTCTTCCTCCTCGCGCCACATACTACCTTATCCTCATCGCTGCCTTAAACCGCGGCGAATTCCCCGTCACAGCTCCGGTCTGTGGTCAAGTGATATAGCACCGAGGAAAATCAACAATTCCAGCGCTATTTCCACTCGCTCCATCACTTCGCTCGCAGCTTTATCTCTCAGACCCCGTGGTCGTCAGAGTCATACGTTACAAATGGATATGAATGGTGACGCAGGCGCCAAGCGCAAGCGCAGCTCGATCGCCGCGCCCGCCGAGCGGCCCGCAAAGCATCTCCGTCCCGAAACCAGCACATTAACGCCTGGCGACTCCACCCCCGCGAATGGAACCGTCTACGATGTGGAGGAAGAAGAGGATGCTGGCCGGGTGTTGCCCCTGGGAGCTGCACAGGCCGACTCGCCTGAGTGGCAGGCAACGATTGAGGAGGTCGTGAAAAGCGTTGTGTCGATCCACTTCTGTCAGACGTGCTCCTTTGACACGGAACTTTCGATGAGCAGTCAGGCGACTGGTTTTGTAGTCGACGCGGAGCGGGGTTATATCTTGACGAATCGACACGTGGTATGTCCCGGACCTTTCTGGGGTTACTGTATTTTCGACAACCATGAAGAAGTGAGTTGGCTTAGCCCTATCAACCCAAGCGCAGGCTTTTCATCTCCATTGTTCTATGCAGCCCTAACCAGACTAGTGTGATGTTCGCCCGATCTACCGAGATCCTGTTCACGACTTCGGCATCTTACAGTTCGACCCGAAAGCGATTCGATATATGAACTTGAAGGAATTGAAACTACAACCGGATGCGGCCAAGGTCGGATCGGAGATTCGTGTCGTGGGTAACGACGCAGGAGAAAAGCTTAGTATTCTGTCTGGTGTCATCAGTCGATTGGATCGAAATGCTCCGGAATACGGCGAGGGATACAGTGATTTCAATACCAATTACATTCAGGCCGCTGCGGCAGCGAGTGGTGGTAGTTCCGGCAGTCCTGTCGTGAACATCGATGGCCACGCAATTGCTTTGCAGGCTGGCGGTCGCGCAGATGGCGCAGCTACGGACTACTTCCTCCCGCTGGACCGGCCGCTGCGTGCGCTGGAATGCATCCGTCGCGGTCAGCCGGTCACGCGAGGAACCATTCAGACACAGTGGATTCTCAAGCCGTTCGACGAGTGTCGTCGGCTGGGCCTAACGCCTGAGTGGGAGGCCACCGTGCGCAAGGCAGCTCCCACGGAGACCAGCATGCTGGTGGCAGAGATCATCCTGCCGGAAGGCCCGGCAGATGGAAAGCTGGAGGAGGGAGACGTGCTTCTGAAGGTCAACGGGGAGCTGCTCACTCAGTTCATTCGGCTGGACGATATCCTGGACTCGAGCGTCGGGCAGACGGTGCGTCTGCTCGTGCAAAGAGGCGGTCAAGATGTGGAGGTGGAGTGCCAGGTTGGCGACCTGCATGCCATCACGCCCGACCGCTTCGTGACAGTGGCGGGAGGCACGTTCCATAACCTGTCCTACCAACAGGCACGTCTGTATGCCATCGCTACCCGCGGCGTCTATGTCTGCGAGGCCGCCGGGTCTTTCAAGCTGGAAAACACCCTGTCGGGATGGTTGATTGACTCCGTGGATAAGCGGCCAACGCGGACACTGGATGAGTTTGTGGAGGTGATGAAGACGATCCCTGATCGCTCGCGGGTGGTCATCTCGTATCGCCACATCCGCGATCTTCACACGCGCGGGACCAGCATTGTCTATATCGATCGACACTGGCACCCGAAGATGCGGTTGGCGGTGCGCAATGATACCACTGGACTCTGGGATTTCTCTGATCTCGCGGACCCCGTTCCCGCCCTGCCTCCTGTGCCGAGGAAAGCTGATTTTATCCAGCTTGATGGGGTGAGTCAACCTGCTGCCGCTGCCATTGTGCGCAGCTTCGTGCGCGTGTCGTGTACGATGCCTCTTAAGCTGGACGGCTATCCTCAAGCCAAGAAGACGGGATTCGGTCTGGTCGTTGACGCCGAGAAGGGACTGGTCGTGGTTTCGCGTGCCATTGTTCCGTACGACCTCTGCGACATCAACGTCACCGTAGCTGACTCGATCATTGTCACCGCCAAGGTGGTGTTCTTGCATCCTCTCCAGAATTACAGCATCATTCAGTATGACCCCAGCTTGGTTCAGGCTCCGGTGCAGAGCGCCAAGCTCAGCACTGAGTACATCAAGCAGGGTCAGGACACTATCTTCGTCGGATTCAACCAGAACTTCCGCATCGTGGTGGCCAAGACCGCCGTCACCGATATTACCACCGTGTCGATTCCGGCCAACGCCTCGGCCCCGCGCTACCGTGCGATCAACCTGGACGCCATCACGGTAGACACTGGTCTTAGCGGACAGTGCTCCAATGGTGTACTGGTCGGCGAGGATGGCACGGTGCACGCCCTTTGGCTGAACTACCTCGGCGAACGCACGGGGAACTCGCACAAGGACGTCGAGTATCATCTGGGCTTCGCGACGCCATCTCTTCTGCCTGTTTTGTCCAAGGTGCAGCAAGGCGAGATGCCCACGCTGCGGATCCTGAACATGGAGAGCTACGTGGTGCAGATGAGCCAGGCGCGCATCATGGGCGTGTCCGAGGAGTGGATCGAGAAAGTGACGCGGGCGAACCCCGCCCGGCATCAACTGTTCATGGTCCGCAAGGTGGACTGTCCGCCTCCAGGCTTTGCCTCCGAGGCTGTAGACAGCTTTGAGGAGGGTGACATCATCCTCACCCTGGACGGGCAGCTGATCACCCGTGTCTCGGAGCTGGACATCATGTATGAGAAGGAATCCCTGGAGGCGCTCATTGTGCGCAACGGCCAGGAGATGCGCATCCAAGTCCCCACGGTGCCGACGGAGGATTTGGAAACCGACCGCGCCGTGGTCTTCTGCGGTGCTGTCCTCCAGAAGCCCCATCACGCCGTCCGTCAGCAGATCTCCAAACTCCACAGCGAGGTCTACGTCAGTGCCAGGGTACGTTGTCCGTCCTTCCACCGTTCATTTCCACCCCATCACTAACGATACACCTTGACAACAGAGCCGCGGTTCCCCCTCCTACCAATACGGCCTCTCGCCCACGAACTTCATCACCGCCGTCAACGGCACCCCGACCCCGAACCTCGACCGCTTCGTCGAAGAGGTCCGCAAGATCCCCGACAACACATACTTCCGTCTCCGGGCGGTGACCTTCGACAACGTCCCCTGGGTGGTGACCATGAAGAAGAACGATCACTACGTATGTTGCAACAGCCCCCCCTCCTTTCTTCCCCTCCCTGAAGCCAGCAATGACCATCCCCCGTCTAACACATTCCTCTAGTTCCCCATGTCCGAATACCTGAAAGACTCATCCGCCCCGCAGGGCTGGCGCACCGTCTCCCACGATAAGGACAAGCACCACGACGGCGCTGCGCCGGATGCGGCCAACTTGAACCCCGACGCCATGGATGAGGGCTTCGATGGTGTCAGTGATGTCGAGCCGGAGGCTGAGTAAGGGGGAGTCATACCCTTTTTCTCTGGGTGGTTTCTGTAGGTGATTGTCGATGTATCTACACGGTTGGAATTCATTCTGTATGTACAGTATAGACTTACAGCGTTATATGAATGGATAGATATGTATCTCGTCTTTTGCAAGTAGAGCTATGCTCGTATGCGCTTTAGCCTGTAGAGTCGGGGAATTCGTGCTTGCTGTGTCGGTGCTGATGGTGTGAGCTGGGAATACATTAACCTCCGTCTATAATCAGTAATAGTCGTTGTATTGGAATGGATACCTAGCAATGTCAGCCTGGACACTCCATTAACACGGCTCAAATCGCGCACAACCTCCCAGAAGGTACGGAGTATATACTTTATATATCCGCCATTCCAACGATTATCCGAAACACAACGACCCCAAACCACCCCAGCGCATATCAAAAACTACATTTCCCCGGAACAATATACATCAAGAACTAAAAACCCCAGAGCTCCCTCTTCCCCAACGCTATCCAATACAGAAAGTGACGCGCAATCTACCAACCGATCCTGCGCTACAAACGCATATATAATGACAAACTCGGAAGAAGATTATATCAACCAGCATCATTGGTCTAGTGGTAGAATTCATCGTTGCCATCGATGAGGCCCGTGTTCGATTCACGGATGATGCACTCTTATTTTTCTTTTTCTTTTTTTTTTCCCCCTCTTACCTTCTGTTGTAGGCGGAGTATTTTGCCGCTCGCTGAGGCATCTTTCTAGCGCGGTGGTTATAGCACCCGTCACCCCTCAGTATCCGCCCCCACCCCCCTTGCTGCTAATGCTGTGCATTCTCCTTCGATCGACTACGTGCCCGTCCATCATTTTTTCGGATAAGGATGCGCTGGGGTTACACCGCCCTCCATCAACATCAACGGAATGCGCTGTCACTGCACCGCAGCTCGGGGGACGGATTCTCCGCGATGGGGGTCCCGTGTTTTCTGTTCTTCTGTGGGCATTCGGGGTGCTTGGATTGCTGATCTTACCTGGGTCGTGGTTCGGTTGTCTCCGTTGTCTACACAGGCATCGTTCATAAAGACTACTGAAATCACGAGGATGACTGCTGTCCTACACCAGTCTGACTTTCCCAGAAGATAAGAAAATTGCCATACACGCATGAAATATAAGTATGAACCCAAACAGAAAGATATACTCCGCAGTCGGCCTGCGAGCAAGAGAAAAATGAAACGAAAAAAAGTAGAAAGAAAAGTACAAGGGAAAAACGTCCCCGTTAACCACCACGGCTAACGAAGTCTCGTTTTGCCATCGTACACACACTACACCACCGCATACATACTACCCAGCCTCAAGTCGGCTGTGCATGCCATCACAGTCGACTCCTCAATGCCCTTAGTCAGAACTACCACATCAACTGAGGCAGCTAACAAACCGTGTCCACTCCGCATCACGACCGACTCCCTAAGCCAGTAGAGGCTCCTTCTCCTCAGCCTCAACGGCAGGCTGCTCAATTGATTCGGCCAAGGGAGCGACGGGAGCGGCGGGAACCACGGGCTCAGCCTTCGGGGCTTCAGGGAAGTCGGGGATCTTGATCTCAGGCTCGGCCTCGGGTTCCTTCTTGATGACGGGGTTGCTGGCGACCTTGGCCACCTCGGGGGTCACGGAGCGCGAAGCGGAGCGGCGGTGCACGAATCCCTGGGCCTTGGCGCTGTAGTCCTCGACGTACTGCTTGACGATGCCCGTCGCGTGGGCGGTGCGCTCCTCGGCGATGTCCTTCAGCTGGTGGGCCTGGCTGTTGACCATCTCCTGGAGGTGCTCGATCTGGGCATCGATGACCTCGCGGTTGTTGATGTAGACCAAAGGACCCAAGTAAGCAATGGTGACGGTGATGAGGGAGAGACCCCAGAAGGGCAGGAACTTGATCAACCAGTAGGCGGAGAAAGCGGCGAGGAAAGCCTAGCGGCCGGTTAGCGATGCACCATGTGTCACAGGTGTAGCATTGACATACAGCGATGGTGTGAACAAGGTTCTCGGTGAACAGAACGCGCTGGAACTCGATCAGAACGAAATCGACAAGCTGCTCGAGATCCTCCAACACGGCCTCGACCGTCTCCTTGGGAACGGTGTAGTATTTGCGAGGGCGGAAAGATCCGACGACGCTTTGCTTCAGAGCGAGTTGACCACCCAGCTCAGCGAGAGCGGTGACTGTTCAAGTATTAGTCCCCCGTCGAAATATATGTTGTGCAGGTTCCACTCACAGCCCAGAACCACATAGATAAATTTGAAGAACCATCGAAGGAGCGGAAGGTAACGGGCGGCAAAAATGAAAGCTACAACGCTGATGAAGGAGACGGCGGTGGCTCGGGGTTGTTCCCACTAGTTTGGAATATCTGTTAGGGCTGGTCTGTGTGGGATGGATTCGCAGTCACTCACGCTCAAGAGGCTGTACAGCAGGGAGTGGTAGTCTTTGTGGAATTAGCGACGAGCGGCGTGGCACAAGTGTGAGTGGTACATACAAGTTAGGGGCTGGCCGGTCGCGGCGCTGGTGGAGGGAGTCACTGCTGCGTTGCGCAGCTCGCGCAGCTCTTGACTGGTGCGGGTCGCCTCGGATTTGATGTTGTCGGCCAGAGGTCCTATGAGACTGGCTGTCAGCTCGAATGCAATTGAGGTATGGCAACAAATTCTTCTCCCCCCAGGGAAGAGGCCGGGATTAGGAATTGGCGCTTACCATTGGTAATAGTACCTAGACGGAGGGATCAGTGGTTAGCTTGTGTAACTCGATTTCGAACTCTCGGTGAGATGCGAGATGTGTGGGACTGAAGATCAGGCGAAACATTAGCTTGAGAACGCTCTTCTCCCAATGCAACTGACCAGAAGACTCGGATACGTACCTTACCATGGCCGTTCACGTTGGGATAACTCACGTCAGCAGCCATGACGAAAGTTGTGTGGGTTCGGAAAGCTGGAAAGATAAGGAAAAGGGTGGATTGTCAGGGGAAAATAGAGAGAAGTTCGAGCCAAAGGTAGCTGCGGCGGTTGGAATGGGTGGGCAGACGAGACTGCAGTTGAACACCGAAAGAAGGGGATTAGAGAGAATAGAATAAGAAGAGCTTGAGTTGACGCGGGGATGGGGGAGAAGATGAAGAAAAAAGGACGAGGGCGAGAGTGAGAGGAGAGAAGGTGATGCAATAATGGGGTCGAGCCGGCGGGCGGATTTGATTTGGTCGTGTGCCTTAGGTTTGACTCTACAGTAATATTTCGTTTGCCTTCCCCAATACGAACAGAACCAAACGAACATGTGATGGCCTCGACCGGTGTTTCGGATTAACTTGCATGGCCAAACTAATTATATCTTTGATATAACCCAGCTTATGACTTTTGAATTGACTGATTGAATAAGACAGTGTGTGTGCGCTTATGCAAGGGACTCACTGCTGGGAGAAGATCCTTCCAGAGCTCATTCATCCAGCATCCATCAATCAATCCATCCAGCGAGCAGGAGTTCGTGCATTGAGATGCATGCTCTGCAGGTCGAAGATCCCAGACTTGTCCTCAATATCTGCCAGCTAATTCATCCGTCGGAACCTTGAGAGAGGACTGACACCCTCGAGTTCATCACCGATTCAAGTTCCACCACTATCATTATCTCCACCACGAAGCTCCTCCCCAGTCACCTCTATAGTCCACAAACGCATTGTTCGGTTGTGTTTACTTCGGTCTGGGCTGGGATGATGTCACTCGCCGGTCACACCTCAATCAGTCAGCATCCGCTCACAATCGCCTCTAATTGAGAACCATTCAGCGCTTTTGTAAATGTTTCCATAGGTGACTGTCACGAAACCGGAATCCAGCACAACCCGGCAGCCTATACACGCTTGGGATATTGGTGCAAGTGACGCAGCGCTTGGTGCTGAGCTGTGGAGGGGCCAGCATCCGATCATAAGCTGCGTCGGCGACCATTTGGTGGAGGCGCACTGTACCGAAAAGCACATCATCCGCACTTAATCTAGATCTGGCCATGAATGATGTCACGAAAGTATATTTCACAGCGCTCAGTAGTTGTTCTATGTACGGAGTAGTTGGTCCTTTGAGAGGCAATCGGGGGAAGCTGTCGCGTGGCAATTCCACTTTGCTAAGTGCATGGAATTTAGCTAGGCAGCAACAAGACTTGCTACAAGCAATAGAGCAAAATTGTAGTGGAGAAGAAGAATCACTCTGTTTCTGGATAGCTAGCTAGTAATAGTACCATAGCCAGCACAAACCAGAATGATAAGTTGGTAAGCTATGCCAAGTATGGATGGTTTATGCTCAGAATTTGGTGCCTTAAGCGCCAGGCACCCAAAATATAGAGGTCACGTGATGGAGCGGGACTCACGCGTTGGCCGATGTTTTGATGCTTCAAACTCCGGACGACAGGCCTGAAGCCCACCGGCCCACCATTAACCCTCGCCGACACACCACGGTCTCATGCTCCATTTCTCGACTGTCACTAACCTTTAGACCGGGCCCGCTTGCCCTCGACCCTTTACGATTAATTTTAATGTCTTCTTGACGACTCCGATTCCCAATCTGCGTTTGTTTACATCGCCATGGCTGCGACCGGCGCGAGGGCGCAGAAGCCCGTCGGCTCTGCAGCGTGGATCTCATCCGAAAAGGAAAACTGTATGCAGCTTGTGGACCAGGAAATGGAAGAGGTCGAATATCCTGTGCGCCATGAGATGGATTGGTTGAATGAGCATATGGCCGAGATCTTCTCTACCAACCAATTGTCCGTTGCGCCCGCATACCCGTGATCCCGTTCTCCGATGCTGACTCTCGCCCAGTAACTTCACCGATGCGTTTAAGACCCCAGGGAAATTGCGCGGCAAAACCCCGCGGACTGCGCGAAAGCGTGATGCGACCGAGCCTCGTGTGGTACGTCGACCCGTTCTCTACTCCTAGAAAGCATTGGCGGGCTCATCGCTTACTGTCTACAGCCTTTGAGCGAGATCTTCTCCTCTGCACACAACAGCAAAACAGAGAACAAACTCGAAAGCAAGTATGACAGCAAACCCCTTGCAAGCCCGGCAGTTCAACGCTCGCCCGCCAAGGCACCCGTTGCGCCCCCTGCAGCACCAACTCCCGTGGCGGAACCTGAAACTACCACCACCAATGAAGCAGCTCAACCCGCATATCCCGACTTGAGCAAGAATTTCAATTCCTTCCCGGAGTACAATACCGACTCCGGCTATCATGGCATGCCCGAGGGGGAAGAAATGGAGGAGGATGAGGACGACGATGTTGTCTTGACACAAGTACAGCCCGAATCCCAAACATCGACACAACCGATGGAGACCGAGCCCATCGCTACGAAAGAACATACTCAACTACCAGACATGCGCCGCATGACAGCAAACTCCTTCCACTCCGCCCAAGAGAATGTACGCCACCGAGGCGAAACAGTTGAACCCGAGCAGGTCGAACCAACACCGAACCGAAACGCGCCCTCTCACTCGCAGCCTCAAATGGAGTCAAAGGAACAAGAGTCCGCTGCCACGCCAGCATCTGAGCTTGAGGAGAAGCTCGAGACAGAAACCGTGGAAGAACCCGAAGATGAGCCCGAGCCTGAGACTGAAGTTCAGGCCGAACCCGAGGCTAGGCCCGAAATTCAGCGTGAGATCCAGCGTGAGGAAAGTGTGGAACTCGAGGAACGGCAGGAACGGGAGGAGTCTGAGGAGCCTGAGGAGCCTGAAGTTGAGCTCGAACAGGAAATCGAGTTGCAACAAGCGCCAGAGCCAGAGGTCAAGCCCGTGCAACAGGACGAGCAGGAGCAACAGAAACACAGCGAGCGAGAGACAGTACCGGAGCTCATTCACCAGCCAGTGTCAGAACCTGAGGCAGAGGAAGAGCCTGTCAAAGCCGTGGAGCCGAGCTCACCTGCCAAGACTCCCGCCGCACCTGCTGCCGAGCCTGTCCAGGAAGGGAAGGAGGATTCTAAGGATGAAATGGCTCTCGATATTGACGATATCGGTTCTCCCTCGGACGTTTCACCTCCGGCACGCCCCCCCATTCGCAAGAGTAGTCTTTCGTTTGCGTCACTTCCTGCACGCGAGCCATTGACCAAGAAGAGTCTGGGAGGTTCAAGGCTGTCTCGCACAAGCCATCTGGAGATTTCTAAACTTAGCAACACTGGGAGCTATCTTGGTAGGCAGACTGGAGGACACAGAACGACACAGTCTGGCATGGAGGATGACACCGCACATAACGATAAGATGGATGTCGACGACAATAAGGATTTAACCGATGACGGAGAATCGGACGTTGACACGAAAGCCAGCAAGGTCCATGCCAAGTCCTCTACTCAAAGGCTGCATGAGAAGATAAGCATGCTGGGTAAAATGCAGCCATCGCGACCCACCAAATCCATTCCTGCAGTCTCGCGTTTATCAACCGCGCAGGTCACTTATCCCGAATTGCCCATCTCCAAGCCCGAGACGAGACCAGAATTTCCTAGCCAGAAGCCCCGTGATGCGCCAATTGCGGAGCCTATGCAGATCGATGACGACTGGATCAAACCAATGAACTCGCCCTATCGGTCGAACACACAGGCACACCAACGAACCGACAGCAAAGACACCAAGCTGTCGGGGGCTAGAATTCTGCGGGCTGCCGAGGACGATCGTTCTTCTGCTATAGATAATGCGAGAAGTGCGATGGGAACAACAACAACTACCGTAAAGCGCGCTTCGGATGTGGGCCGCGGAAAGTCGACAACGCCTCTCTACTCTTCTCCACAACGTCCTGGTCATCAAAAGAGCGCGTCTGCTCATATTGACTCCCAGTTGTCGACGACACCTGTTGGCTCTCCCGCGCCGGAACGATGGGATGGACCCTTGAGTGCTTCAAAGTCGAGGCTCCAGTCGATCGTGCAATCTGCGAAGGGCTTGTTCACGAATACTGGAGGTGTAGCAGCTGCGGCTCGAAAGGAAGCGTCCTCACCGGAACAACCAAGATTGCGACCGAGTGGTCGTCCCATTAGCGAGTTGATGGATAAGGCGCAGCGACCACAGTCTGCCCAGCTTCTCAGCCCCCCACGCCAGGAAGGGCGGAGAACCCGCAGCTCTACCGAGAGAGAAGAGAAGCGTAGGCAGATGGAGCTCGAGGAACGTGAACGGCAAGAGGAACGTCAGCGACAAGAGGAACGCCAAAGACAAGAAGAACGTCAACGATACGAAGAACGCCAACTACAAGAGGAACTGGCCGAGAAAACCCGGCAGCATGAGAAAAAGAGGTCCATGCAACTCCGGTCTGCACAGGAGAAGTATTCTGCAGACGAGTCTCGGGCAACTTCCGAGGCCCCCGCTGCACCAACATCTCAGAGATTGCCCAAACTGCAAAAGTCATCCAAGGAAACAGACTATGCTACGGAAACTGAATCCAAGCCCGCCGCCCCATCGTCTATCCCGCAGCAACAGCAAGCAAAGGGTCGTCCTGTCAAACCCACTCGCGACACACTCCAGAAGCCCAGACCTCAGCCTGTCTCCATTCGTGTGGGCAGTGCTCTTTCTCGGCCCATAACGCTGGGATCGTCAACCATGTCTTCTGGCATGCGGGAGTCCAGTGTCCCCGCTCCGACACCGGGTTCTGCGGTGAAGCCACCTACCCTGAAGAAGAAGGCGAGCAACTCCTCACTACACACTGCATCTTCCAATAGCAGCTTCAAGAGTTCTATGTCTACTCAGTCACAGCGCAAGGCTCAACTTGCAAGCGAGAGAAAGCGTGAACAGGAGGAACGCGAGGCCAGGCGTCGAGAGGAGCAGCGCCGTGAGCTTGAACGGAAACGAGCGGCCCAGCAGCAAGAGGAAGCTCGTCGCCAGGACATGCGCAGTCGCGCAGAGGCCGAACGACGCGAGCGAATTGTTGCTGAAGACCCTAAGAAAGCCGCTCAACTTCAGGCAATCGAGAAGCGGAGACTTGAGAGCCAACGGAGGCTGGAGAGGCAAGGAAGCCAACAGCCTGAAACCCATGCGGAGAGACCGGCCTCCCAGGCTGCTCAGCGAAGTGAGCTGGGAACCATGAGACCAGCTTCTCGTCTCGGATCCATCCAGCCTTTCCATCGCTCCGTCAACCAACCTCAGCCTAACCCGGCCAAGCCTCCTAAGAGAGGCCTGGACGAGGAGGCTAACCAGCGGCCTACGGCGTTGAAGACGGGCACGATGCAACCGGCAGGCGAGTCTAAGCGCAGAAGGACAGAAGACGAACAGAATCGCATGTCCTCGATGCGCCCTACAATGGCTCCGCCGATCCGCCAGTCCAACATCCGCAAGGTAATTCCGAGTTGTTCGATGGTACATGGTTTCATTACTAACCTCTTTATAGGAGCCCAAGAAGCCTTCATTCTACAGCCAGCCACCAACCTCGATTCTGAAGACTGGACAAACGCAAAGACCTGCGCATCCTATGGACATGTCCAAATATGCCAGTGGCAAAATCCCATTCGCAGAACCGCCCATGGCACCGCCCGCTGCGCATCGGACGCCAGCTGCCAGCTCATCGCAGAAGCACCAGGTCAAAGAGTCGCCCAGCTATCCCAACGGCGAGAACATCAACCTACCCGAGATTGCCACAGACAGCGAAGACGAGGACTCGGAGGCCGAGATGCTTCCTGTGCCCAAATGGGCCCAGCCGAAAGAGTTGGAGTCGCTGCTGCGACAACAGGAGGGCATGGAGGCGGACTCTATTTTTGGCCCTATTGCCCCATTCTCCCTGGAGGAGACGTTTAAGGGGGACAAGAAGATCAAGAAATTCCGCGAGCGCACCAGTAGTGCCCATTGGTCTGGCCCCGACGGACTCACGCAAGATGAGATCCGACGCGATTTGGCCGAGCGTCAACGCTTGCGTCTCAATGGTGGCTGGACCTTTAACTAATCTGCTGTTACCCGGTTTCACGCCTGTGTGATATTTTATGGACATTTTATCTTGTGAATGACAACGGGGGCTTTGGGTCTTTTTTTCTTTGGGGTCACTGGGGAACTGAATTCTGCGAGCAACGGCTGGTGGGCATAACCGGTCTGGCGTTTGTTCATATTCGACTTAGGTTTCATGTTTTAGCTACACACACAATCACGCTATGCACTTACCCTTAGACCGATCTAGCCTGCTCTCCCAAGCATTTGTGTAGGTGCTCGTGAAGGTGGCGGCTCGAACCCGTCGAGGGATTCGACGAGGGCAACACAGCATTGTATCCCGTACTACCATGACATAGTCAGGAGCATTAGCCTCTGATCGCCCACCGGACTCGACTCCCCTGTCTTCCTATCCTTGCACATCCATCCCAAGTAACAGTAATAGCGGATGTTCCCCGTCCCCCAATCCCCACTGGGATCGCTGGGATCGCTGGGATGGATGATCCGTGCTGGTGCTGGTGCTGGTGCTGGTGCTGGTGCTGTGCCGTGCTGGTACTGGTACTGGCCTCGAACAACCGACGGGGGCCGGGTCGGGTCGGGTCCCTCTAGCCCTTCCCCGGGCCTAGACTTGATCCGTCAATGTGTCTCCTAATGTTTGAGGATGGTTCCGGGATGCGGTACTGTACTACTGCATACATTGGGAAAAGAGGATCTGACAGGGAGGGGTAAAACAACCCCTGGAAGGGACGAGTTGACTGTAGCCGGGCAGACGAGGCTGTGTCGGCCAAGTGTTCTGTAGAGGATCAGGCTACTATTTCTCGAGTCTTTGTGGTTGTTGTTGTTGCTACTGCTTGGGTAGTGTAAGACTGGAGGAGGGGGGGGGGGGTGGCTGTACCGATTCTCCATTGCGGGCCTGGGGGTTCGTTTGTCTTACGGTGGGTGCCTGCTCAGTGAGACATTAGTAAATTAGGATATTCAAGGTTCTTGAAATGAAATAAATAGATCGAATTGCGCGGGTTGCATGGTGTATGATACGTACAGCGTGATGCTGATGGAAGAGTCCCAGTTAGTTACAGTTAGTTTCGACAGAGCGGTCTAGAGTGTTCTGAAAGAATATTGGAGAGGTTGTGTTTCGGTTTCAGTCTTGGGAACTTGGCCTGACTTGACTTGACCTGACCTGACCGCTGAAGTCAAGACTAGACCGTAAGTGTTTGTCTTGGTTCGGCTTGACTTTGGCTGGGTTGGATTGGGTTCTGATTCATCCACCGAGGGCTGGGCTGGGCTGGGCTGGTTGCTGGTTTGCGAGACATTGGTTGGGGGTTCTAGATCTTTTCTGGCTTTGTTTTGGATTCGGGGTGAGTTGAGTCGGAGGGTGTTTGGAGGGTGCGTGTATCTGTAGATATTGTATTGAACTTGACCTGGGGTAGTGTCACTGCTATACCTCTCGTGAGGATAACATCAGTCTTACTTTTTACGACGTACAGTACTAGGTCCAAGTGGGGTGGGTCTAAGGCACTCCAGGAACCCATACCCACTCCACCTTTCGAACTTCTCGAAGTTAAGTGGGTCACCTCAATATCTACTTAAACCTACTCAGTACATCTAGCATCCTTTCGAGCATCTACTGAGTATGTTGAATGATGGAACTTTTCAAGTGAGACTTTCGGATGCAGCTTCAGAGACAGATAGTCCGGCATTCCCAGGCTCATATATCTGACTATACACCAGTAAGGGCCAACTGCATCTGGTGCGCCTTCGGCCTGACCACCATCAGCAAGCGCTCCGGCTCCATCTGCTCGGAAGTGCAGTTCATTATTGAGAATGATCTAGTATCTTGCATCGAGCACAATAACCAGGACATCTATGACTGCCACGCGCACTTCTCCACCCCGCCCACCAACTGGTAGAGAGATGTGCGGGCCGTCTGCGGGATGATCTAGGTGTTCGGGATGAAGCAGAAGGCATTTGACTGGCCGTAAATTTGGGTTCTATGCGGGTGCGATCATGACAGTGGAGACGTTGTGACAGTTTTCTAAGGTATGGGGCTGTGCTGCCATGACGGACTCGAACTTCAAGTAGGCGTGGTCTTTCGGTAAGCATGCTTTTTGAGTATGACAGCGAAACAGCGGCAGAAGTGGACGAATTGATCCACAATCTGGAGATGGTGGCGGAGTTTTGGATATCGCAGCCATAAGACGAGATTGTTATTCTAGATGGCCTTTACCGTGGTGTTAGCATTTCGAGAAAGACCTCCGTTTAGCGCCTGAAAGTAGCCATCGAGAGTGAAAGCCCGCAGTTCGAGACATGTAGCCAACAGGCAAGTTGGGGTGATGGGGGAATCTTGGCACACTCGAATAATGCCCAGGGATATTACTGGTATGGATTCTGGTACGCTGGCTGCTGCGGCTCAAGATGCAAATCTGCCGATCCATGCACGGGCGGGTCAAACTCGAACAACGGCCATTGCCCACTTTCAGTAGCAGTTGACGGTACCTGCGTATCATGGTTCTGCGACTGTGAAGCATCCAGTCCAGCATCCCGCTTCAAATTACTCAGCCACACCGGATTGTCTGCGCACGTCTGATTCCACCCATCGTCACAGCCATACACGATCATGCGCGCATGGTCCTGCAACATCTTATCTGTGGGCACGACCTTATTCTCAAGTTGGCGCGTGATATACTCCGTGAGTTCTCGTTGTATCACCGGCCAGAAATTGAGGTTCTCCTGCTCCGGACGCTGCGGCGGTTGATCAGTCTCCCAGCTTGGCTGGAGCACCGTGATGGCAGAGGCGCTGAACGGATTTGGCGCCAGCTGCTCCTGGCCGATCAGGTACGGCGGCATGGCATTTTCGACGAGACGCAGCACCTCGGGCTCGAAGCCCCAATCGCCTTGCCATTCACGCATGTCAACTCCTTGCTTGTAATGCGCCGCCAGATGATCCGCGCGGGCTGTCCAGCTGTGGAATCGAGCGTCGCAGAACCCACAGCGCGATTTGATCTCGGTAATGCTACTCTTCCACCCGCTCATGGATGCAGCGACGAACTTGACGCCGTGAACGCTGCGCAGATGCTGGTGGAGATGATCCTTGCGATAGAAAGTCCTTTCGAGTGGGCTCCTCTCCTGACAAATGGAGTACTCGTGAACATTCAGATGCTCTTGGTCGGGATTGGGATGTAAACAGAAAGCGCAGACATGGCCGCCATCCAAGGGAACAATTGCCCCGGAGGGTGCGCACCTCCACTCGTCGAGAGGAATGTGCATTGATTTCTCGTGCCGTTGCCAGTCATACTTGGTCGAGAACGTATCCGTACAGAATGTACACTGAAACCGCCGAGACCCTCGCGCCCGACGCGAGGCTATAGTATTGGCAGGGATGTGAAGTTTACTTCGTCGACTGTGTCGGCGACGACGGCGGTTATGATCTCGGAGTCCAGAGTGCGAGAACGAATGATAAGAATGCGCGGACGTGTTGGATAGACTCGAGGTGGACGATGCACTCGTGTCGAGGCTGCTTTCCGACGACGCCGGGAATACGCCCCATTGTTCGACGTGAGAGGTATGGCTCGCCCAATCGAGTGAAGATGCTGAACTGGGATTAGATGAGGTGAAGGATAGTTGAGGGTGAGGCGTAGAAGGGCGATTTGAAAGAGCCCGAGCAATATCGCTGAATGCGGCCGACTCTTCCTCTGGAGGCGAGTTCTGCCAGCGTTCAAGTGGAGTCATTGATAGTGTGACTGCTTGGATGAGATCGGTCCGGCGTGCAGGAGCCGAAGGGGCTTTCTCTTTCTCACGGCGCCTGGTGTTAGCGAGCCAATTACGTAGCTGTGTCGGCGTTAGTCCTGTCCGCAGCAGTAGCTCTCTTCTTTCCTCTTTAGATGGGTAAGGGTGGTCCTGATGTTGGCTCAGCCATTCCTTCAGTATACGAATCGTCTCCCGTGGGAACTTGTTGTAGTCGCTGCGCTTGCGCGGTCTTTGATCGTGGCCACTCAGGATAGCAGCTTCTTCGCCGGCGTTAGGGTCAGCAATCGGAACTTCTTGGGGAGCATCGCTCCACTCTTGAGATTGGGGGTAGATGTGGCTGCTCTCTGGCTCTGGGAAGATGCAGTCTGTATAACTGCGGGTGTTTGACAACAAATCCGGCTCTATCACAGAACAGTCTAGCAATATCTGTCTACATGAGTCACAAGGCTCTGTGATGCAGTTTGAATGGAGCGTGTTCTGGTTGACATTGTTGACTGGACATTCGGAGATGTCAAGCGGTAGTGATGATTCCAGACCATGTACATCTGGCCAGTTCAGCAACAGATCAATTGGGGCGACAGTAAAGTCGAGGTTCTCCATCGGCTTCGGGACGTCTCGCAGGAGGTAGATCTCACGACCTTGACTAAGGTGACTCCAGGAAACCGGCCGCAGTATGGCCGAGCGCACTGAAACAACTAGAAGAGTGAAAGATTTTCGGGTCAATATGACAGCGATGGAGAATTATATATGCAAAGTAACTTTGTTCAGAGCGGTACTCAGTGGAGGAGGATATGAAGCGATAGATGGAGTGCAAGTAAGCTGCTGACTTGACTTGGAGGGCAGCCTCGGTCGGCAAAGTCTCGCCATTGGCGGCCTCAGGCAGCAGCGGAGGCCTTCAAGATTGGTGGATGTGGATGATATCTCTCAACACCAACAATAACCAACGATTTCTCCTGCCAGGATTCCCCAGGCTGATTTGTATATCCAGTCTCTAATTAAGTCTATCTTCAATTCTGCTGCAGGAGAAGTCCACTACCTACCTCCTTGAGACTTAAGAAAAATTAACCACCAAGCTCTACAAGAACTCCGATTTCCTTTCCTCCATCTATAACAACCCGAAAATATGGGGACCGATCATATACGGTGCCAAAAATGCTCAGACTATCCTAACCCGAGTATCTCTTGCCCCCGCGCAACGAAGCCCCGTACTTGAAAAGCGCCCAAGGAATCGGTAGCAGAAGGAGTGACAGGAAGGCAAAGAGACTGCCCGCCCAGTGCACGCCAAGTTTCTCGTACATCTGCACGGTAAATAGGGGGAACGTCGCTCCTAATATATATCGAACAACTCCATTGGCGGCCAGTGCTAGAAGTGGAAGTCAGATGAGTACAAGGCTGTAGAGCAAAATAACGACGGGAGGAGACTTACCCGATGCTGCAGCTCCGGCTTGATAGACATCAACAAGATAGGTGATGGTTGACAGCTAAAGATAAGAAGCTCAGGTTAGTTCAACCATTCTAACTAGACGCAGGGGTTGCGGCCTGATACTTACGAAAAGAGAAAACGCTCCCACTCCAAAAGGGATGCCTGCACAGACAAGGGCAGCCCAGTGGCCGCCGGCGTGAGCTTCCCAAGAGTACCTAAGCACATTCGGAATGCAGTTAGCAAGAATGAATCACATGGATGGTGCAACCAAGTCTCAAGAGCTTTCGAGCCTTACCAAAATAGTCCCACTGGTAAAAGTATGCTGCCTGCCATAGCCGAGTAAAGGCGATGCTCAGGAGCGGCAACGCCTCCCCCAGCCACACGCGCCCTGACGTACAGAGTCTTGTCGAAAACCCCGAACATGAACGCTGCAAGAACATATCCGACGATCACGCTGATAAAGCTAAGCCCAATTTGCCGCCAGTTGAATCCATAATACACCGTCAAGACGTAGGATGAGCTGGCAAAATAGCTGAAAATCATGGCGTAGGCGAACGCCGTATACAGGGTCAATGAGAACACGATGACCTCCGTGAATAAAAGCTTCACAGGCCTCCCAAGCCCCGTAGTGATGAATTCTTGTAGGGAGGGCTTCATGGTGTCCGGCTGCTGTTGCGAATCTTCCTCTTTCCCAGAGTGGTTTTTGCTATCATTGACCTTGATCAAGATTCTCTCCTTCATAGTTTCCTGCATCAGAACCGCGCCGAGCCAGACCACCGCGCAGAGAATCACCATGAGCCATTGCGTCCATCTCCAGTCACTATCTTGATCCTTCAGAACATAAGCCCCGGCGAGTGGGCCCATCGTGGGGCCAAGAAAAGGACCTAGGATGAAGAGCAAGGATGCAGGACCCCCCTCTTTTTCCAGATCCCAGATATCAGCCAGCGTGCCCGCACCTATTGCGACGCCAGCAGACCCCAAAGCCCCAGCCAGCCCACGGCATACGAGTAGGGTTGCAAGATTGTTCGCGGCCCCGGCACCAGCACTGAATGCTAACAAACAGGACGAGGTGAAGACATAGACCGGACGGCGGCCGATAGTCTCTGATAGCGGTGCTATGAATAGAGGCCCAAAGGCCAGACCAAGTGTGTATACCGTGAGTGTGAGCATGGATACAATTCGAGATACGTCAAATCTGATCGCTATTAGATCGAGCGCGGCTTCATTGACCGATGTTCCGAACGTGCTGATTGTCCATAGAATCAGTTCTGATCTCCGTTCGCTTCTTTTTTGTGGGAAGTAACAAGTGACCTGCAAACTTACATCACGAAGGCCAGAATACAAGGCACAACAGTGTGGAACAATTTCTTCCAGATTGGCCAGTTGTGGGGGTTTCGTTTCTCGCGTGGGTCTTCCCAGGGTATCGGTTCAAAGTCTGGCTCCTGGGCAGCAGAACCCTGCAACGTTGCAAGGATACTGGGTTTGATCATTGTGTGCTATCCTTCGACACTGGTCCGACGAGATAGGTAGGATGGTCGGGTTAAATTCAGCCTGGATGCAGGGCTATGCCCATTTGTAAGGAGACGGGGTCTCTCACAGGGTATGAGGCACGGCGAGTTTGACGAGTTTGACGACGTGGGACTCGGGTGGAAATGCATGCAAAGATGTACCATCGTCGTACGCGTAGCCCCAGCCCCTTATAAAGACAAATGGCTTTCGTATCTTCTTCGAAGTAATACCCACTCATTTTGTCCTGTTGGGTAGCTGGATTGCCAAGGTCAGCTATTGTGCAGCTGTCGTGAGAATAATCGCTTGGCCATATGCACTAACCTCGGTCTGGAATAGTAATCATAATTGAAGTAAGCTTCAAGGAACCTGCTGGCCGTTGGATGTACCAATGGAATGGGAGGAGCAGATTAGTGTTTATGTGATCACCTCCGATCGATGTGGGGGAGTTCCGCAGGGAGTTCGGCAGGGCGGATGAGCGAATCCGCCGCCAGGTACAGTAATTTAAGTTAACTACTCATGCTGAGTCATGCCAACTTCTCTGCGTATGCTCCTTGAATAAATGAACTATCCGGGCCTTGAAGGTTGCTAGAAGATCGGATTATAATGGAAAGATGAAGAGGCATTAGAGCAAGAGAGAGCAATTGCTCATGAAACGTTTGCCGTTTGCTTCTAAATGGGTCACCTGTCAATGCACGCACTAGAGAAAGGGTGGAGTAAAGAAAGAAGAACAAAATGACGTGACATACTACAGTTCATCTGCTGTGAAGTTGGTTCCTTCCATACTGTGAACGGAACCGGATTTTGAGGACCATGGAGATGATTTCCGATGATGCTGCCATCGGCTTGCCGCGAAGGTGAAAAAGAAGACCCGGGTGGGTTGATAAAATTTTGGTGTCTGACATTTCTTTTAGTCAAGCGTTGAGACTCTTCTCAATGGCACTGTACTGTATGTACACTATAACAACGTTGACGGAAACCCGCATGGCAGAAACAAGGAAGGAGAAGAAAAGGGTATAGAATCCTTAATAGACGGGTGAAGGTGGAAAAAGAGCCCAATAACCAGGAAGAAATGAGAAAAAACGAAAAAGGAAAAAGGAAAAAGGAAAAAGGAAAAAGGAAAAAGAAACAGAAAAGAAAAAAACAAAAGAAAGACCACGAAGGGAGAACGATAATGCTATTCATAATCCATAATTCGTTAAAATTGTTTAGGTGTTGAACTGATGATACAAAGATTGGCAACCAACGACAGCTTATTCCCCGTGTTACAGAGAGCTAACTAGCTAATTAAGCCTGCTTCCAGGTAACTGGTGGTACTTTCCCACACTGCAGGTGGCAGGTGCCCGCTAACTTACTGTTCCTCCTCTTACTATCAGTCTTCCTCCCTCCGCTTCTCCCTCCGCTTGCTCTGAGAGTGAATCCATCTCTCTCGAATTGGAAATGACCTCCTCTACGTCACAACTCTCATTTATCATCCAGAGCCTGATTCAGCCACCACAAAAACCCCCCTTCTTTGACTTTCACCTGTTTTTGGTGACCGGCGAATCGAACCCCACCACAAGCAGCCCCTATGGTTTGCCGGAAAGACATGTCCGCCAGCATACGAGCAACAATCAGTTGTGTCTCACAAGAGCTGGGTGTTCTATCACCTTCCAGACGACTTCGTAGCTCGGAGCTCGAAACGTGCGGCTCAGACTCGGTTAGCCATGTTTTAACCAGCCTCGTTACACACTGTTCAATCGAAGGAAGAAATGGCTACGGCATCGTCATACTTGTCCCAGCCAATGCTGCCGGCCGGGTGTCACCCTTCGTAGGGAAAGCTTTGCTGAAGGCCGGCTTGCTACTAGCACCACCATCGATGGCTGAAGGGTTACATGCAGCCAGAAAAAAGAACAAGGATTTTAATGGTATTGGTGGCCTGAAGCCTGTTGCTGGGTGTCGGGCGGCGCCGGTCATGACGAGGTCCAGTCGCGGGTGAGACATTGGTATCGACCTATGCTTGTCTCCCTTTCCATTGCTTCTGAGCCCCAGACCTGTCCCGGCAATGACTGCTCGAGACCGTTTGGAAGGTCCAAGTCGTCACAATATGCCCGCTCCCGCGGCCACTCACCGCAAACCCAAGTCGAGTCTTCTCTTTGATATTCCCAATCCTCAGCCAGCCAATGGGATTGGAAAAGAACAGCACTCCAATCTAGCCAATTATTTAAAGAAATGTTCATTGAGTTTTGTGCATGTTTTTAGCTGAAACGGTTGTCAGTGAACTGTGTGCACAACCAATGGTGTTTATTCCAGCCATATTCCTCAACGAACGCATCAAGCCAATGGAAAAAAGCCAGCTTGATATCCATCCCCTGCGCGCTGTTGAAGGAAGTGCCATTTCTTCTCTTCTGCTCTGTGGGGTCCTCTGGCTTAAAATCCCCCACAAAGTCCCCTGGACTGCAATCTTTCCTTCCTCCATCCTCTCCCATCTTCACTTCCCACTTCAAGCCCCTCTTGAACATCTTCATGCTGCCCATAAGTGCTTTGCTTAACCCTGAGCCTGAGCCAAGTCGGACACTTTCCTCCAGTATGGCGCCACTCAACCAAGCCAGCACTCTGGAGACCGTCGTCCCTAAGACAGCCTCAGCCCAGTGCAAGATGATCAGCGACGCTCCTGAATTGAGATCAGGCTCCCCCAGGGGTCCGATCAACTATCCTCCTTGCGAGTACTACGACGCGGAGCTCTCCGAGATCTACGAAAAGCATGCTATTCGCTTTACGTCCCGTACGCGTCACATTCCGTACAACCCCGCGAGGAGTGACTTCTACGAGCGAACGGGACGGAAAGAAATTGATAGTAGGTTGAGCTCTCTTAGTGTAGCCCTATGAGTAAGATGCTGATTATGGATAGTCTTTGGGTATGAGTTCAAGGTCCCTGGCGAGGACCAGGTGATTCTCATCATATGGGACTACACCACTGGGCTCGTTCGCACGACGGGCATTTTCAAGTGCTACAAGCCCTGGGGCAAGGTACATACACCCTCTTCCTATTATTGTCTACATGCTAAGCTTGAGATGGGATAGACTCTTCCGGCGAAAGTGCTCAATAAGAACCTTGGCCTCAAGGAGGTCTGCCACAAGCTCACGGGCGGAGTGATTGAGTCACAAGGTATTGGATTGTGCTATGCTGTTGGAAGACCACCGGCTAATCAATGTTGGGGATCAAAGGATATTACATGCCATTTGGATGTGCCGAAGCCATAGCCAAGAAGTTCTGCTGGCATGTGCGATACGCCTTCACTCCGATTTTTGGGCATGACTTCCCCGGCCAATGTCTGCCGCCGGATCATCCCGAATATCGCCAGTGGGAGATTGACCAGCATATCATCCGCGTGGCCGCGGAGGAAGCAAGGGCGCAGCGCTGCGCCGCACTTGCCTACGCCCTGCCCTATCCCAGTCCCAGTCCCGATGATGATGACGATGATGATCATGATACAAGGTACGTGAAGCACACTCTCCTCTAATTTTTGAGTCTAGCATTCCTTTTCAGTTGTCATACTCACTTATTTGTTACATAGTTTGGCCGGATATCGCTCGTCGAACGATGATGACAACCGCCCGCCGTCTAGGGCCAGCAATGGCTGGACACCGATCAATACCCCGCGAATGCAGTTGACTCCTCCGCCCTCTCCATCAACCCAGAATCATTCATCTCCTCAAGGCTCGCAGGGTGACGAGGCGACCAGCGGTTGGGTTTCTATTGCCCCCACAGCCCAGGCAGAGGCATTGTCCGACGCCCCTGATGTCATGGATGAAGACCCCGATGACACCGAGGTAGAAATGGCCGACGACGCTGGTTATGACCAGCGAGTTACGCTCCCACTGACAGGCAAATACACGGAGGGAGATATCGAGGCTGCGCATATCATGGTGGGAATGCGCAAAGGAGGCCCAATCGACGATAACTATCCCAAAGTCTGTCCGAAATGCCACGCGGTTGTCTATATCCAAGAGCTCAGGGAAGCCACCGCTTATCAGGATGGCTGGCGGGCGAACTGAGATGGCCGCTACTGCCGCACGGTCTGGTCTGCCTTGATGACTCTCTGTTCCATGTTTGGTTGCATGTTTCTTTGTTTTGATTGCATGGTGAGGGCGTTGCAGTTGGGCGAGTTATCAGAATGTTGTATTGTTTTCCTTTACTGGTTTCTCTTACCCTGGGAGTTTGGCTCTTTTTGGTTTTTTCTCTCTCCAGAAAGACTTTGCTTTTCTTCTGTTTGAACTACGGAAACGCCACGAAAAAAAAAGGGGGGGGGGGGAGGCACTTGGGAGGAACATAATGAGGGGTGATGGCCAACCAGGACGATCATTAGAATTTCTAATTAGTTACAGTTCCGCTTGTGATTAGCACATAGCGAGGAGACAATAAAGAGGGGGTGAGAAAAGACATTTCAAGTCCAAGTTAGCTTACTCAAAAAGTAGGATCGATTAGATTTTAGTGTCACATTACACGACAGGACTGGCTTACATGGGGAGATAAGCTAAGTCTTCCCCTCGGGATGGACTCTCAATCAGTCAGATCAGATATCAAGTTCCGCCTTCCCTAGGGTGTCTATCTAGTTGAATCAGACGCCAGAGAACGCCTACCTTCTTTACTGTTAGCCTCTAAGTCAGGCTTCTCAGACTTATGGTGGACTGCTACTTCCCCAACGTTGAGCACGCAACACGCACCAGACAACAGGAGGCTTATGTTACTACAGGGTGTGGATGGATGGATGCATGCGTTCCAAGAATCCCATCTCAGCTGATTCCTCTTCTTGCGGCACAGACCTTTTGGGCCTTGCTACTGCCGCACTCCCACCACTGCACACTCTGTAGAAGCGTGGGCAGTAAACGAATCGGAAATGGTCCGCCCCTCCAGACAGATCCTCAAGCCCCCGCGCTAGGGTTCCAGTTTAAGCATTAAAAGGCATGCAGTTCTGCCCCTCCCCCTCCTTGGAGCAGAACGCAAAAGGCAAAAGGCAAAATACCAAAGACAAGCATTGCACCCGGCTTTCTGGATCTCCCCCATCCCCTTGCAGCTGCCCCTCCACCACCCTCCACCATCTACCACAGGTACCCACTGTGTAGAGTGCAGACCACTGCACCAGGCAATGACTCCTCCCTCCCTTTTCCCCCCTCCACCACCCCTCCAGCATCCACAGTCCATCCCCTACGACTCGAAGCCCCCACCGACTCGAAGCCCCCACCAAACAAAACCCGTGAATCCTTCCATTCCCAGGGATGACCTGGCACCTACGACGACGAAAGCAACTGCATCATCTGTCGCGTCCCGAAATCCCTTCGACTCCCAGATTACCTGATTGGACGAGAGTGGCACGATGCAGGGAGCCGCCGCGCAGACGTCACAGCCAATCCAATGCCGTCAGTCTGTTCTGTTCAGCAGAAGCACCCACCTGAGCCCATGCCCATGCCCTGGCATACACTGCATCCACGAAAGCTTCGCCTCACAGCGCCGCGGGCGTGTCTGTTGCGAATGAGGTCGATGCTTTGTCGTCATCGGGAATTGAGGGGTTATGCGATGGGATGGATATTCATCCTGCTGTTCCAGCGATTTGCTGCTAGCGTAGTAGTGGGCGAGAATGATAGCTCGCTCGAATTTGGGCTTTGTTCTCAGCATTGACCTTGACCTTGCAGGCTGTTTGACTGCCTGGAGGTTGAGTGGGATGGTGTGTATTACGTAGTCTGGTGTGAGACTTGGATATGCTGGGTCTGTTGCTTCCGGAGGATAGTAAGTTTATTTTAAGCTTAAACAGCAGTACCTAGGTAGGTAGGGGGGGTCGTTTTCGGATTAGTGGCGTCGTAACTTACTGGATTCTGGTACTAGATAGTTACTTAATAGCATTAGCCCTGAGTGGGGTTGATGGTGGCGCTGCAGTCGCTTATTCTGATAGTCAGGTACTGTACATTTGCATGCAGTTGAGGATTTACTTTTTTTCCTTGGTCAGCTTTTCGGTAAGTCACAAATGCATCTTGGGCGATCCTTTTTGGGGGGGGGGACAATTGGGAATAAAAAAAGAAAAGAAAAGAAAAGAAAAGGAAGACATAGTGCCTCCATTTGGATTTGTTGAAGAGGAATAATACCCACCTGCTCCCTCCCCTCCAATATTAGTTAGTCCTTCTCTCACCGGCATGGACGAGCGAGCTTAAGTTGGGGTTAAGGTAGGTTCAGGTTGAGTCTTGCACCTGACACTAGCAGTACCCCTCCATCATGCATTCACCCCCTCCACTGTCTTCTTCCGCTGTAGCTGAACCCCATTGGGCCCCTTGTGCTGCGCACCGGTATATGCTATGATATGCTATATGCTTCTGCCTGCAGTACCAAATTCTCCGAGACGCAAACCTGACTGGCTGACCGGCTGACCAACCGCTAATCACATCCAGTAACTAACCTTTAAGCTTGGATTGTACATGACCATGTCAAGATGCACCGGTATCATCCACGGTAATGCACCGGCACCTCCACCTCCACCCCGGGCGTGGACCTCCTGCTCCCGCGTCGAGAAACCAGGCTTTCCTCCACCAACCCAGTATAAAAGCCCCCACCTGGTACGTAGCTTTGCTGTCTACAGCAGTAAGCCCAACACGTGTAGAGCACTGATTTTGCCACCCTGTCTACGGTCGAACAAGCTTTTCTTTCGGTCCAACCCAGATTTACAACACAACCGTGATTTTAGTAACTTGCGCGGATGATCGTCCCTCCTGGATTTTTTTTTTGTTTGTCAGATGAGGTTGACAGATTTATGACAGAACCGTGGACCTAGAATCTAGTTGCCTTGCGACGCTGCGGACTTGGTCGTTCATCTGGCTTTTTGTCGGTTGGGATTTGAAGGGGGGAGGTTGTTCTCTCGTGCTGGTTCGGTGCTTAGAAGTTACAGTACATAGGCGTAGTATATGCAGGCATTCCTCTTCATGCCTGTTCTAGTTTCTCAGAGGGGCGGACTTAGCATCTTACCATGGCCATGATCACTGTATCTGATCGGTCTGTATTCGAATCCCTTCTAATTACATTATGCCATCTATCTAGACGTGTACTATACCAATCTATCAATCTAAGTATCTAACCAATATATCACTTTTGATGTATCCTCCAGAGTCAATCCACCTCTTCCCCAGGAAGGACAACGCAGCGAATGAGCCAGGCGCAGGCGACAAGAAGCGGCGCGAAAGACCTCAAGCCTCCGGAGGCATGGAAAAGGCCTAGAAAGAAGCAAACGGAGATCGAGGACCGCACCTCAGCCAACCATACCCTACCCAACTCAACACACCAATCCCCAACCATCCACCCCCAGAATCACTGCACCAATGCAGCTCCTCTTCTCAACGGAGAATCTCCACTTATTTCTATCAATGTAAACCTACACCGCAAACCGACTCCACCCACGGATCTTCACCCCCCACCGGTAAAACCCATACGGCACGGGGACCATCAGCGCACTGATCGCCCCAAGGATCGTCAGCGTCCAATGCACGCCCATGTTCTGGTAGAACGGCACGCCCACCACCGTCATCCCGCCGGCGGCGCAGTAGCGCGAGACGGTCATGAAGCCCAGCGCCGACGCGGCGTAGATGTCGTACGCGTCGATGACGTACATATACGACGAGATGAAGACCGTGATGGTGCCGAAGCCGAACACGGCCGAGGCCACGATGGGCGACCACACCGACACGCTGGAGTACGAGGTCCACCCCATCCAGAACAGGCTGACGGGGATGAACGGGCTGCCAATCATGGCGAACCAAAGCCGGTTTTCGGGGCGCGGGGCGTGGTGGTGGTGGTGCTTTTTGGATTCCGGGGCGGGTTGCGGCTGTTGCTGCTCGTGCGGGTTGTTCGGGTTGGGGTCGATTGGGTCGTCGTTGTCAGATGATGAGGAAGACGAAGGCGCAAGAGCGGCTTGCTTGAATTCTCGCTTCGTCCAGCGGTAGATCAGTGGCACGAATAACCCCGCGAGGCAGATCCCCACGTACATCGCGACCCAGACGATGTTGGTGAGGCCCTGCGAGAGGCCGTGGATGTCGGAGAAGATGTAGGTGTAGCCGTCGAAGAAGGTGAACAGCACGATGTAGATCACGGTCATGTAGAGGGAAATCAGCAGAATGATGGGCTCGTGGATGGTGAGACTGAATTGTCGGATGCATGCGTTGCTGATTCTGGACAGTAGCGCAGTCTTCTGAAGATCCATGGAGGACTTGTAGCGCGGATCGCCCGTGAGGTTCCGGAGATGACGCGCCTTCCACTTGAGTAGCATGGGGCCATACGTTTCCGGCTGCAACAGTAGGATTAATGCAAAAATGAACCCGGAGAGAATCAGGATGATCCAGTTGGTCCACCGCCAGGAGAGCGTGCCCTCGCCCATGTACGATGCAATCACCGGACCCAGGACAGGCCCGCCAAACGACAAGATCGCATAGAGAGGGAAGGTGAGTGTCTTTTCCAACGGATTCCACAGATCAGCGATAGTCCCTCCGGCGCAGGTCAACGGAGGACAGCCGAACACGCCAGCCAGAAACCGAAACACGATCTGCGCCCCGATATTCGGCGCCAACCCAGAGGCCATGATGAAAATCATGAACAGGGTTAGAGACCCCGTGTACACGGCATTGCGGCCAACGACCTCGGACAGAGGACCAGACACCATGGAGCCAGCGGCGAACCCAAGCAGGTACATGCCCGTTGCCAGAGAGGCAACGACATCACTGACATGGAACGCAGCGGCGTTTTGAGGCATGACCCCTGACTCGATTGACGACGCACATCCCACAGCGAACGCCAGCGCAGTCACGAGCAGGGTCGCCGAGATCCGCGCGGCGAGGCTGTAATTGCGTGGATTGATGGGGTCGTGGTCGTGTTCCCATTCGACGAGGAGAACGGAGGAGGTGGTTCCATCGTCGTCGACAATCTCCTTCAGCTGCACGCCGGGCAATTGAATGTACGGTGGGTGTCGCTGGGTGTCGTTGCTCGTAGCATCGCCGCCGGTCGAATCATCGGTCTTTTCTGCTCGGGAAAAGCCCGGATACTCTTCTTCGAGCTGCCTGCGCACGGCGTGGCCGATGCGTCGATATTGAAGATAGGCCTGCATGAGAGAGTCAGTGAAACAGACGCAACCGTTGCGGGTGGGATAGAAGCACCAAAAAGCGGAATGGCCAGACGGATTGGAAAGAGAAAGGGAGTGACAGACCTTGACGACATGGACACAGTTAAAGGCAACAATGCTGATTAATTGGGAAAGTGATAAGAAATGAGAATTGAGTGCAAAAGGTGGCTCGAGACCGGATGAACGCCGACTCACAACCTTCCGACCCACCAGAATCCACTTCTTCGATAGCCAGAGAAGGGAACTAACTCCTAACTCCTTGGACTATCCGGGAGGGGCAGTATAGTCCGCCTGTTAGAAGTGAGGGATTTGGGATGAATGGGGAGGATATGAGACGATCCGAGGGTCACCGAAGGCGAAGAATCAAGGCGATGACGCCTGAGGCCACACTAGCTCAGTGGGTCTGCCGGAGATCGGCCTGAAGTCCGGTCGGCGCCTGAACTACTCGGACGAGAAGAGAATTCGAGAACTCCTTCGTGCTTGCAGTGGCAGCCTTACGGTCACAACATTGGGCAATTTACAATTCGCAATTCTGCTTTGATTGCATCCAACTCCAGATCCCACCCATCATAAACAAAAATGTCCGGAATTCTCTCCCTTTGCAATTTATGAACACATCCTATTAATAGACAAAGAATATAGATCCTGTAATGAAGAGAGGGAGGGAAGAAACACAATGAACAAAATAACGGGGCCAGGGCTTCCCATGGACGCTCAGCATCGCAAGGTCCCTTCTAGATTTCCATCAATTCCATCACTCACTCACTCGCTGTCTTCAAAGTCATCTCCCGAGTCATTGCCCCCTCCAACAATATCATCGCTATCATCATCGTCAATCACATAGGTCTTCTTCTTCGTGGTGGCCGTGCGTCGCGAAGGCCGACTGACGGGAGCCGCCGGCGAATCCAAAATGTCATTGGCCATGGCATCAATGTCATCGTCGGACAGATCATCCGCCAGCTGCTTCTTCTTCGCTGCGGCGCTGGTCTTCGCCTGCTTCGAAGCATAGGCCTTCGCAGCTGGAGACAGGGTGGTCTGTTTTGTAGGCGCCGCAGCTGCAGCCTTGGTGGTGGCATCCTTCTTCGGGCGACCACGCGTCTTGGCGGCCGGTTTAGCAGCAGTTGAAGCAGCAGCCTTACCCTTGGCGGCCGGCTTCGCCTTAGTGACCGCTGGCTTCACAGGCTCATCCCCATCGCTATCATCCAACAGAGTAGCCGGTTCCTTGGACTTCACCTGAAGGGACCGCCGGGGAGAGCCCTGGGGCACCAACTTGCTGTAGTCGGTCTCGTCCGCATCAAAGTCAGGAGAGGCCTTGGATGGCTTGGTGCTGGTCTGCAGTCCCGAGCGGCTGCCAGGCCCAGACTGCTCCGAGAAGAGCTCGAGAGAATTCGACGTGGACCCGCCCGCGGTGCCACCAATTCCCTTGACCATCTTGCTCACGTCTCCCAACAAGTCATCTCCGTTGTCACTGTCCGAATCACTCAGGGCGTACTTAGTTGCCTTGCGAGCCGCCCGCGCAGGTTTGGGGGAGGGCTTGGCAGCCTCAGAGGCCTGTGCTTTGGCAATTTCGAGGAAGGCATCGTCATCGAGGTCGTCATCGTCTGCAGGCTTCGACTTGGGCTTCCGTCCACGCTTGGGGGCTTCTTTGACTTCGGAGCTTTCAGGGTCCTCAGACTTCACCCTAGTAGAGGCCTTGGAAGTAGCTCGACTCTTCTTGGGCAGGATCTCAATGTCTGAATCACCCGACACTGGTTCTTCTTTCCGGACAGGTTCAGGTTTCGACGATCCACCTCGGCTCTTCTTAGGAAGGACTTCCAGGAAATCGTCGTCGGAGTCGTCGTCGATCGGCTTCGCAGCGGGTTTGGTAGGAGACTTGCTTAGGAGATTATGCAGTGTCCCCTTCGGTGCAGCCTTCTTCGCAGCCGCCTTCTTGGGCTTTGGCGCAGCAAAGTCTTCATCATCGGGATCCTCATCCAGGGCGGCCTTACGCTTCCGACCGACAGGTCCACGAGCGGCAGTCATCAACTTGGAGGAGGCACGACGACCCATCTGCATAACCTTGCGCTCGCGACGGGCTTCGTCCTCCAGCTGGAATCGCCACTCGTTGATGAAGTCATCCAGGTCCTGTCTCCAGATGTCTTCCTTAGACAGCTTGATCAAGGCGTCAACTTCCATCTCCTTGTCGCCAATTTGTTTGCGGAGCTTCTCCACGCGCTCCTGCGTTAAGGACCAGATAGCCATGCCCAGCAAGTAGTCGTAGGCATTGGAGAGGTTGTTAGTGTCCTCCTTTTCGTTGGCCGACTCTTCCTCTTCATCCTCGAGAGCTGGCTCAGTCTCGCCTGCCTTGACGGCTTGAGCAACCTTGGGGAACGGCCTAAAACCCTTGTCTTTCAGTTCAAGAACAAGGACGGCCTTCTTCTTCTTTGAAACGACCAGATCCCCGTCAATAATCATCTGAACGAAGCGCGCCTGGTTGCTGAGCTTGTCCAAGTCTTTTTGCAGTTCTGAGAGCTGGTGTTGCTTGCGTCGCTCGTAGAACTTCAGACGGAGCGCATAGAACTCCTTAAGGATGTCATCGACTGTCGCATACTTCGTAATCCGCCCTTCGGGATCGAAAGCGACCAGATTTGTGGTGGCGATAGTCTTTGTAAGCTTGAACTTCTCCTCCAATCCTTCGGACAAGGCGGTTTTCATGTTCTTTTCGTCCAGCTGGATGACGAAATGAACCTTGGTGTGAGTGTTGTAGTCTTTGTAGTCCTTGATGAAAGAGGGCGTCTTCTCAGCCTTGATGATGTCTTCAAGCTTGTCCTTGAAGTCCTGGGTCCAGGTACGGATAGGAAGTTCGGTAATCTCGACTTCCTTCTCCCCGGTCTCCTTGATGACACCACTAAACTTGAATCGATCGCCGCCAATGTCGGTAACTTCACCGGTGAAGCCTCGGAACCAAGGTTGCATAGGCTTGGTGGGTTCACCGTTCATCATACGTTTCAGGTTGTCCACAATATCCTCTGGGTTGTAGTTGGGAATAGAAGAACTCCAACCTGTGCCAATACCATCAGCACCGTTGATGAGAATCATGGGAACAACGGGTACGTAGGTCTCCGGCTCAATCGTAGCTCCGTCATCCACGTTGTAAGTCAGAAGAGGTTCGTCCGCTTGGTGGAAGACACGACGAGCAAACGGAGAGAGTCGAGTGTAGATATAACGCGCGCTAGCACAATCGGATCCACCCTGAAGACGACTACCGAAGTTACCGCTAGGCTCCAAGACATTCAAGTTGTTGGAACCAACGAAGGTCTGCGCTAGACCGACAATGGTCTGTTGCAGTGAGACATCACCGTGATGGTACGCGGTCATACCCGAAACGTGACCAGCAAGCTCGACAACCTTCATATCCTTCTTCAAGTTGCGACGGAAGCAAGTGTACAAGACCTTGCGCTGACCAGGCTTAAGACCATCAACAACTGAGGGAATAGACCGAACGTTGTCCGCCATACTGAACAAGATAAGCTCTTTGTTGATGAAGTCAGTATATGTGATCTTGGACACGGAGTGGTCGAGGAATGTTCCAGGCTTGAATTGACGAAGCCATTCCTTTCGCTCATCCGCCTTTTTCTTAGAAAAGGCGAGTTCGATCAGCCCAGCCTCATTATCCTGCAGTGTGTGGAATTCCTTCAAGTGACGATCGAGATCACGGAAGTAGACCTGGGCATCTTCAGTGGTGCTGGTACCCAGACCCTTGTAGTACTTGTGCTCCCAGCCGCGTTCGTGTTTGTGCTCCTCCTTCCACACCTCATATTCTGGCATGGTGAAGAAGGACCGTTGCTTGGTGGGATTCTTGGGATCACCCTTCCACACCTTGACAATGGGAGTAATGAACTCGATCAGGAACTCAGGAATCTTCAGCAAACTGGGGAATTGGGCTTGAAGGAAGTTGATGAGCAACCCCTTGATGTGACTACCGTCGTGATCCTGATCCGTCATAATCATCAAGTGACCATAGCGAAGACCGCGGGTGTCCGTGTATTCCTTCTTGTGTTGAAGACCAATGAAGTTCTTGATGTTCTGGATTTCTGCATTCTTCGAGATCTGATCAAAAGACGCATCACGCACGTTGAGCAGCTTTCCTCGAAGCGGGAACACACCGAACAGGTCAGGGCCGACAACTGATCGTCCAGCCACGGCCAGACCTTTGGCTGATTCACCCTCAGTCAAGATCAGGGTGCAGTGATGACCGTCCTTAGTACCAGCCTTGTTGGCATCCGTCAATTTGGGGTTGTTCATGCGGCTGCGCCGGCCACCGTCCGTCTTCTTCAACATCTGGTCGGCCTTTTGCTGGGCAAAATGCAAGATGTTGTTCATCACCTCTGTCTTCAGAACCTTTTTGTAAAAGTCGTCATCAAGAACGCATTTGCTACCGAATTGGGATGTTTTGGTCGTGAGTTGTTCTTTGGTCTGGGAGGTGAACGCCGGGTTGACAATCAGGGCGTTGACGAAGATGAAGATGTGGTTGCGGATTTGGGCTGGCTTCAGCGTGGCGCCATTCTTGTTCTTCTTCTTAACAGTCTCGGCAAGCTTACTACAAATCTGATCCGCGATGTAGTTCACGTGTGTACCTCCTTGGGTAGTCGCGATGGAGTTGACAAAGGACACCTGCTGGAAGGAGCCATCAGAGACCGCAAAACCGACCTCCCATCGAGGGTCCGGGCTGCAGGTGATGATTTCATCTTTGGCTCCCGCACCCTCCTCGCCGCGCTCCCTCCTAATAGCCTTGGTGTACATTTCCATGTACTTCTTGAAGTTCCGTACGGGAACGCGGGTACCGTTCAGCTTAACGGCCACCTTCGCTGTTCCAGCCAAGTCATAAACACGACGTTTGACAAGCGCCTCGAAATCATCGTCAATGCCCGTCATTCCGAACTTGGCGAAGTCAGGCTTGAATGTGACCTTGGTGTAGTCTTCTCCCTTCGCATCGGTGATTTTAG